AACGTCGTGCTACGCTGCAAGCTGGGCTCCTCGTCGTTGATTACTCACCCTTTGATAGGACTTGATTTCTAAGCACACAATCGAATTCACCAGCTATCCATCACTAGCTCTTCTGGCGCCACCCCGATCTGCAGGTTAACAGCCGCAGTCTCTACAAAAACCATAACCATGCCGCTCCGTTCCCGAGAACACTGAACGTACCCTCGGCGGACGACCAGGATGGCATATCTCAAGGAGAGTCGCAAACCGTAACACCAGCCCTAGCTAATAGAACGCGAGGCGTTTCGGTGGTGCCGCGGATAGAACCCGCGTGAGCGCGGTGGCGCGAGAAGTTGCAAGGCTGCGTCCCGGCGGCAAGCCAAGTCGTAAGAACATCACGATGGAAGAGTTTAGTGGTCTCATCAAGACCGATACGTTTGACACGGGCGTTCGGCGCTGGTGGGGGAAGTTCCAGGACGCCCGGATTCTGGATGGGCGCTGAAACGATCTCCAATGTCGCAGCATCTTTGCTGCTTCACTGACCGGAGATGACGTGGACTGGTACTCGGAAGTGCGCGCGACGGTGCCCAACCTGACGCTCGACATCGCCGGCATAATGCTTGTGGACAGGTTTAACCCGAAACTTTCAGAGCAAGAGCTCCTCCGGCGCATTACGGGCGAGCCTAAGATTCCCCAAGAAACGTACCAGCAGTACTTCCAGCGCCTGCTAAACATAGCAGATTTGCTACCCGGAGGCGTCGCCATAGAGGCAAACGCCCGCTGCGTGATGCACACTTTTATCCGGCTGGCGTGCTACAAGTATGCTGACGAGCTCAAATCATTCTTAGGACGATTGCTTCCCGAAATCTCTACAGCCTTCAACCTGCAGCACCTGGTGGACCACCTCGCGTACATGGCAGAGAGCGACGTACAATTACCCGGTAAAACCGATTCGCAGGTGCAGGGCGAAGTGGACACGACGCCAAGCGCCGCAAATGGTCCGAAGGCTAGAAGACTCAGAAGATGGACAAGTCCATGACGGTGATCGTCGTGCACAAACGCAAGCCACCTCATCGCCCTCAAGGTGGTGGCAAGCGAGCCCAACGCGGGGAGTCTAGCCTGCACGCTGCTCCAAATCACTTGCGCGATCCTTGGTAAAACTCTCTCTATCTATCTATCTATCTATCTATCTATCTATCTATCTATCTCTATCTATCTATCTATCTATCTATCTATCTATCTATCTATCTATCTATCTATCTATCTATCTATCTATCTATCTATCTATCTATCTATCTATCTATCTATCTATCTATCTATCTATCTATCTATCTATCTATCTATCTATCTATCTATCTATCTATCTATCTATCTATCTATCTATCTATCTATCTATCTATCTATCTATCTATCTATCTATCTATCTATCTATCTATCTATCTATCTATCTATCTATCTATCTATCTATCTATCTATCTATCTATCTATCTATCTATCTATCTATCTATCTATCTATCTATCTATCTATCTATCTATCTATCTATCTATCTATCTATCTATCTATCTTGACTTGTCTTCACTATGTTCTTGTCGTCGCAGTTGTCCGCGGTGCCTTGAAGCATACTTCCAGCAAGTGTAGTGAATACTGGGTACGTAAGCGAAGTTCAAGGTTCCACGGAAACCGTACAGATCCTAGCTGGTCGGCTTGGTCGGCCGGAAACATCTTGGACTTTGTACACTGGATCTTCACATCCGCGTGGTCACTTCGCATCTCCACCCGAGATTCATAGTCATCTCTAATCAGGATTACGCCCTACTGCTGGGCTCTCACATCCGGGGTGTCTTGATCAGCTTCACGGTTTCTGGGTTTTCACTTGGGCCGGTCGGGCTCATTTTAAGCCATACCCTATACCGAATTTGTTTTGTAGAGGGATACACCCACCTATGGGATACAGGATAGTATTAGCCAATCACAGTTGTGTCTTCAGATTGACAGGGCTTGACTTGTTGAGGGATACACCAGTTTCAAGCCAGTATTTTTTGCACTCTCGGCCGCTCAGCGCGCGATCATTTCTGCAACGGCGAGGGCGCCACCAAGTCACCCTTGCCTGTCTGGAGGTCAAGGCAGGTGGAAAACGACGCGGGCCCTACCATTTTACACTGCTGCAATGAAGATGGCTATTGTCGAGCACCTGAGACTACACTGCAATGTTTGTTTCACTGTAGATACGTTCTTTCCGGGTCTACCTACAGAAAAGTATCAAGGGAGAAGAGTAGTGGTGTTAAGATGGGCTCGTCGTTTAGCTCTATAGCTGCTGGGGGTGCTTCTGTCGGCGGCAGGAACAAACGCAAAGCTTGCTCTACTGAGCTTCGATCTCAAGTTGGGGTGGTGGCGGCGAACAAGCTAATAAGTTGGGCTGTGTCGGCAGCCGCATTGGTGAGATTCGGCCTTGAGAGACTTGAGGTAGGGTGCTCAGTTTAGTAATTTTGATAAATACATCTGGGCGTCCGGTGCCGATTCGTTTTTTTGAGCAAAATCGGGCGTCTGGTATTTTAGCTCCGGTAGGGTGTATCCCTCTACAAAACAAATTCGGTATCGAGAGCAGGCGGCCTCCAGTCGGAGGCACTCTTACGCTCCCTGGGGCTTTGCCTCTCACCCAATACTTGGCTCCAGCAGGGGCCCTCCCTTTAGGACATCTTCATCCGGGATCATCCAACCTTGTACACAGTGTATGCGCGAGTCCGACCTGGACTTGCTTCCCCCATACGCCATGCCATGCCCTCTCCTAGAGCAAGTTTCTCCACCAACCAATCACTGTTAGGGCTCGAAAGGAATCCGGATCTCATTACATACAACAACGCTCATCGAGCTAGTGCACACTCAAGGGCGCCGAGTCCCAACTGTTATCTTCACCACTGGGACGTTGAAGTTATGCGTTCTGGCTTGGTCAACTTGCTACCATCAATGTAGCCACCACATCACCTGTAACCCGTATACCGACGCCGTCAAAAGTGGCCTATCATCGACAAGGGTCCCGACGTTAACGAGGCCGCTTCCTCTGACTTCGGCTTGTGGTGCCGCGGTCAAATCCTACGCCATCATCGGGGCAAACCCAAACACCTAAACAGCAGGCGATCATGACGGATCCAAACGCAGCAGAAAGTGGTGTGAACAGGTGGACCCATTGTTTGTAGCCCGCGTACGCGACAAAGCGATGTCCTGTCGAAACAAAGCTCGAGAGGCTTAAACACGCAAGTTGAAAGATTAGAAGGAACCTATCTTCAATAACGCGGGCCTTCTGTACCAAGGACATCGCTTCAAACGTATTGGCCATGACGCTGAGCACATCGACCGTCTGGTCACGACTGACCAAGTTGACCGGTCAAGATCTGTTCGGCTTCCGTGAAACCTTGAACTTCGCTTGCCTACCCCGTGATCGCTACACTTACAGGAAGTATGATACGAGTACCACGGGTGATTAAGACAGGGTCATAGGTTGCGGGGTTGAGTACTGGGTCAGGCGCTCGAGGTTGATCCATCCCATCTCTAGTTGCGGTTGAGCTTTCCATCCCAGGGGCTCCCATTTCACAATACCGATTACGTTTCAACGCTTTCAACGCAGTATAGCCTCGGGTGAGAAGTATATATTTAAATCCTCCGTACGTGAGGGTGGTGTGCGTGAGCTGCAGGTAACGACGCAAAAATCTGACACAAATCCTAGATTATATCGTACCGCTGATATGTTCCGATAGTACAACAAAAAATATGTTATCCAATCACAAACTTTTATTTACACTAATATTTATGCAACTCTCTGGGTTTTATATCCAGGGTTTCTCCGAGGATAGCACTCGAACCCAAATTAACTTTTATTTCTAATATGTACTAAGAACCGAAGCTTAACTCACGTACATCATGAGAACGTTCCGATAAATCTGCCCTGATGGGTGATATTCCTCCTTAAAAATTATTTGATGGCATCTCGAATGGAAAAAATAGCACCGTATGATTGGTAAGGATCATTCCACAGGATCATTGTCATGAATACCCTGTGTACTTTTAAATACAGAGGTGAATGTTATCCATGGTTTGCCATCCACTAAAAAAAACAATTGTTACCTGCTACGTGTCCGTTTAAAACCCTGACAGCCTGTTAAACGTTTGCTAGTATGCAAATGTTGTGAATGGATTCGTGTCATGTTTGCTGTGATACAGTGCAGAATACTCTCGGTTACATTTACTGTCCAACTATGACGACGCATATTAGTACCATCGGGACTATTCTAGTCTGTTCGACTAAACCGTTTGTATGTCTGGGTTGCTCCTTGCAGCACAACGAAGTAGCTGAAGCACTTATCTATACCGTAGATAAATATAGACTATACGCGCATTATTGTCCCGAGTGAAAACGAACAAGTGTGACCAACACCGATGCAGGTCAAAGGCAACCTTGTCACGGTACTTCACTTCCAAGCGACTGTGCCACACCAAATAGGTTCGTGCTCGCTGGCAGTGAAAAAAAGTAAATGCATTAACAAGCGCTTTGATAATCGCTTGAATCCTCTTTTTAAGTAATACGAACGCTGAGTCGATCTACAGTAATCCAGAACTTCTTCGTGTATGCACGGCGTTAGTGCAATGATGGACGTAGTTGGAGTGGCTGGCTAGAACAGTTAAGGTAGCGCTAATTCTACGGGTCCCATTTTTTTTCATTATACAGCGCGTTGATCGCAGATTCTGTAATAAAAAACGCGAGGCGCTCGAGCTAATGAGACAGGTCGGGGTGAAGGCTACTTCTGAGCAGCTAGATATTGTTTGTGGCTTGCTCTACGACTGGCGAAAGCAAGTCGACGCCGTATTCACCTTCACAGCAACGCAGTGTCCAAGACCATAAAGGGCCAAAGGCGCAAAGAAATATTTCCTGGCATCCTTGACGTTGTCATTAATATGAAGGGCATGCGTCGCCTGGAAGCAATAAGTATAAGACTGACATATTACCAAACGTACTTGTACTGATATTTCTGTAGGTATTGTCAACTACAGACTTTATCGAGTTCATGCAGCAGATTCATCCCGAGTGGATAGGCACCTATAATAACGGGACGACTGACGGCGAAGTAGCACTCGAACCCATGGTGCCTGGATGCACTCTTCCGTTTGAAAGATGTATGTAGAGAAAGTTCATAGTTTGAAATAGACAGGCCTGCTTCCCTTCTTGTTGACAACTTTGATTATCGTTTTGGGTCTTTCTTTTAGCGGTCCCATATCTCCTACATCTAGAAGCTGACACCCAGCAGGGGGAGGGGGGGACAATGGGACCGGCATGGCATTCGCCACTTCCGCAACGAACCACTCTCTTTCTTTGGAGACCTTTGGCAGCAATCATAATTCATGCTCCTTCCATTACCATCTCACGGTGCATTAATCGCATGTCGCTGGAGCATTATATTGCTGGTGCATCATTAAATTGGTCAGCACACACGTACGACCATTTATTCGTACCGAGGCATTAACCGGCCGTTTTTATCAGCACGTGCGGTTTAGCACAAACTGTTACACAAAAGGCGTTTATGCTTGTTCAAAGTAACGTCATCGCTGTGTACCAAAGTTCGACTATGTGATATCGAATCGAGTGTGGCGAAGGGGATTAACAAAAAATTACGTCCCAAAGTACCCTACTAAATCATGACGGCTTGGTGTCGCGGAGAACGATCATAGATACTAGAGCAATGGATGGTCATGATCTTGGCTATACACTCCGCGACATATTATATAACCCGGGGGCGTTTTCACTGGTAGCTCAGCTAATATTTAGGACTAGACGACGCTGTTTAGATATGTATCTGTTGTTATTGATAGTAATACGGGGTATGTGCTAACGAATGCAACTTCGCAGTTTGCGGGGGACTTCCTATACAATTTTCCACTTTCACCGCCGCGACAGTTTAGATCACCCACATACACTATACAAAAATCAAGTATAAATGAACGAAGGTCGATCTGAAATGAACGGTCGGAGAGGGTGGTCGAGCGGCCTGTCGTCCGTGCGAGACGAGGGTGGCGCATTGAGTGACGCCACCACCCGCCTCACGGTTTGCGCGCAGCGGCCGGTCTTGGCTGCGATTGCGCGGGCACTGAGTCCTCCTTCATGCAGCCCCGCAATCCGACCCCGTTCATGGTCCGACAGGCGGGGCTTCTTCTGTGCCGAGGCTGTCTTGGTCTTCTTCTTGGGTACGGGCTTCTTCTTGGGCGGCATCTTGAGAAGTGATGCCTTCACCTCACAGCAGACTTGTGCGCTACGTGTGTCTGCATGCCATTCATTTCAGATCGACCTTCGTTCATTTATACTTGATTTTTGTATAGTGTATGTGGGTGATCTAAACTGTCGCGGCGGTGAAAGTGGAAAATTGTATAGGAAGTCCCCCGCAAACTGCGAAGTTGCATTCGTTAGCACATACCCCGTATTACTATCAATAACAACAGATACATATCTAAACAGCGTCGTCTAGTCCTAAATATTAGCTGAGCTACCAGTGATAACGCCCCCGGGTTATGTAATATGTCGCGGAGTGTATTCAGCGCAGCATACACAGCTATGGAAATTAATATATGTACTACACAATACTAGTAGGTACAATCCTGCCAGTTTAAGCTACAAGGCCGACAAGTGCAGGTACCACAAGTTATTTGCCGTGGAACTTCAGCTTTAGAGATGGCATACGACAGTTCCATTACTTTTCGCTCGAACGGTCCGAAATTCACAGTTCTTGGTCGCATCAACTTCAGCATTTTTTGACACCACAACAGCTGGTCCGCTTGCATACTTTTGCGACGAGCCAGTCGCTAAACTCGGGACGAATCTGCCGTGGGCGTTGGGATCGCACTGCGAGATGAAAGGTGAAAGCTCGGATCCATCGCCTGACGATCTGCCGGAAGTTAAGGACGGATAGAAGCCGCGAGCTGTTGGACATCGTTGCCCAACCACTACGGCGCTCACTCCGCTTGATTTATATTGGTTACTGCTACTGTATCCCTTAACACGGCATTAATATCGTCCAGTTCTTGCAATGGCGAATAATCGTTGGATAAGCAATCAATTCTTGATTCGACAGGGTGAGAATGAGCCTTGAGTGACGTGCGACTAAGCGACGAAGCATGCTGTAACGGTGGGCTGGAGGGTTGTTGTGTCCCCCAAAGACGTGTTGAGCGCGTGGGGGTTGCTGCCTCTGAGGTCGCCGGTCTGGCCGGCCTGGGCTGCACCGACCAAATCTTTTACAAGGTTCCAGCATACTCCGACCACATTATTGACGACCTTCCAAGACAACAGATCGGATGCGGCGCGAATGAAGACTCAGGTAAAGGTTGTTCTGCGCGCAACCGATTGATAAGGGATTGCATCCGTCCTGCTATAGTAAACAGTCAGAGTAGCCTGTATATGGGAAGAGTATTGGTAAAATACAGAGAGTAGGTAATTTGTTATTCAATAGAGCGTTCGTTTCGCCTTGTGCGACAAGAGTACCAGAGCAATCCGACGAAGATTTCGGGATTAGAGCTAGAATCCTGCTGCGCGTGAGCCCGCTGTGTATTTATCTACCCAGTCTTACGGGCTGATCACGCTGGGGGTTGGTGTAGCATCTTCAACAGTACTTGCCGATGGGAAGTCCAAGACTTAACGTAGCTGCTACGTCAATCAAATCTGTCGGATCCAGCGACTTGATCAATCGCCGAATGACCGGATTGCTGCCGTGCGCACCGGGGGCATATTCCGAGACCGAGAGTGCGTTTTCTGTCTCTCCATACCCCCTTTAAGCCGTACTCGATCTAGACACAAGCACGGCGTATCGAAGAAGGGGGGATATGGCGAAGAAGCCTCGAGATAGAGAGAGCTGTATGGAGAGCACGTCCGATGGCTGACTACTTCGGAGACAACCCGGCACATGAAATCAGAACGTGGTGCTCGATGTCGATCTGCGTAGCTCTGCTCGGTGCCGCCGCCGTCAGTGGCAACTCCGCAACAGCTCCTGCTGCCGATGATGCCCCGCCGCTGGCCACGCTCTCGGTCTTCGCGCACAACGCGACCTCGTTCAGGTGCATCGCGTGCGCCTTTGCAGCGCCGCAGATTGCAGACCTCCACGCTCACAGCTGCCGGCAGCACCGCGGCACCACATTCACGGACGTGTTCCATGGCGGATGCGCCTGTGCCGCGTCGTTCGCCCAGCGGGCAGCGGCAACGAGACACAGCCTCCGCTGCGGAACTGCGCCAAGCGCTCTGGGCGCCGCGCGCCCGACGCAGCAACCAGCACCTGCAGACACAGAGGCGGCTGGAGGAGGGCCCACGGTGACATGCCGTAATCCTCCCCCAGACTCAGCCATCACTAACACTTGTCCCTCTCGGCCGTGGCGTGCGCATCGTTCTCGTCTTTGTGTGCTTCCTCGCGCCACAGGTTTCCTGACGACGAATGCCTCGCCGACCGAGGCAACTGCGCCGCTGAGTGGCAACAAGCGCCGACGTCTGCACCCTCCGGCAGCGTCGACTCCAACTCAAGATGGTGACATGGAATTGCGTGCGACGGACCCCGTGGACGTCTTTCTTCGCCGAATGAGGGAATATTCGCCCGAGACCAGCTCGGCTACGACCTCAACGGAGACAGGGACAAAAACCTGCGCACCGACCCCAGCTGAATTAACTATACCGCCTGCAACAACGACAGCGGCCATGGGCCATGGCCCATGGCCGCCACGTTGACGACCCCACGTACCCTCGAGCCTCTGCATATGCCCTCGGCAGCGGGAGAACTGCTCTCTAGGCCCGGGACGGCGCCGGATGCGACCTCGGTTTCCTGCACAGTGACTGCAACCTTGACAGACCTGCTGGACACGGGTCCACTAGCTAACCTAGCGGCGGCAAGCACCGAGAACCCGCCGTGTGCGCCCGTGTATGCGGACGACCGAGACGAACCGATGCAGCTCTTGCCGGCCGACTCGACGGCCTCGCGCAGCACGGATGAGGAGATGGTGCCCGTGCCGACGTGCATCGCGAGGGTGCCCGAGCCTGCAACAACGACGACTTCGACGGATAGCAACCTGGAGAGACCTGATGACTTACTGTGGACATTATACTTTGACGGAGCGTGCCGCCACCGGTCCACGGCGATTGGAGCCGCCCCCGGTGCTGGTGCCACGCTGTTTGCCGGCACAGTGAATAAGTGGACTTTTGCTCGCTACCTGGATAGCACGACGCACACTAACAACACGGCAGAATACATCGCGCTCATATCAGGACTGACTGGGGCCTTGCATCACGGTGTCCGCCGTCTCACGGTGAAAGGTGATAGCACACTCATACTGGAGCAGGTACGCGGACGCTACGCTTGCAACAACGCGCGCCTACGGCAGCTGCGCAACCAGGCGCGTCGCCTCCTACGCCGCCTTGACTACTATGAGCTGGTACATGTTGATCGACTAGAGAACCGAGACGCCGACAGACTGGCGAACCGAGCTCTCGATGGCAGGCGCACTCGGACAGAGTGCGCTACGCACGGAATGGACGGCGATGGCTGCAGGGGGCGCTTAACTTCCGACCGACTAGCTTCAGGATCGCGAGCAGGACGTGACGCTGAGCCTCGTGAGCACCCCGTCGATGTGGAGATGGAGAATGCCGACGATGAAGCGGCGGCTACTGCTGCTGCTGACATCGTCCGCCGCGATCGAGGACAAACGTTTCCAGTGCTGCCAGTCACCGCTTACAGCACGCCGAGCCGCCAGCCAAGGTTGAAACTGCGGAACAACTTGACTGAGCGTGAACTCGAGGAAGCACATGCAGCGGTACAGCGACTCGGCCACGAGTTCGCGGACAAGCTCACCGATGTGGAGGACTGGGAAACAGCCGAAGGTTACCTTTCCGCGCTCACGCCTACGCTGTACAGCACACTGCTTCCTTTCGCGCAGCATCAACGCCCACCACGTCGACCTCGGCGACCTGCCGTAAACCCAGCCCGCCAGCGGGGTCGCCGCAGACCTCCACGGACACCGCCCAATGAACGACTCAACGCGGCCCTGGACCAGTTGGAGAGCCTGCAGACAGCGCCATGTCCGTCGCAGCCCGCCATCAGGAAAGCTCGGCGCCGTGCAGGTTGCATCCGCTCGGCGATGCGACGGACGTCGCTGCGTAAGAAATTCCGAACGCATGAGAAGGCATGCATGCAGCAGATATTCGCTGGCGCGAAAGCTGACCCGGAGCATGCCGGTGGACCAGCGGCCCCGACGAGCTGCCCGATACCCAAGTCGACGGTGCACGAGTACTTCCAGGGTGTGAATACGCCGCAGCACCAGTTCAACTTCGACGACGAGGCCGGCGAGCCCTTCCGTCAATTGCTGGCGGCGTTGCCACCGGCCTCTGCGGCAATGGATGCGCTCACATCGGTGATTGTGGCCGATGAAGTGGAAGACGCAGTGCATCGCGCGCAGGCCCGCTCCAGCCCCGACATCGATGGCATCGGCCATGACATTTACAAGACCTTCCTGCCGGAACTGCTGCCTGCGCTGCACGCTGCCTTCGCCGTATGTTGGAAGCACGGCAAAGTGCCGGCTCTGTGGAAGGTTGGCACGGTGCAGCTAATCTACAAGAAGGGCGACCCAGAGAGCCCCGGCAACTGGAGACCTATATGTCTACAGGCGTGCATCTACAAACTCTACTCCGACATTCTGGCGAGACGCCTTGTGACGTGGCTCGACGCGAACAACCGGCTTACCGACGCGCAGAAGGGCGTTCGCAGCGTCAATGGATGCGCAGAGCACAACTTCTTGAGCACGGCGGTGCTCGACCAGACACGCCGACGACCCAAACCTCTCCACCTCGTTTGGTATGACGTAAAGAACGCCTTCGGCTCGGTGCCGTCCGAGCTCATCTGGCGGGTGCTGCTGCTGCTCGGAGCGGACGCCTCGTACGTCGGACGCCTGCGTGACATCTACAGCGGCGCCGTGTTCACAGTGGCGAACGCAGCGGATGGCGCGACGGACCTTATTGAGCTACGCATGGGCGTGTTTCAGGGGTGCCCCCTGTCGCCATATCTGTTCCTGGTCGGCATCATGCCGCTCGTGCGCGCGCTGCAGGCACTTGCACCGGAGATCGGCGTCCCGATGACCAAGGACCGGAAGCTGTCGGTGACGGCGTACGCTGATGACTTGAAGACGTACAGCACGTCGGAGGCGGCGCTCGTCTGGTCGTTGCCGGGCATGGGCATGGCGAGCGTGGAGGCAGCAGCACGGTTATCGGCAGCTTGGTGCGCGTCAGCATCTTGACCGCCGGCGGCAACTTGGTCGGCAGCAGCTTGATCAGCATGGGCGGCTGTAGTTGGAGGTGCTGCCTCGTCGAGCACGGGCATCCAGTCCACGGCGGCGGCGCCCTCGTCCACGCTCACTAAGTCGCTGGCCGCGTCGCTAAAGAAGTCGCTCTCGACGCTCACGGCGTCGTCCTCTTCACGCGCCGTCACCGCGCTATACGCTATGCTGCTCACCGGCGACGCCGGCGGCTGCGAACCACTGGACAGCGAGAAGATCGCCATCGACACGCGCAACCCGCACGCAGCAGACACGCAGTAGAAGCAGGTTAGGCTCCGAAGAAGTGTAGTTGCTTGGAAGAGGAGGGTGGGGGCGGCGCACGCGCTCACCCCCGCTGACAAAAATTCTACTGTGGAATTACTCAAAAGAGCATTCCTGAACCCTTACAGCACCGGAGTGCAAGGGGCCTGCTCCGGCTCATGTCAACGCCCTCATTGAGCAGCGTCAAGCACCAGTCAGGTAAGTATGGTTTGTGGTAGAAATGGAGTGCACATTCCTATACGGTGGCTTGTCCCTCGCGAACATGTGGTGTTTATCGGTTTCAAATTTTAATTTTCGTGGAAATAAGTGAAATAAAAAGCATTCATAGCGACAATATCAATTCTGCTTACAGTGCGCGACATAACGAAAGCCTGGTTGATTGATACCTCGAATCACTAGTGGTGTCTGATTCGCAAACCTATCTTCTTCTTATAGCAGTCGGACACTTACCATGGGCGAGTCTCTAAGCGGTCGACTTCGCCTGGGCGCTCTTTTTCTTCTTTGACTTGCGTTTCTTGACTGTCTTGAATCCGTCGTCCTCAGTGGCCTTGGCGACTGCATGCGTTGGGGATGCAGTCACCTCGGCAGCCAGCGCCGGTTTGCTCTCGCTCGAGAATCCGTCGCGAAGGTAGATCTTCAGAGTGACGACGGTGTCTTCCAGCTGCTTGGGCGTGTGCAGCGCCGAGATGAAGAAGCGCAGACGGCACTTACCCTCCTCCACCGCGGGGTACACGATGGGCTTCACGTTGATCTTGTGCAGCGCCAGGAACTCCGAGGCCTTGGCGGTCGCGATGGTGCTGCCAATCATCACCACCACCACCGGCGCGCCGCGGAAGGTGTTCTCGCCCATCGGAATCTTGTGCTCTTTGCACAGATCGTAGAAATACTTACTCCGCTCCTGCAGCGTCATAGTGCGCGACGGACCTTCCGTCATAAGCTGGACAGACTTCAGGGCAGCCGACCCGCAAGCCGGGGCCAAGCCAACCGAGAACACGAAGCCACCAGCGCAGTGCTTCAGGTACTTGATCAGTGTCTGGGAGCCGAGGATGAAGCCACCAACCGATCCCAAAGCCTTGCTCATGGTGCCCATGCGCACATCAATTTCCTTCGGGTCTACGTCAAAGTGCTCGCAAATGCCACGGCCCGTAGCTCCCATCGTACCGAACGAGTGCGCCTCGTCAATGAAGAGCAGCGCCTTGTACTTCTTCTTGATGCGGACCATCTCGTGCACGTCCGGGATATCACCATCCATACTGTACACGCCCTCGATCACGATGAGAACACGACGGTACTTTGTGCGCAGTTTGGACAGCATACGCTCGAGCGCCTTGGTGTCGTTGTGCGGGAACGGCAGGATGGTTGCACCACTGAGGCGCTGGCCGCTCACACAGGAATCGTGGTTGAGCGCGTCGCACAGGATCAAGTCGCCTTTGGACACCAACGCATCGATCGTCGTGACATTAGACACCCAGCCGCCGACGAAGAGAATGCTGGCCTCGGCGTTGAAAAACGTGCACAGCGCCTTCTCCAAGTCCACATTAACCTGCGTCTGGCCCACAATCGGAGACGAGCTCATAGTCGTTCCGTACTCCTCGATAGCCGCCTTCGACGCAGCAGCCACCTCAGGGTCCGAGGCGTTTCCAAGGTAGTTGTACGTGTTGAAGTTCGTCATACGACGCTTCTCGGGTGTGAGCGTCTCCAAGAAGGGGACGCGCAATCCTGCACTCTCGAACTCCTTCATTTGGCTGAACAGCCCCTGTACCTCCGGGAAGTTGTCGATCTCGAAGCAGCTTGAGTCGATCTCCTCGACCGTCGTAGCAGTCTGCGCGGGCCCACTCTGCTCGTCACCTTCGTCGCCACCAGCAAGGTCGCCAGACGCAAGGCCAGGAGCATTCGCAAGCTTGAACGGCGTGTCGTACTGGAAGAATGCGGACGGAGACACAATGCAGCCAAGGAATTCACCCAAATCCGAAGACAGTCCAACGATCGCCACCGAATCCATTCCAAACATCGCCCACGGGGTGTTCGGGTCAATTTCGGCCGGGTTAGCCGTCTCTGACACCGCGTTCGAGCTCTCTCCGTCGCCAACCGCCGTTGGCACTTCCATCTCCTGAGCCACATGCTCGAGCAGCCATGCGAGAATTTCATCGGGGGTCTTCAGCTCCCCAGACGGTTTGTCCGAGTTGGTAGCTGCAGCCTTGATCTCAGTTGCCTTTGCTGGTGCCGGAGAAGACAAGACTTGAGCATTGCCTCCCTTCGCCTTGTACTCGAACAGAGGCTTGGTAAGCGTTCCCGCCAGGAAATGGGCCTTCGAGGCACTGCGCTGGATCTTGCCGCTCGTGGTCTTAGGAATCGTCTTCTGACGGAGCAGCACAATCGCCTCGCACTTCAGCTGGTGCTCTGAGAGCACCGTCTTGATGATCTCACGGCAAATCTCTTCCAGCGTCTGCTGCGACGATCCATTCTTCACCTCCGCAACCACCACGAGTGCTTCCTCATCACCCTTTTCAATGGAAAAAGCGGCAGTGCAGCCAGGACGGACATTTTCGTGAGCGTGCTCAACAGAGGCCTCCACATCTTGTGGGCACACGTTACGGCCGCGGATAATGATGAGGTCTTTCAGACGTCCCGTGACGAAGAGCTCACCGTTGCGAAGGAAACCCATGTCACCCGTGCGAAGGTAGGTGTTCTTCGAGTTCTTCTCGCCGGCGAGTTGTGCGCGGAACATCTCCTCGGTATATTCGGGGCGGTTCCAGTATCCGACCGCCACGGACGGACCCTGCACCCAGACCTCACCAACCTGCAGCTCGTCAAGCGGCTTCTTGGAGTCCGGGTCCACGACAGTCACATTGAACGTCGGCATAGCCTTACCGCATCCCACGAGCTGCATAACGTCGTTGGCAGGGGGCTGCTTGCCCTTCTTGGAGCTCACCACGGCGACCTTGCGCTCCGTCTCCAAAATGCACTTGTGCACATCCAGCAGCGTCGGCTTCTGGGGTGGCTCCTGGCCGGTGCACACCAGCGTCACTTCCGCCAAGCCGTAGCCGCAGTTGAACGAGTTGGGGTCGAATCCTGCAGCCTTGAACTTGCTCGTGAACGCGTCCAGCGACTCACGACGAATGGGCTCAGCCGCGCAGATCGTCTGCTTGAGGGTACTGAGGTCCATCTCGGCAGCCTGCTTGTCGCTCGTCTTTCTGGCCGCCAGCGCATAGCCGAAGTTGGGCGCGCACACGTGCGTGGCCTTGTACTTGCTCGCCGTCCGCATCCAGAGCGCCGGGTCCTTGATGAAGCTGATGGGCGACATGCTCACACATCTCGCCGCGGTGACACACGGGGTGATGATGAAGCCGACCAGGCCCATGTCGTGGTAGCTCGGCAGCCAGCTCACCATCGTGTCTGTGGGCACGATGCTCTCCCACGTTTTGAGCTGCGCTCTCAGGTTGCCGTGCGAGATCATGACGGCCTTGGGGGCCGACGTCGAGCCGGAGCTGTACTGGAAGAAGGCCACATCGTTGTGCGTGAGCGACAGCGCGTCCTCCTCGTCGTACTGCGCGACCAGCGAGTCCGCCAGGCTGTCGGTGGTGATCCACTTCAAGTTGGCCGGCCACGACGTCCTGTCCGTGGAGAAGTAGCCCTTGACCGTGGCCATCTTGCTCGCGAGGTGGTACGTCGTGTTGGTGAGCACAACCGCAGCCCCGGAGTCCTCCACCAGCCGGTTGAACTTGGGCAGATCCTTGGTCAGCGTCCCGGGGTACGGCGGGTACACGGGGATGCCCACGACGCCGGCGTACAGGCAGCCCCAAAAGGCCAGCGCGAAGTCCAGGCCCGGAGGGTAGCACAGCATGACCCTGTCGCCCTTGACGGCGCCGGCGTCGCGCTGCAGCGCCGCCGCTATCTTCCGCGCCGCGCGGTCCACGTCCTCGAAGCTCAGGTTCACGGTCTCGCGGCCCAGGTCGTCCAGGAACGTGTACACGATTTTGTGGCGCCACTTGTCGGACGCCGCGCGGCGCTTGAGCTCGGCGACCACGGGCTCCGTGTTGACGGCCACGCCGTTGGCTACGACCACCGGATGCTTGAGCTCTGCGGCCGCGTCACCAGAGGGGCCCTTCTTCTTCTTCTGGCGGCGCTTCTTGCGCGCGGGCGTCGACGCCTCCTCGGGCCCGTGCTGGCGCTTGGTGCAGTGTGCGCCTAGCGCGGCCACGGACGCCACGGCGGCCAGCGATGCGGCCGCCACCACCTCGAAGGCCACGTCACCCACGGCGTTGACGAGCAGCGACGACATTGAGAGCGGGGAGGGAGGGGCTCAACTAGGAGACCAAGCACTGCCTGCTCAGCTAGTCGAGGGAATTGGCGAGTGTGTGGTTCAAAGCGCGGACGCTGAGCGTCCCGCAGTTGCGCTGGGGGCTCTTGAGGTTTGTATGCTCGGATTTTGGTCTAGTTTTGGCCAATAGAGAGGCGACAGCTAGGGTCGTAACGGTATCAGATGGTGCTTTCAATACGCATTGCAGGTTTGAGAGGGATATGGACAAGGTCATTTTGATTTCACTTCAACTTGCTGTTGTTATTACGTATGGGTCCTTTTCACCGCTTGTGCAGTCGGCTGAACGTCGGCATGTTGGCGTTCCGCGCGGCGGGCGGCGGCGACGGCGACGGCATGGGCCCCGCGCGAGAGTGAGAGGACTGCGGCGCAGCGAGTCTCGGCAGCGCGGTGCTGGTCCCCACTACCATTCCTGGACCTCCAGGACGTCGCGCAGGGAGCGCGTTGGGCGGCGCAGTGTTGCGCTGGATCAGCGGCAGCTTGTTGGTGATATGTCCGGGTGCTGGTCCCACTGCCAGATTCGCGCGCTGGCCCGGTCCCGGTGCTTGTCGTGTTGGTCCTGCTGCTGATACTCGAGCTGGGGCTGCAGAGCGTGCTGGTGGTAATGACGACCCGCCAAAGCGCTGGACCGATGAGGCGGTCTGGCGAGTGTTCGCCCCAATCACTGCACTTCGCGTGAACGAGCGCTGGTTGCGGCTAGCTGTTGCTGTCGCTGTTGTTGTGTTGAACCGGCCACTGGGTCTGCTGCTGGTAGGTGGCAGGCGCTGGAAAGCCTCTTTCCGCTTGGTAAAACCTTTCTTGATATCGTCGAGTTTCTGAAGATGCGGGTTTGCGATGCGCTTGCCGGAGGCCGCACCAAGGGTAGGAGCTCTTACTCGTGGCTGTGGAGGTAACCGCTGCTTGGGATTTCGTGCAGAAGCAGCAGTTGACGACTTTGTTGTTGCTGCTGCTGCTCCAGCGCGAACTTGTGAGGTGGCAGCCTTGCGCTGGTTTGCAGCAGCACGCTTTTTCTCGAGCCAGCCTTCAATAACTACATCCTGCTTGCGCGACTGCTCTCGCGCCTCCTTCGCTTTCTCGTTCTTGAGGAAGTTCCGTCGCTCACGCTCGGTCATTCGTCGGAGCTGCCGTTGTTTGCTCTCCGGAAGGCTCGTGAGGAACGTGTCGTTTTTCGATTTCGAGCGGTTCCTCGCGCCTGTGTTGCTACCATTAAGCGTACGCTTCTTGGCATTCGCCGCCGCAGTTGCTCCCTGGGCCCGACGCGATGATGATACTGTAGTTTTATCTCTGGCGCGCATTTTGGTGGCTCCAGTGACCGCGTACACCGTTTTGGAAGGCTCATGAAGTCCACCGGTGGTTCTTCTCTTTGCAAACCGGAGTCCGTTGGCAGCGGCCTGCTTCGGGCCTGCTGTTCTACTCGAGGTATTGCCGTCTCGCGCATCGTCGAGGTCATCAACCGCAAGCCCCGCATCTTCCAGGTGGCGAATGCGCTGCTCAAGCTCCATCAGTTTATCGAGGCTGGTCACCACATTGGCATTGTCCAAGGCAGCCTTGCCCCCTGCGGCCATCGCAGCGCGATGGTAAACACTGTTGCTATTGCCTCGGTCGTGCTTGTCTGGGGGTGCTGCTTCCTCGTCTTGGTTCGAACCTTTTGCCTGCATCTTAGATCGGCTGGTTACGCTCCCATTAGCTTGAAGCTCCCACATCTTTTCGCGATATTGCTGACGCCGTCGCTGCATATCCTCTCGCTGTGCCATCGATTCCTTCAGCTTCCGCAGGTGCTGAATGTGACGCTGTACATCGTCATCTAGCTTCGCTTCATCGCGTTGTCCCTTGACCTCGAGGTTGCGGAAAAACTCCGAGTTGACCTGGAGCGGCTTGAGTTGCTCCTCCTCAATGATCTGCTGCGCTCGTTGCGCGCGCTCCTCCCGCTCGCCCTGCGTGAGGGCGCTCGCAAACTGCGTGTCTTCTTGCTTGATCTTGTTCGTTTTGATAATTGCAGCCTTGAGAGCTGCTTCGTTCGCGAGCTTGTGCCAGTTCAGCAGCTTCATCTCTTGCTGCAGCTCCTCCGCTTGTGAGATCGGTGCCGCCGAGGCGGCACTGGTTCCCCTGGTTTTCAATTTCCTGCTCGTGTTCACAGCTCCGTTGCCCCCAGCGCGAGAGCTTAGCGCCACCTTGGAGGGTTTTCCATTATCAGGCCCAGCGGCTTCCAGCCGCTCGTCGTACTGGCCGTCGTTGTTGGACTGGTATTCATCGAGCTCACGCACCCAGCCCGAGTAGTCAGCGGCTACCGCCATTGGTAAGAGCTCACGGCTGCGAGAAGAACACGACGACCGAGCGTAGTGTTTGACCGAGACGCACTGGATTGACCAGGGCAATGCACAATCATGGAAAACAGGAAGGATAAGGGCGCCGTCTAAATAGCGATGAGGGTGGTGCCCTCGCCCCCTTGCTGTTTTTAGCCGGGCATGCCTCGAGTGAGACGCAAATAGCTGCCCAATCCACTGCATTCATTGGAACGAGCATGCATGTCTTGCTGCACTGGGCGCTGCATGTGCTCAGTCGAGCCTAGGCCTTACATTTTCGAGCAGCCCGAATGGAGCTTGACGCTTCGACAATCGATCGAGTCATGCCGCCGTTGTTTTGATACGGTGCGCACCAAAGACTTTGATCCCAAGTCGACGTCAACACTGCATACAGCTCCGGCTCTACTGTGGATGCTCACGCTTGGGGCGAATCTTACAATAACTCGAGCGAAGTCAGTGTAAGCGGTCGAATCTCTCAGACGCGCTGCTGTGGCTGAGGAAACACAGCCACCGCTGAATCGTGCACCCATGGGCACCTGAGCCGAGCACGCTCCTTGATGCCAAGCCTTTGCCGGTGCTGCGTGGGCCGTGATGGTTCGCCTGAACCGAGCACGCGCTTTTGTTAGTCGGCGGTTTCGCGGTGCCTCATGCATGGGCCGGTTGAAGCTCAGGCAATTGGCTCTGCAGCCCTCGGGGGCACGCGCTGATGGTATCACGGGTGGACGCCGTCGAAGCCTGACTGGACTGTTCAACCGCAGGTGTCGACAATGCGGGACGCCGTATTGTGTGTTCTGTTCAAAAATTCCGCGGGCGGTTTGTTGAACGCCCAAGCCAAATCTCCGACCAATCTCCGTGGCCACCAGGATTGGTTATTGGCACCCGTTTAAGTACGAATTGGTCTTGACTGTAGTAACGTACTGTACACTGCCGCGCTTTATCAACACGGTGGCGGCGCTGCAAACAAGAATCTCGTGGGCAGCAAATGCCGCGGTATTCGTCGTGCAAGCCTCTCTTTTGGAGGGCGAATCTGCACATTCACCAGCCGCGATAACGCAGCGTTTTAGATTCGGACATCTGACCTGCGTGTCCGCGGAGGACACATGCGACAGTCGCAAAGACCCAGCTTGCCGCATCGAGTGGACGTCACCGGGCCAGCAACAGACTGCAGACCTAGAAGGGCCACGGTGCTGGCTGGCCAAGCAGCGCCAAGAACAGCTCCGCAGCACGCTGAGCAGAGCACGCGCCTTTCGGACAGCGGCAGCTCCCTCTCGGGTGCGATTTGATGGCGCCACGCCGAACGCCGGCACGGTGGCAGGAAGAGCTCGCTCTTCCTCGCGCGTGGCGTCGGCCAGTACGGTAGCGCTGCCGGACAAGCAAGCTGACTATGTAACGTTAGTTGGCAGGTGCGTTTTGGTGGTTTGCATTGCTAAACTTCAAAAATGGCATTTTGCTAGCCGCGCCGCCAACAGATATGCTAAACTCGCCACAGCGGTAGCGGCCTGGAGAGCATCCCGCGCGCGGCGCAGTGGCCGGCATTTGCGGCGTTCATTGGCTTGCTCCGAGCCGCGTTGCAGCGTGGGGCGCTTCAATTGGGCCGGTGCTTGCCGTCGTCATGCCTGCGCTTGGACGGCCCGTTCTGGTGTTGCAGGGGTCCGTTTCGGAGACCGTACATAGTGCGCGTCTCTTGGTCTCCGGTGCGCCCATTGGCCAAAATTGCCACGTAGACGAATCACGGTACCTAAGTGGCTACAGCGGACCTCGGACGTGCCCAATGAGCTCGGGCATCGGCCCAAAGTGGCATTTCCCCGTTTTCCGAGGGCTGGACGGCTTCGATGCCGGTCAGGCATTCGCCACCGCCGTCGCCGTAGCGCTCTCTCACCGCCCACTTCCGCATTTGGTTCGACGCCCGCACGCGTGCGAATCTAATTGGGCCTCGCCACGCCAGCGCGAGGAAGACAACTCAGTGCGACTGCTGGCCCCACGCCGTCCGGCCTTAAAGCTTCCGCCCTCGCTCACCGCGCACTGCCCCTGACGGCGAGATTTCGTCCGCCACGTGACCGCGTCGACAACCTCCGGAAACGCCACAACTCAATCCGCTGCGCTGAACGAACATGGCCGCCAAGACCCAGCTCGACTTCATCCTGAACCCCGTGGAGGCCGCCGCCGCCGCCTCGATGCAGCGGCTCGCGCCGCTCCTGCCGGCCGCCGCCACGCTGCTGCCCAGGAGCTGCGACAGCCTGTCCCCGACGACCTGGGCCTCGGGCTCACCCAGCTCCGTGTCCGCCTGGAACGGCGAGCAGGCCGCGCTGCTGCGCTCGCCCGCCACCCCCACGCTGCGCCGCAAGCGCGACGCCCCGCAGCTGCCGAGCCTGGTGCTGCCGGCGCCCTCCAAGAGGATCCGCTGCGCCGGCGCGCTGCCCTCGATCTTCGTGCCCGCCGTGTCCTCGCTGACCTTCGACAGCTGCGCGTCCGCAGCCACGAGCTCCGAGGGCGAGACTTCGGACGCCGACCTCAGCCCCAAGCAGGGCGGCGCGGCCTCGCACAAGAAGACGCGCCTCTGCAAGGAGAAGGGCTGCACCAGCCTGGCCGTGTCGCGCCGCAGCTGCGTGCGTCACGGCGGCGGCTCGCGTTGCACCTTCGAGGGCTGCACCAACGGCGCCAAGCTGCGCAACCGCTGCTTCCAGCACGGCGGCTCCACCATCTGCCTCGCCTCGGGCTGCAACAGCAAGGCCAAGCGCTACGGCTACTGCTGGTCGCACGGCGGCGGCCGTATCTGCAGCGCGGAGGGCTGCGTCAAGGTGGCGGCCCAGGGAGGCTCGTGCTGGGCGCACGGCGGCGGTAACCGCTGCAAGCTCGAGGGCTGCAGCAAGCGCTCGTACCAGAAGTACGGCTACTACTGCAAGGCCCACGCCGCCTACAACGTGTGAGGAGAGACACCCCGCCCGCGCGCGGTGCCTATTTATTTGGATGAAGAGTATTGAAGACGAGGAATCTAGCCAAGTTGGTAGCTGTCTGTCTGCACGATGAACCTAGCTTCCCGTAGCGTTTTTTAAGCATAACATGGTGCAAGTTGTTTGACACGCAAAACCTGGTCCACTGCGCGAACACGATCTTCTTGGCCCGCACCAGAAAGCAGCGATCTTATCATGAGTCTCATCTACGGGGGCAGCGTCACGAGCGCCGAGAGCCTACCAGAGACCGTGGCCGGCGTGATTCACGCCTCGAAATCATCCCGCCGTGACATACCGGTTCGCGCTGTTAAACGCGAGGCGTTCCACACACCGGACCGCATCCTCCTTTTGTTCTCGACCGCTGCCTGCATGCATGCGCGCTACCGTTGCCGCCATGATGGCGGTCGCGCAGTGCCGGTGTCGCCATGACGCGACGACATTCGGGCCCCGATTGGTGGCGGCGCCCGCTGACGCCCCAGAACCATCACACCAGCAGAAACCAGCCAAACACCAGCGACCGCACGGCCTGCACGACTCAAATGAGCAGCAACAAGCATGAGTGTGTGTGTGTTGCTGCTTGATACACTGTACTGAACTCTACCGGTTCACGCGCTTGATTTGCCAGCGAACCGAGCACCTCTTGCAATGGTGTCACGGCCCGACACCGGACTCCGATCGTTTCTGAATCTTCAGAAGTACACATTGGAGCGAAAGACTCGAAGGAATCCTTCCGGCACAACAGGCTAGCAGATCCACGCAGCCCCGGCCGGCCAAGGCGCGGTCTCGAGTATCATGCATCCTTCGAGCAGCGCCTTGCCCACGGACAATGCCCGGGAAGAGGAGAGCGCCGTGGCGTTCTGGTGCATCCCCCGCGGTCAGTTCATGCTGGAAGTGCCGTCTTGTCGCTGCGCGTCACGGGAGCTGCTCGGGCTTTGCGCGGCCTGAAGAACCGGCACGGGCGCAGAGAGCGGCAGGAGGGTCCCCCAGGCCAAGACACGGGGGACCCTCCTTGGCAACGACCTTGCGGCCTGGTGGCAACGCGCAGGTAACCTTCTCCAGGCCCCATCGACGCAGCCCTGCGTCGACGCGAGCATCTACATGAAGTGGCGGTCGGTGTGAGCAAAACTCGCTTGCTCGCTACGCCGGCAAGATTCTCGCGAAATTCGAGACGAATCTGCACATTCAACCACCGCCATCGCTGCTGCTGCTGCTGCTGGCAGCGATGGTTGTTGCCGCTGATGCAGCCCTGGTTTAACGCGCCCGTTCTTGATGGCGCCGGCGCCATCTGCGTTGAAGTGGCAGGGCTCCACCACCAGCACGGCAGCCGTTGCCGGCCCAAAGGCGACGTCACGCCCCATCCCCGCCGCGCCGGTGAGCGTCACGGGCGACTTCGGCTCGAGGATTGGTTGTTGCTGGCCCGGCCTCGCTCGGTCGAGCAGCTTGCTTTGCGGGGCTCACTTTCTCCTCTCGCCCGGACCGCCATTCCCCGATTGAAGCGGTCTTACTGAAGTGCCTATAGAGACCCCCCTCCTTCCGGACCAACATGCCGCGCGAGGACGAGAACAAAACAGCGCTGGCCTTCATCTTGAACCCCTCGTCGCTGCACACGCCGTCGCACGGCAGCAGCAGCGCCTCCGTGTCCCCCACGATGTCCCCTCTCAGCAAAGCGGACATGGGCATGGCCGACTCGGACGGCAACGAGGACGAGAACGACGCGGACGTGACCGACGGCGGCGCGCGCCTCTCCGGGATGCACATCGGCGGCCGCAGCCTGCTCTCGGGCAACGCCATCATAGAGAAGCGCGTGGAGCAGTTGCTGGCCACCGGCAACCACCACGGCAAGATGCGCGTGCGCAAGTCGTCCATCTGCGCGCAGGAAGAGTGTCCTCGAGCTGCCGTCTCAAGAGGACGCTGCGTGCGCCACGGCGGCGGCTCGCGCTGCACGTACCCGAACTGCACGCACGGCGCGCGCCTGTACAACCGCTGCTTCCACCACGGCGGCTGCAAGCTCTGCAAGATCGCTGGCTGCACCAGCAAGGCCAAGCGCTACGGCTACTGCTGGTCGCACGGCGGCGGCCACATCTGCGACGCCCCCGGGTGCTCCAAGGTCGCGGCGCCCGGAGGCTTTTGCTGGGCGCACGGCGGCGGCAACCGCTGCAAGATAGAGGGCTGCAACCGCCGCTCCTACCAGAAGCACAACTACTTCTGCAAGCAGCACAACGCCTCGCAGTCGGCCAAGGCGCCGTGAAAGAGAGGGCGATTCGTTCGTGACACCAGACATTTTATGAGCGCCCCTGGGGGCTGCATACACGTTGGTTTTGTGAGTTGTAAGAGTCAATAAATTATTACTGCGATCACTCAGTCAGCGCTCTGCAGCTCACAGCATGTCGTCGGCATGACAGCATGTCGTCGGCATGACCAGCATGCTTCTCCAGGTTTCTGAAGTTTCCGATGGATCGACGGCTTCCATATTTCATAGACCGTCCGGCGAAAGCGGCATTCACGGCACTCTGTCTCGCAATGCGCAAACGGAGGCTTGCTACCATGAACAAGGCACAGTAGACACCAAAAGCTCACGGCCATGGCAGTGCACTGTGATCTCTTCTTCTCTCCGTCCCTTCGGGATCATGCTGGATTGCTGGCAAATCTTGTCAACTGATCGTCCAGCTGGAATCAACCCAAGTTGCCCCAAGTTGCAGCAACGTAGAGCAACTGTTGCTCCGCGCAGCTTCACTCCGAAGCTGCCTGCCAGGGGCTCCGCTGCTACGGTTGACGTGTCCATATGAGCTCCGGTACTGTACGAAGAGAAAGAGAATACTGTACGTATTACCGCAGTCACCTATTTGTATCCTAGACTTGGCACGATTCCGGTGCAATCGCATGTAATAATGGAAACTTGTTTGTCGGGTGTTACACGATAGCTCTCGGGAAACTAGCCGCCAAGACGCCGCGCTGGGCGTAGCCTCCGATGGCATCAACACAATAAGAAGGTGACGAGGGCCTTGCTTCACTCGAAGTTATCGCTCGTATTGTACCAACTTTGCGGAATTTCAACCACTGCTTTCCTCCCATCTACGGCAAAAATAGGGGGCACACGCTGCTACCACCAAAACGGTGTTCCCCGTTCAGTGTGATTGCAGTCGAATCCTGTGAAGATTTGGTAGACCAGATACAGTCAAACCTGTTTATATGAGGCCCTGTTGGTGACCATCTACTACAATCACTCATATAAAATGGACTCAGTTAAAAAAATTATGTGGTGCACGTAAAGAAATCGTGCATAGTTTGCTGCCGCTTTGCCTTCACCGTAGTCTCTCGAACCAAAGCGGTCACGGTCTGTAAAGCTCTTCGTTCTCTGTCAGTCTGCTCTCCGCATTGCAGCAGAAATGCAGCCAGCTCCATGCAGTATCTCAGAGCAATGGCAGGTTGAACTGCGGGTTCCTGTTCCTCCTATTCCTCCTGCTCGTCCTGCGAAACTGCATCACTTCCTGCCGCTTCGTCCACTAGCACATCTGGCTCGTGCACAGGAACGTCTTCGTCCACTGCCAGATACTCACTAGCGCTAACAGCGCCCTCCCACCTCGATAGCATCGCCGTTAACTCCTCCATCTCGTTGCTGGATACCTCCTCAATGTAATCCGTGTCACCACGGGTCCTTCCTAGCATCTTTCCTCCCAAAATGCGAGTCTTGACCCAGCAATTTGTAATTGTCGTTGGCGTCACACCCGCCCAAGCATCAATGGAGAATTGGACAGCTTCCAGTACGTTGAGCTTGATTGTAATTTTAGCTTCAAGTGCATCCAAACACCACCGCACAAAATACTTTCGGTACCGAGCCTTGAACGACCGGATAATACCTGAATAAAAAAACACCGTAATAGAGTTGGTTAGTTTAGGCTACACCACAATATAGATAAAATATTTACCTGCATCCAGCGGCTGTACGGCGGATGTCATGTTAGGAGGGAGGAAGTGAACAGTCACATGAGTCAGGTTTCGTAGAATCTTGTGGCATGAAGCATTGTCGACTAGAAGTAGGACCTTGCGATTGGCGGCCGCCATTCTCATGTTGAAGAGGTGCAGCCATTCGTCAAAAATGACGGATGTCATCCAGGCGTTCTTGGAGGACTTGTACAATATAGGTTTACCTTTAATCGCCGCTCCCTTTTTAAAGCACCTCGGGTTCTTGGCCGTACCGATGACTATTGGGTCGAGCTTGTCGGAGCCAGTCGCGTTGCAGCAGAAGGCTAAAGTCAAACGTTGCTTCTCCTTTTTCTTGCCCTTGCGAATAGTCGTAGCTAGCGTTCGATTAGGCGCTAAGCGATAGAAAAGCGCCGTTTCGTCGAAGTTGAACACATTCTCGGGTGTAAACTGCACCACCACTCTTGTAGCTCTAGCCTCGCATCTCGCACTTCATCAGCTTCTACAGCGCCACCTTCGCCGTGTAGCGTATGGGAGCGGATCCCATTGCGCTTCTTAAAGCTTTGAAGCCAGCCGTTGATTAGCCGGAGCTGCGTGGCATCGATGCCTAAGCGCTCCGCCAGCTCATGCGCCTTCAGCAGGAGCACGTCGTCCGCCATCGCCGTTTTAGCTTCGTTCTGAAAGAAAAATTCCCTCAGTTCCCGCTCGAACTGAGGGAATTTCACTCGGCGCCGCTTGGTCGCACTCAGGTCGACGTGGCTGAAGTAGGAAGAAGGCAGGTTGCGCAGTCGGGCGAGTGTGGCACGGCTGACCCGGGCCTTGAAAGTTGCGTAGATCCACTCGGCGAGCATGGGGTTGTTCATGCCAGGATTCTGCTTGAGCTTTAGGTGCACTTGGAGCTTTTGTTCTAGCGTCAGACAGGTGCGAGGAGACATGGCGAGCGAAGAAGGCTTGCGGTAGGCGTTGAGTGTTGAGCAGTGGTGCTTTGAAGAGTGTGTGGCCGTGAGCAGTGTGAATCAAATAAACAGGTGAGACCTAATTTGGTCCCCAAAAATGTGACTCATATACCTTGTATGCATATAAACAGAGATCATACAAAAACTAAGTGAAATATTTGGTAGCGACAAAGCCTGCATCAAATAAACGGCATGGCTCAAATAGAGAGGATCATATAAACAGGTTTGACTGTATAGCCAATTTTCGAGGTTCGGGTTAAACTTGTCAGGAGAGGGCGACAATAAATTACCTTACCGTCGGAGGCACTGATTTTTCGAAAAATAAGAGCCGCCCCGCGCCCCCCGTTTTGGATGGCATTCGTCGATCGGCCCCAAGAGAGAAAGAAGCAAGAGTGAAGGTCCCTGCACAAGAATGGCGCACACAACTGGCACGGTACGCTTACATGCGAGTCATGGGTAAGGAATATGTGTTACTGACATTTGCTTCTATTAGCCTGGCTCGTCGAAGCGCCCTCCAGGTCCCGAAGACGCCCATGTGACGCGTGCGCAGCGCGACAGTGCTGAGTCGGAGCGGAGTCGAGTCGGCAGCGCCAGCGCGAACTTCGGCATGAAACGGACAGGACGCTGCGCGATCTCCCCCCGCTGCCAGTGTACAATCGCGGTGTGCTGGAAGAGCAGCGTGCCGCGATTGTGACGCGCGCACGCCGCGACGAGCAGGAGATCCGACTGGCGATGGACGGGAGGCACAAACGCACTCGGAGTGCTACCGCCATGCTGCGAAGTGAAGATGGGAAGAAGGCTGGGCAGAAGGCCCGGGATGAAGCCCGCGAGCAGAGCATGTACGAGCGGTGGGAAGCACGTGCCGCGCGCGAGATGTTCGGCATAGAGCCAGATTCGGATTCTGACGACGGCGCCCTTGCCGAAGCCATTTCCGCTTTGGACGAGGCCGACGAAGAGCTGTCTCCTGGCGGCACGGACGACTCCGACTACGAGGAGAATCCCCTGCCGTTCGGCACCGACCCAGACGCCAGTGACGAAGATGACGAAGACAACGATGATGAAGAGCGCGAATCGGCCGCTGAAAACGACGGTGATGAGAGCGAGGATGCTGACGAAGACGACAAAGACTGGCGTGGGAATGAGGGCAACGTCGAAGAGGAAGAAGGTGACGTCGGGAGTGGAGACCGCGCAGACGAAGTGGACAGCGAGGAAGACGACGAAGGGGACGAGATTCGGTTGGTACCCGAACCGAAATCTCACCGAAGTTCGCACCTTCGCGTGAAGCGAGTTGTGCCTGTGTGGTTCTACGGATTCAGCACCACGTTCGACTCGTGGGATACGTTCCACACCTCGTTCGACGACTTCCAGGCTCAGACATTCCAGCAGTTTTCCATGCGAACAAGTACGTCAGTTTTCCTGCGGAACAAGCAAATTCTCGAAAAGGACAAGGAAAGGAAGCGAGCCGCAAAGAAGGCCCGGAAACCGATCACCTTGGTTCCGGCGGAATGGGTGACGTACTCGAAAACGCTGGTCTGCACGCATGGTCAGCCCTTCGAACCGAAGGGCAAGGGAAAGCGGCACCACAACAACGTTCGCGACACGAAGTGCAAGGCGAGATTGAATGTGCGTGTCGCTGCCACGTTCAGCGGAATATGGCGTTTACGCGTGAACGCCACCGGCAAACACAATCCCGACTTGAACAAGCATCTTTGGGAGAGCTACGCGGAGAACCGGACGGTGAAGGACCCGCAGTTGACGGAGGATGTGGCAGTGCTGCATAAGGCTGGGGCGAACACGCACGGCATCTTGCAATACCTGCGTGAACGTACAGGTAAAGTCTTATCACTTTCTGTGTGATTTTGGTTTGTTCCTAACTATTTGCTGTGGATATTTGGTGGTATGTTGTAGGCAAGAAAACCACGTCCACAACATGGTGCAGCGATACAAACTGACCGAGCAAGCTGGTCTTACTGATGCGCAACGCGCATTTGCAGTGATGGAAGAGTTTTGTCTGCAGCACGATGGCAACTCTGCTCAAATTCTTGTGGATAGCGACTCCAACGTTGCTCGCGTCGCCACGTTCCAGTCCGCAAGTATGAAGCGCTTGTTCAAAGCATTTCCGGAGGTAATTCTCGTGGATGCCATGCACGACACGAACGTGAACCGCTACAAGCTGTTCAGCTTCGTAGTGCACGACGTGTTCGGAAAGGTACTGACGTAGACAAGGTTTTTGTTGTGCTGTACTTTAATACACTATTCTAACCTTATCATAGGGTCAATATGTCCATCATGCACTTGTAGACAGTGAGCACAAAGACAATCTGCGCCGAGTGATGGAGATCTTCAAAGCAAACAACCCTGACTGGGCCAAAATCCAAGTGGTGATGACGGACAAGGCTGCTCATGAGAAAGAAGTTCTGCGAGAAGAGCTGCCCGACGCTCAGCAACTCTTGTGTCGGTGGCATGTGATTACCTGGCTGAAGAAGCAGGCTGCACGTCTGGCGTCATCGGTGAAGAAGTCGGTGAAGAGCCTGATGCGGTTGATGGTGTACGCAAGCAACGAGGACGAGTATGAAGATGCAAAAGGAGCTGTGTTGGAGTTGCTTGGAGGCGATACATCACACGAGTTGTACCGCACGTTCATGGCAAACTGGGACAGTAACCAGGACGAGTGGGTTTCCTACAAGCGCGGCAACACGCCGCACCTGACGAACAACACCAACAATAGGATCGAGTCCAAGTGGAGGAAGATAAAGGATGTTATTAACGACTCCTTCACTATCGACCAACTCCTGTCTACGCTGATGACGCTGCAGCACTATGCCGAAGAGCAGTATCTCGCAGAATACCATCGAGTTGGGAGCCGGCCTTCGCGGGATTCGGAGGACCGCGAGCTGACGCTGCTGGCTTTGCAGGTGAGCCCGTTTGCCTTCGAATTGGTCGCCAAGCAGCACACCTTGGCAGCCGGTCCGAACGCAGACTACACGGTTGAGCTGAACACACCAGGACGAGCCACTGTCACGAGCCCAAGGTCTGGAGAAGTGCATGAAGTCAACACGAGGGTAAGCTATTCAAGTTATGGTATACTTTTGGTCTATTCAGTTATCTTTGGTATTGACGACTGCCATGTAATCTGTGCTGTACAGACGAACTCCTGCAACTGTATCTTCATGAAGACCTGCTTGCTACCCTGCCGCCACGTGATGTACGTCCGGAGTACGTCCAACTTCGAAACAGTACTGCCCCCGATGCACTGTTTTCCTACACGATGGATTGTGCAGAGTCCAGAAAACAACATCGACTGGGGAGAAATTCCGTGTGGAGGGTTGAAGCAAGGGAGCTGTCCGTCTCGAGCGAAGGAGCGAGCTTTGTCGGGAGCTGCGATGTACATCGAAGCCAAGGCAACAACGGAGAAGATCATTGCAAGAATGGCACTTCAATCTACACCCACATTTCGGATCGCGCTGAAGTGGCTTCAGGATTTCTACGAAGCGCTCAACTCCGGCGACGTGGTTGCCTTTGCAGAGCGCGAGGTTCCGGTATTCACGGGGCTTTCTCTAGTGACCTCCAGAGCAAAGGAAACCACCAAGGTTGAAGATACTGGCGGAATCGAAAGAAGTGAGGAGGAGTCCTGCAGCACTGCTGTTGAAGCCGATGTGGCCGCTGATGGAGAAACTCAAACGGGTGCGGAAGCAGAGGAAGATGGCAACGCTACACCCTCCGACCAAACCTTACAAGATTCTACCGAACGCACACAAGCCTCCACCGAATCGAGAAAGCCGTCAGAAGAACGCCCGATGGCAGTCACGTGGACGTTTGCGGAGCGTCCAGTGATCAATGGAATGACCAAGGATCAGCGAAAGCGTGCCCAAGCTAGACAAGACCGTGAAGCTGCATTGGAACTGGCAGCTAAGTACCGCCAACGAAAAGTGGGAAAATTGGTTTCATTCGATGATGTTGCCGCTTTGCTTGACGGACCCTACAGTCCATTCCACTCGAAGCCTATGGTTGACGCGCTTATACTGCCCCAAGTTGATGTTACCGGGCCGCTGTCCGTCCGAGCCTTCAAGATCGACCAAGACATTCCGTTTATCAAGGGTATCCCTCCGCTACCCATTGTGACGGAGGCTATTGACGCTATCAAGATAAGGCAGGACATCGACCTTCTTGCCTACTGGCCAGACTACGGCTACGCTACATTTGATCAGCTGGACGCTATGGCAAGCATCCTGGAGGCGCGTCAGCGATTCGCGTTGGTGATGCGCACTACAAAGTGGATTGACGAGGTGGAGTGGCGTGTTGAAGACCTTCGCGAGCCGTTCACGGACACGAGGGCAACCACAAAGGTAAGAAACAATTCACAGCATTTGAACTGAAGATGCACCAAAACTAACAAAGTATCTTGTGTATTGCAGAACGAGCACAAGGCTTACGTCGAAACGCTCAATCTGAGCGAAAAATCGCGTGCCCGGTGAATGTGTGAACGGACACCAACTGCTGGACTTCCGTGAGAATCTGTGGCTGCATACCACGTCCATCTTGGTGTCGCTGATGGCTTTGCGCGATGCTTACCCGGACGTCGTAGGCATCATCAGCCCCAGCTATCACGACTTTGCGTTGCCGGAGCAAAACGCAGGACCGCGGCAGGATTCGGGGCCAGCGACCCTAAGAACAAGCGTGTCATTGGAATCATTCACATCGAGCGGCACTGGGTGGCGTTTTTAATCGACAGGACGGTCGCCAAGGGCACGGCGACATGCTTTATGTTCGACCCTCTACAAAGTCGAAGCAACTACACCGTCATTGAAAAAAGCGTGCGGACCGTGATTGAAGGGGTGCTTCTGCTAGGTGGCATGGTGAACTACGAGAAGGTGGAGTGGTGCACTCAGCAGGACAACAGTTCTTGTGGCGTGTGGTGCATCGCAGTTCTGGAGATGCTGCTTTGCGACGCTTCGTGGGACGACTGCATCTACAGGTTGCTGCCGTACCTGCGGCTGCGCTATCTGCAGAAAGCTCTTGCTTTCCTGGGCAAAGAGGCAGCTTGAGAGGGATGAGAGGGTGACTTCAACTTCAATATACATATCATCTGATTTCGGTATTAATTTTGGTGTAACCGAAAATATTGTACCAAAATTAATTTCAACCATCACGAAAATCCGCCAAGTCCCACGATTCCCAAATCTAGACTCGTTCCGAAAAGACTGAATCTCAATGGTGTATTTTGCTTACACAAAAACGAAGATAAAATAGTTTTCCCCTAGCTAATGGGTAACATTTCGATACGTGTTTTTGAGGAACAGCGGCGCACCCTAAATGGTCAAATAATGGCCGTCTAAATTCGGTGGTAGCAGCATCGTCCAAAATAGGGCCCTGCCTGGGCCCAATTCGCTATTCGAGACCAACATGACCTCGTCGACGAACACGAGATCCGATCCCGCTGCGCACAGGCGCTCGGTGTCGATGGACGAGCCCCCGTCGGCCCACGCGCTGCAGATCGACCGCTACTCGCTGGAGGAAGACGACGACGCCGACATCGCCGGGTGGCAGGCCAAACCCCTCGCTGCGACGGACGTCACCCGCCTGCTGACGGATACCGATGCAGCTCCGACCCACGAAGAAGATGCCGTGCCCTCGTTCCGCGATGAAGCGCACGCTATCTGGAGCATGGGCTGGCAGGTGAGCGTCACGACCTTCTGCCGCATCTCGCTGTCCACCATCAGCACGGCCTTCCTGGGCCGCCTGGGCTCGACGGAGCTGGCGGCCAGCGCGCTCGCCAACGTCTGGACGGGCGGCGTGCAGATCCTCATCTTCGGCTTCGCAGTGTCGGTGTGCACGCTATGTGGTCAGGCCTACGGGGCCAAGAACTACCGGCTTGTAAGCGTGTGGCTGCAGCTGGCGCTGCTCTTCCTGCTGGTACTGTCCGTGCCTGTCATGGTCTCGTTCTTCTACGTGGACCGGATCCTGAGCGTCGTGACGGATGATCGCGAGGTGCTGGCGATGGCCGACACGTACGCACGCTATCTTGCGCCCAGCGTGCTGCCCCAGGCGATTTACTGTGTGCTGAGGCAGTACTTGCAGGCGCAGGAGATCGTTCGACCGGCGACAATCATTAGTATTGCCAGTGTGGCGGTGTCATTGAGCTCGAACTACGTCTTCATCTACGGTTGTGGATCCATCCCCGGGCTCGGATTTGTCGGCGCGCCTATCGCGCAAACTGTGTCCTCAATCTTCCAGCCCACGGCGCTGGTGATATACGCGTTCTGGTACAAGGGTTACCACAAGAAGACGTGGTTTGGATTCGATTTTCGTGGCTGTCTGCAGTGGGAGCGCGTCCGCACCTTCGCGTATCTGTCGGCGGGAATGACGATTAACCTCGCCTTGGACGAATGGGTCTACAATGTGATCTCAGCCCTTGCGGGATCTCTCGGCGCGTGGAATTTGGCGGCGAACAGCATCCTATTCAACTTGTGGGGGCTCATTTTCGGCGTTTACTGGGGCTTCGGCTTGCCAACGCAGGTTCGTGTGGCAAACTTCTTGGGGGCGAACCGCCCTGTGGCTGCAAAGCGCACACTTCACGTCGGCTTCGTTCTCGGAGGCCTGACAGCGTTCGTGTCGGCGCTGCTGACGTACGTATTCCGCGACCCGATCGCGGGCTTCTTCACTCACGACCCGACTGTAGTTGCCGCCATCACCAGCACGATGCCGATCTTCTGCGCGGCTGTGTTCGTCTCTGGGCTGCACGTGATCATGTCGGCCGTGGTGGAAGCAATGTCGCTCGCGACTACCCTGGTGGTCATCACAACGATCGGATCATGGGTCGTTATGCTCCCGGCCTCGTATATGATGGGACTTCAGTGGAACGGCGGACTGCACGGGCTTTGGTGGGGCAGTCTCTGGGGCGAGACTGTCAAGTTCACTCTGATGGCGCTCGCGCTGTGGCACATCGACTGGCGCAAGATGGCTCGACGCGCTGTGATCCAGTCGGAGGGCGACGTTCTGACCGAGGAGGAGCTGGAGGAAGACGTGCTGCTGCGCTCCGAGCTCGTGCTTCCCTCCACACCCACGATGGCGGGCACGACTCCCGTGCTGGCCATCCTGTCAACGCCACCGCGCGTGCACCACCACCACCACCATGTTGTTGTCGGCGACTCCGGGGCTAAGAGGAATATACGGCGCAGCAACTCGTACGGCTCCGTGAGCGCGCTCCACAACATCAATCGGGAGCAGTAAGAGTAGCCTTATAACCCAACAAATGTAGCCATGTCAAGTTGAAGCGCTCTATGGTGTAGGCCACCGAAACTGAACAACTTCAAGTTGCGATCGATCGGCCAGCCTTGGTGTTCTACGAATGGAGCTGGTGTCCACGTCCACGTCACCGGGCGTCGGCCTAAAATTCCCACGGCTCGAGACCACACGTTTCTTAGCCGCGTTCCAGGTCGTTTTCCGTTCCGCGCGTATTGATAGATGGCGAAACTCCTTGGATGGCCCCCACCAGGAGGCGTTCGCTCGCACATAGGCTTTTCCCCAATTCCACGCCGAAAAGATAACCCTCCCTTCTCCCCGATCCAAGAGTCCACTTGCTGCCCGCCATGACGGTGCCCACGCTCCCGAAGACGCTCGACGGGCAGCCGACGTCGAGGTGGCGCGCTGCAGACACCAGCGTCGTCATGCGGGTTGACCCGCAGTCCAAGGACTGCGATCCTTTGTTCAAGCTCAAGACCGCCGATGAAAGGACGTCACTGCTGCTGGACGAGACCTTCTCGTCGATGAAGGAGGAGGAGGCAGAGGAGCCGCTGCCGACGTTCAACGAGGAATCGTGTGCCATTTGGAACATGGGCTGGCTGGTGAGCGTCACCACCTTCTGCCGTATCTCGTTGACTACGGTGAGCACGGCGTTTCTGGGCCACTTGGGATCGAAGGAGCTCGCAGCCAGTGCGCTGGCGAGCGTCTGGACCAACGGGGTGCAGATGCTCATCTTCGGTTTCGCGATCTCCGTGTGCACGCTGTGCGGTCAGGCTTACGGTGCGAGGAATTACGCCCTCGTGGGCGTGTGGCTGCAGTTGGCGCTGATCTTCATCACGCTTCTGTCAATTCCGGTGATGATCTCGTTCTTCTACGTGGATATAGTGCTAAGACTGGTGACGGACGATCTCGAGGTTCTGATGCTTGCTGACAGATATGCTCGCTATCTTACCCCGACGGTCTTACCGCAGGCAATTTACTGCGCGCTTAGACAATATCTTCAGTCCCAGGAGATCATGGAACCACCAGCCGTCATCGGCGTCGCTAGTGTCGGCATATCGTTGATCACTAACTACGTCTTCATCTATGGCTGCGGTCCGTTCCCGGCGCTGGGCTTTATCGGTGCGCCCATCGCACAAAGCGTATCGTCGATCTTCCAGCCGGTAGCGCTCGTGGTGTACGGCTTCTGGTACAAGGGATACCATCGGAGGACCTGGGATGGCTTCGATCTTGCAGCCTGTATGCAATGGGAACGCGTGCGCGCTTTTGTATCTCTCTCCGTGGGAATGACAATCAACCAAGCTCTTGACGAGTGGGTGTACAACGTAATCTCAGCGCTAGCGGGATCGTTGGGCTCGGTGAAGCTAGCAGCTAACAGCGTCCTGTTCAGTCTCTGGGGGCTCACTTTCGGCATCTACTGGGGATTTGGTCTGCCGATGCAGGTACGCTCGGCCAACTTCTTGGGAGCAAACCGCCCAGCAGCCGCAAAGCAGACATTGTACGTGAGCACGCTGCTAGGAGGCATCACGACCTTCGTGTGCGCGTTGCTAACGTACTTGTTCCGAGCCCCCATCATTGGGTTTTTCACCAAGGACCCAGTCGTGGCTGCAGACATCGACAGCACGATGCCTATGTTTTGCTTGGCTGTGTTCCTGTCAGGCCTGCACATCATCATGTCTGCAGTGGTTGAGGCCATGTCGTTGGCGGCGACACTTGTGGCCATTACGACTGCCGGATCCTGGCTTACCATGCTGCCGACTTCATATTTGCTGGGGCTCGCTTGGAACTGGGGGCTGCATGGGCTGTGGTGGGGCGCTGTTTGCGGCGAAATTGTGAAATTCAGCTTGATGGTGCTGACCCTGTGGCGTATCGACTGGCGTGAAATGGCTCGCCGTGCTGTGCGGCAATCGGAACGCAGCGTGCCTGCTACGCCCGATGTCCGGCCATCCAGCCCTACACCAGTTCGCACGCTCTTCTCGGCTGCCTCGCAGCGCGTGCACCACCTTTCCTGCGACAAGAAGGGCACCCCCTCGAGGCGGGGACTTCGGCGCATGAACTCGTACGGATCGACAAGCAGCACGCACACGAGTCCAGCGCCGATCCACGCCATAGCGATTTCACCATGAGGGAGGGCTCCGTAGTCTGCAATAGCCACACTGCCACAACCATATCGTAGCACTAGTGATCGGCACAGTATGAAATTAAAGTTGGAAGAAGAATTCCACCACAAATGCTGGTTCAGTAGAAGAGTTTTGGATGCCGTTACTCGTCCGTTTGACCCTGGCCACACATCGTGCAGTCGGGTGAGCGTACCTCTCGTCCGTTAACTTGACGCTGTTTCACGTAACACGAGCAGGCAACAATTTCAACTGCTTCAACAGTACGTTGCAGTGTAGCCATGTGTGTGGCCCACCAAACTTCAGAAGCGCACCATAGCTTGTCAGTTTTGTGCCGAGGGTGGAAAGATCGCTTTCGAGTCGAAGTTCAACCTCATCCCTCGACATTACATATCTTATTAGCCCCCTCTACATACAAACCGCCATATAAACTATCCCCTCACACCAGATTCCCTGCAGCATCCTATATTTCGAAGCTTACGTGGGCCTGCTTTAGCGCTCGCGACCCTTCACGGGCAAACTGCCGCCCACATTAGCATTCGCCGCGGAGCCACGAGGGTGAGCTGAACGTCTCTGCTCGACGCGCGCGCCGCTGCTTCGAAGGGCGCAATATACCTGAGCTGCTGGACGCCAAGCTGCAGGTGCAGACGCGCTCTCCCGACCTCTAGCCAGCGCTGTGAGCCAAGATCCCGAGGCCATGTACGTGACTCGGAGACTGCTGCGCTCCACGCTGCCCCCTGAGCCCGTGGAGGAGAAGGAGGAGAAACAGAAGGAGGTGCCGTTTCTCCCGCCGCCGACGCCCAAGAGGCGCGCCGCTGTGCGCGCGAGTGCCAAGATCTGCGAGGTGGTGGCCGACGCCTCGGGCCCCGCTGCTCGTGGCCGCGCGGCCAAGACATCTCCCAAGCAGACGGAAAACGGGGGCGACGAGAAGAACAAAAGCAGCAGCCATAAGAAGATGAAAAAAGAGGAGAAGAAGCAGCAGCAGCACCAACAGAAGGGGGAAGATGAAGTGCCGGCTGTGGACGTGTCAAAGCTCCACGGCTACCAGCTCATGGTGGACGTGCACTACCGTGGAGAGGAGTACGCTGAGGCCAGGATTCTGGACCTAGACCCGGACAAAGAGATGCTCTTCGTGCACTACATGGGCTGGAACGCGAGATTCGACGCGTGGGTCCCACTTGAAGAGGTGGCGGCTCATGGAAGCCACAGTGGCGTGGCGAAGAAGAAGGACGTCAGCTGGGACGGCGACATCGCGCTCTTTGCTACTGAGGAGGAGGCGGCCGCACAACGCCAGAGCAATAAGGCTAAACCCAAAGCGACGAAGACCAAGAAACGGCCTGCCTTGTCGCCCAAGGCACGACAGGCAGCACGGAAAGCACTGCGGAGTGTCAACACGGATCAAAAGCGGCATAGCGAGGAGATGACTGAGTCTGAAGACACAGAACCGTCAGCGAAGTACGTCGTGAAAAAGAGCCCGAAGAACGCTAAGTTTGCGAAAAAGACTGTTACGAAGTCACCTCGTGCTGGGAAGAAGGTGTCCTCGAAGAAGGACTCGTCCTCACCCGCTGGACGAGCACCAAGGCGTGTTCAAGTTGCTGTGGGAACGACAGATGAAGATAGCGAGCGCAAGAACGATACCGAAACGGCAGACTTAGTACTCGAAGTTGAGGTCGAAGGGTGTGAGGCATCCAACGACGAAGCAGAGGAGGAGATTGGTGAGGAGGACGAGGAGGAGGAGGTGTCTTCGAGCCGTACTAAAAAGCGTGCTACTACGAAAACCAAGAGTCGGCGAAAGAGCGATAGTGAGAGTCCTAGTGGGTCCAAGAGGAAACGAGACACGAGTAAAGATGAAGTGGAGGTGACAGCGTCGACGCCTACTGGAGCTAAGTGTAGCCCAGCGAACAAGTCGAAGAAGCCCAAGAGGGGTGGTGCTATCAACAAGCCAGCAGCTGCAGCGAAAACAGCCCCGTTACCGCCCCACTCTGGTCACGGTGGGCTGGGCAGTGCTACACGAGAGAAATTGGCAGCGATCTTTCGGCTACGCGTGCAGCAAAGGCAACAGATGGAGCAACTGAACGCTAGCCAAGCGGGCTTCCAGCAGTCATTGCAAGAGCAAGTGTCAACGACAGTGACGGATACTCCTGACAACCCAGCCGATACTGCAGAAAACGAAGGCACCAATATCGCGGTGGTCAACGCAGAACTTGCTGCAGCAGAAGAGTACCAGCGGCAACTACAGCAGTACTATTACCACCAGCAAGTCATGCTAGCAAATAGCCTGTCGATGAGCGTCGCCGGCGGTGAGGACCTGAGTGCGATCCCGCTCCAAGGTGGAATCATGGACCCTCGAATAATCCAGGAGCGTCTGACAGCGCTGGAGGAGCGCCGTCGACAGCAAGCGCACGTGCAGGCGTACTACCAACAGCTGATGCTGACACGGGAGCGGAATGTACGAGCCTTGGCCGCCAACCAGGCCTTCATGGCTGCGAGCGCTGCAGTCTGGGAGCAGCAACTGAAGGAGACACAGAGTGAAGACGGCACCTCCTCGGTCACGAGCTGGAAGGATGTGACTGGCGCCGACTCGTCCGAGCCCGACAAGGTGTCACCGAAGGCCGGCGAGACCGCTTCTCCTCTATCGGATGCACGTGGCGAAGGTGACAGCACTACTGCCAAGGAAAGCGAGACCAGTTCAGCAGCGCCAGCAGTGACAGCGAGCAGCGACGTGACGTCGCCCGACACGGTGGAGAAGGCCGCCGAGCGCACCGCGTCCGCGGAGACGTCGCCGACCAAGAGCGTGTCAGACAAGAGCGACCCGGCCGATGCGCCGGCCGAAAACGTTCTCTATGAGTTTGTACTGTAGCTAGCTAGGCCCCACGTAGTGACCGCCCGATGCGCTCGGGCTTCCAATAGCCAACCACCCGCATTTTCACCAGACGGACCCACTTCAACTTGCATCATAGACTGGGCGCGGAAATAGACGCATCGGAACGGTACTTGATCCTAATCTGGCGGCCGCCAGGTCCCACCGCTGTCACTTGATTAAAGTATGCTTTCAGAGTGATGATCATCTTTCCGAAGCGCGGCAAAAGTTCATTCCGCGCGCGCCAACAGCTCGCCGCACGACGCCGCAGCCAGCAGGAAGCCGCCATGTCGTCGGAAGAGATCGACATCCTGATGAACGAGGAGGAGGAGGAAGAAGAAGACACGCACAGCGCGGATGAGGGTGAGGCTGAGTGGGACCCCAACGCCGTCGAAGAGGAGGAGGAAGAAGAAGACGATGAGGGGGAAGAGGGAGAAGAAAGCAGCGACGGCATCGAGAGCGAGGAAGACAGGGACGAAGACGAAGAGGAGGAAGAGGAAGAAGAAGGAGAGGAGGAGGGCTCCATCGGCGCCTTCTTCCAGCCCAGAGGCCGCCGGTCCTACCGGCAGAGCTCGACCACGTCCAAGAAGAAGAAGAAGGGCAGGAAGCGCAAGGCCGACGAGCAGCCGTCGACGCGCGCCGAGCGCTGGAACCGCCGCCGCAAGATCGCGGACGTGATGGACGACGCCGAGCTGGACGACAACACGCGCAAGGCGCGAGAGGCCGAGGCCAAGCGAGCGCAGAGGATCGACGCGATTCTCGGCAACTTCGCTGAGCTGTCCGAGGATCAACTGGCGGTACCGGACGAAGACGAAGAGAAGAAGATCTGTCTCAACCCCGCGTCGGCAGACGGCACCCCGCCTACTGGGGAGGAAGGCACAGAAGACGCCCCGATCTTTGTCTACAAGGATCTGGTGAACATACTGAAGCCCCACCAGATCGTCGGTGCGAGGTTTATGTGGAGCCATGTCGCTGTGGAGCCTGAGGGATTCGGCTGTGTGCTGGCAGACTTCATGGGTCTCGGTAAGACGCTGCAAGTTATCACAACGGTGCAGGCGTTCTTGAGCAAGAAGATACTGGATGACGATGGGGACATTCAGCAACGACACAAACACGTGCTGATTTTAGCACCAACCATTTGCGTGAGAAATTGGGAAGCCGAGGTCGTCAAGTGGCTGGGTAAGAGGGAAGCTAGACGGATTGGGCTGCACACGTTGGAATCGAGCCGAGAGAAGAAGATGAGCGACCGCGTGCACGTTGTGAAGCGGTGGCATAAGCGCGGCGGAATTCTCATTATGGGCTATGAGCTGTATCGTCTCCTGGTGCTTCAATCGAGTGGCGAGGAGAAGATCGCAGCCGGTAACCAGAAGTACGCGCATCTGATCAAGCAGGTCTATGCTTGTTTGAGCGATCCAGGACCAGATCTCATCGTGCTGGATGAAGGCCACCGTGTCCGAAACCACAAGTCCAAGTTGGTGAAGGCTCTTGCGCACGTCAAGACGACACGACGCATCATCTTGACGGGCTATCCGTTGCAGAATCACCTGGAAGAGTACTGGACCATGGTCAATTTTGCGCGACCGGACTATCTTGGATCTCTGGACGAGTTCAAAAATCGATTTGTGGCCCCTATTACGAACGGACAGTGTATTGACAGCTCGGAGGCTGACTTGAGGTTGGCTCGACGCCGGGCATTTGTCCTTACACAGGAGCTAAAACCGCTTGTGTTACGCCGAGACCAGCAATATCTCTTCAAACAATTGCCACCCAAGAAGGAGTATGTGCTTATGTGCAAGCTGACTGACGCCCAAGCCCAGTTATACCGGGAATTTCTACAACGTGGAGTGCCGACTCGTGGCACGTCTGACAAGGTGGATGTCCTAGGCGGCTACCACATTGCATTGGCCATTTCGAATCACCCGGACGTCATTTGCGATACCTACAAGCGACTGGAAGAAGAAGAACGCAGTGGAGCCAGCAAGAAAGCAAAGGGTCGTGGCGTATCGGACATTTTTGGTGTCGAGGATGGCGGGAATGATTTTGATCCGTATGACGATGTCCCCAGCTCGAGGGCGTCTAGGGCGAATGCAAATAGGCCCAGTACCTCTGCGCAGGCACATGGTCCTCGCGTTATAAATGATGACGACGACGACGACGATGATGAGACAGCGCTTTTGAATATGCTGGATACACCCAGCAATACTGCGCGGGCACCGAAGCCAACAGCACCTCCAATGGATGGTTCATGGCATCGTTTGAAGTTTGCTCAGGATTTCATGGAAAAGTATGTTCCGAGTCAACTTGAATCCAGCGGCAAGATGATGATCCTCATGGAACTCCTGTCCGCGTGCCAAGACGTCGGTGACCGTGTGATTATCTTCTCACAAAGTATTCCTACGTTGAACACTATTGGTGTAATGATCGCCAAGCACAACAAGTACCAGCGACGGCACGCGAAGCGCCTCAACTACTTGCGGATTGATGGAAGCACGTCACCGCAAGATCGATTCCGTCAGATTGCCCAGTTTAACGATCTGGAAGAAGACATTGATCTGATCATGATCTCGACGAAAGCAGGCGGAGAGGGAATCAACCTCTGCGCTGGCAACAGAATCATTATCTTCGACGTGTGCTGGAACCCATGCAACGACTCGCAGTCCATGTGCCGTTCGTATCGATTTGGCCAGACGAAACCAGTGTTCGTGTACCGGTTCGTGACAATGGGCACAATGGAGAAGAATGTATATGACCTGCAAATTCGCAAAGAGGGCGTCGCGAAACGTATTGTGGACGAAAAAACGACGGAGCGAAAGTTCATGATGTCGGAGCTCCAAAAGTACTTCAGTATCGATGACTTCGAGGACTCCTTGCTGCACGCCCAAGGAAAGGCAGCAGACGACGAAGAACTCGCTATCCAGGCTATTCCTCATGAAGACTCCGTTCTCGAAAACATCTTGACCGAAATGCGCGACAGAGCTACCCCAGCTGCTGCCACCAGTGAAAATGGAGAAATCAGCGCTGCCGGGATGTTGGCTGACAGGAGATGCATTATCGACTGGTTTGAGCAGGAAACAATGTTTGAAGAAGACCTGGACCAGCAGTGTTCGCCTGATGAGCAAAAGGAGATTTTGGAGGCGCACACATACTTTAAGGCGGTGCGGAGACTGCGCAGGGGAGGTACCCACCTTATTAGCAGAGAGGGTATGCTGATGAAGCAGTGCGATCACTGCCGCGTGCCGAACGAGATTTTCCCCACCTCGACGACAAAGGTGCCCGTGCCTTCGACAATTGAATGCGTCTACTGCAAGCAACCGATTAAGACAGCTGGGGCTGTTCCTCCTTCTGAGAATCCTGTTGCTCCATACCCGTTTATGGGCCGCATACCCGGTGTCCCAATGCCTGCTCCAGGAATGATACCTTCAACATCAGCAGTCCCAGCGGCGTCGGCGGCTGCAGCAGCTGCCGCTGCTGCTCATGCTGTAACCAAGCCTGTGGTAGGTGTTGCTCCAACTACGAGTGGCCAGAGTGGCCGAGTACTGCCTCCTCATCTGCAGGCCATATACGATCAGCAGCAAAGGGCTAATGCCTTGGAACGTGAACGGCAAAAGATGTTGCAGCAACGCGAATTGCTTGTGCGAAAGCAAGCGGAAGCGGCAGCTGCGGCGCGCAAGCAAGAGCGGCTGTCGATGAAGCTGAAGGACCGGTATGTGCTTGTGCTGAGGCGAGGCATAAAGGGTTGTCAAGATCTCAAGCACAAGGCGGAAGAGTGTGGAGCTACTCTAGCTATTGAAGTCAACTCACAGCTGACAGACATTGTTAGTGCAATGAGCAAGGCGGAGACTCTCAAGTGGCTCAAGTTGACCAAGCTACCCGGCGACGTGGAGCTGCACGACGATATATGGCTGCGCAATGAAATCGCCAAGGAGAAAGGTCTACCCCTTATCCCGGTGACAACTAGCGCTGCTTCGGGGTCAGCGACAGGTGCCGCGGAAGATGCTGATTCCAAGACTGGCATCGACACCAAGCCAGCCGTCGCCACTACTCCGTCGCCTGTACCCGCACCGGTTAATGATCAGAGCCCGCAAACTACTGTGGACAGTAGCAGTGACTTTATTGAACTCTTGGACTCTGATGACGAGGAGCCCCCGAAGACGGCCACCACCACCAACGGCATAGCGCGTAGTAGCAGCGCCGCCGCCGCCACTACAAGTGGTTCTGGCACGGTGATTGACGAAAACGACGTGATCGAGATTTTGTAGTCCGTATCAGCAGCAAGGTTAAGCAAGTCGGCCACCAGCGAGAATTGGTGGACATATATTGGATTTCGTCGTTTATTCAAGGCTCTGTTCCGTCAAGACAAGAGAAACTCGATCGAGTTCCTGGATGAATTCTTTGCCGGTGTGCGGTCAGCACTATCACAGACGGGCTCGCCACGACAAGCATCTAAATAATACTCACCACCATCTCCTTCCGCGATGCGAGTAACGGGAGGCAGCAAACTGCCTTCACTGATCACAGCATTCTTCATGAGCATTGCGAGACGATGTAGATCGAAATCTAGCACTTGACTCATGGCCTTAAACACGTCCGAGTTCGCGTCGAACTGCACTACCCGGCCGCTCGCATCCAGAGTGACGAGGGTCTTTGTCGGACACACAAAGCGGCGATGCTGGACCAGATCAACCAGAGCTTTGTCTTCGAGCGCGTAAGGAAACACAGATTGGAGAGCCGCGACAGTGACGCAGCCTTCGAACGCCCCAATGCACTCGATCAAGCAGCCAGCCGAGTCGGTAGACACAACTTGCATGGAATGCGTGCTGAGCCGGCGCACGCCGAACAGCTTCTTGTACCGACGCCACTGCTCGAGGAACTGCACTTGACCCCTCACGCCACCGCCGACAGATATGCTCTCGTCCAGCAATGCAGCAAGAAAGCGCTTTTCGCTCACCGTAAGCACCTTGGGGTAGCCGGACTGGAAGAGATGGAAGAAGTGCCCCACAGACCGCAGCGATCGCGCGTGGAACTGCTCTCGAGCTATGAGCAGCCGTGTCTCCCACAGGCTCTTCTGAACAAGACAGTCGTGCATCTGCTGCCGCAAACTGTTCACGTCCAAGGTGAGGTTGAGGATCTCGGAGTTGTCGGCTTCGCGTTGAGTCTTGTCCTGCGCTGAGAGTCTGGACTTCCGGCGTTTCTTGCACTAGCTCCAGTAGCAGAAGTAGCAGCAGCAGCAGCAGAAGCAGATCGCTTTGAGTTGTTGGGCATCCGATCCTCGCTACGGCGGACGGCATTAGCACAAGTCTCCAAGGATGTAGCTTCAGCCTTCGATGCCACCGCCGACGGAGCGTCCAGCAGCCGCGAGATATCCATGGGGAGTGCAAGACCGATGGGTCTCGTTTCGAAATGAGCTTTGGTGCTGTTCAGCTCTACAGTAACGACAGCAAACGGGATCCAACAGTGTTGGACCAACACCGACTGCATGGTCACGTGGTGGGCGGTTAAGCATGCGGCTAGTGCACCAGAATGATTCACAGTATTTACTATCTTTCCTTGTCTCTCACCAGTCTCTCCAGTCTCTAGCTTAAGACAAGACAAAGTTTATCGAGCTTCTCGAGCTGGTCGCAGACGAGCAGACATCGGCATGAATACCAGCGTACTTTTGTTCAGAATCGTCGACCGGAGGTATCAAACTTCCTTCGCTGATCATTGCGTCCGTCATGATCTTCGCAACTTGATTGGGGTTGAAGTCCAGCAGCTCGCTTATGGCCTTGAAGACATTGGACTCCGCGTCGTATTGCACTAGAGATCCGTTCGAGTCAAGGCTGATGAGAGTCCGCGTGGGGCACACGAAGCTGCGGCTCAGCACTCGCTCCACGAGAGCTTTATCCCCCAAGACGTGCGGAAACACAGTCTCCAGCGCTGCGGCAGTGACGCGGCCCTCGAACTCGCCCAGACACTCAACGAGGCAGCCGGAAGCGTCGCTCGTGATGATCTGCGCCGAGCAGATGCGGAGGTGACGCACTAGGAACAGCGTCTGTAGCGGCGCCACTGCTCAAAGAACTGCGCTGGACCGCGCACCCCTTCGCCGAACGCGATGTTCTCGTCCAGCAGCTCGGACAGAAACCGCTGCTCTGTCGCTGGGAACGCCTCGGGGTATCCGTCTTTGAAGAGGTGGAAGAAGCGCTCCACGGTCTGCAGCGACCGGGCGTTGAACTGCTCGCGCGCCACGAGGATCCTGGTCTCTCGGATGCTCTTCTCGACGACGCAGTTGTGCACTTACTGTCGGAGGTCGTTCACGTCCAGCGTGAGGTTCAGAATGAGCGAGTTGTCGGCGTCGCGCAGGTTCCTGGCTCGAATCTGCTGGGCAGACGGCCGTCGACGCCGCTTCCTCTTGGCGAGTACAGGAGGAGCTTGGCTCTGTTTGGCCTCGTGGATGCTGTTGAGCAGCAGGTGCTTGCGCGCCTTGTGATCGAACGCAGGAGCGTCCAGCAGCCGAGCGATCTCCATGGTCAGCGGGATCCGGTCGAATCAAGAGTGAGTGTTCACACAAGAGGCCTTCAGTCGATCGCTCGCTTCCTTTGTCGCCGTGCAAAAACCGAGGACCAACTTCAACTGGCCCTTGCATCGACCACATGAACAAGCCTTCACCCAACCACTGGGTGCCTGCCTGGTAGGCAGTGCCTACACGCAGTGATGGCGAGGCTGTCGAGGCGAATTTGTCGTGCGGTTACCACCTTTTCGACAAATATATCGCGGTTCCTCCTTCCAGCTCGCTCATTAACTGACCGACATGGATGCGTTCTCGAGTGCTGCAGCGTCCAGAGCCTCGTGGTCGAAAGCTCAGAAGAGGGTGAACACCCACGCTCACTTGCATCGGAAGGAGCCGGCAGTCACTCTTCCTCTATTATCTCGACGTGCCAGTGGCCAGCAATCCAGCACTCCCGGTGTGGTGGGGGCACGCAACGCCTCGCTGCACGCCTTCCAAGTCTCGCAACTCGAGAACAATGAGCGAGAGAACTACAGTCGCAGCCAACTGCGCGCGATGGCGAGCTCCAAGTTACTGTCCAGCACCACCACCAGCAACAACAACCTCAGCAGTTCACGGATTCACAGCAGCGCCGAGCGGTTGGCGCCACTAGGCCCGGCCAGCTTCGAGAAGACCCGAGCCCAGCGTCGACCCCTTCCCGCCCCGCTTCAAGCTGCTATCAACGAGGTTCTGGCGGTGAAAAACTTGATCGAAGGGCTGAGTGAGAGAGGGGAGAGTCGAGATGACAGCAACAATGACGACTTCGATGACCCGGAGACGCCGGTGATACCCATTTGCAAGCGCGTGAGTCCGCGCAAGACCCAACTCCAGAGTCGGCGGCCCGAGTGGCAGCGATACATCCGCCGCATCATGATGACGAAGGGCATCCGAGGCTCGACACTCGCGCGTTATCGCCGTCTTGTGGGGATCGTGGCTCGCCGAAACCTGACTCATAGTTATGCGGGTGCGGCCGAGCGCGTAGTAAGATACCGCCTCGAGATTCGAAGCGCGGCCGCGATACAGACCATGACGCGCAGTTTTCTGACCCGACGACGACAGGCAAAGCTGCTGCAGCGACACCAAGCTGCGGCGAAGATCCAGTGTCTCTGCAGGAAGGTGCTCGCGGTGGAGAAGCAGCGAAAAGTGGCAGAAATCGCGCGGCTAGTGGAGATCGAGCGATTCCGACGCGTATCCGCAGCGCGTACTATGCAGCGAAGCTACAGAAAGTATCGCTTGAAGCGCCGGATGCGTGAGGAACAGCAACGCCAGCTTCAGCAGGCGAGTATGCTGCAGAAAGCCCGCCTTAAGCTCTTGCGGAGGTATCAGTCCTGGCGAAAGAGCTCCAAGCAGGACGAGGTTGATCCAGAATCTGAATGCGACTTCAACGTCCCGGAGGATAGGATTTCGACTGGTATATTGGGCGGCGAGAGCTCCCAGAGTGTGGAAGATCTACCATCACGCGCTCTCGCTACTGAAAAGCTCGGGGGGTTGGCTGTGTTTGCTACTTTGAGTGAGAACCAGAGCACGAACACTCGAAATGAACCTTCACTAGACTGCTCAGCTCTCAGCAATCAAGCCAGCACCCCAAGAAGCTCTGCACCCCCCCCAGAAGTCGAGGATCAACCTGTGAAGGACACCACGCATTCTTCGGTAAGCAAAGAAGCTGAGCCTGAAGAGGCTACCGAAGAGGGTGATAACAATGCTAGTGCTGGTGATGCGGACATGCCTGCCGTTCTGTCGGAGTTATCGGCAGATGAACCCATACAACAGCTTGAAATTTCAGCAGATGAACCCCCGGTCGACTCGCAAACACAGAGCAACCAACTGATTTCCTTGGAGAGCGCTTCACCGTCCAAGCAGGCCGAAGAAAAGGCCCTGGGGATTGAGGCTTCTTCCACTGCGGCTGCAGTCGAAGTGGAGCTTGGAGAGGACAGCGACATCATTGGCAATGACGACGTGGAGTCGCTTGGAGCTCTGCCATATCTAGACGATGGCCAGCAGCAGTTCAACTTCAACAACTCGGTAGATGGTGAAGACGAAAAAGCAACACCCGACTTGGAGACAGCAATCACAGCCACAACAATGTTAAGAGCTGCTGCAGCGAAGAAGATTGCTTGCTTTTTGCTGCCCAAGCTGCACGCCAGACATGCACTAAAAACACACGCAGCAATTCAGATCCAGTGCCTGGCTCGGCTGTACTTGGCAAAGCAACGTTTGACTCGTGTTCGTCAAGAAAAGCTGCAGTCGCTTCGGGCTCAGCTACTCGCTCGTTGGCAACCCGCCACACTGACAAATGAGAGGGAGAATGAGAGCGAACAAGGTATTCAAGACGCTGTCTTTGATCAGAACGACGGGGACGACGAATTTGACTCGGAGATCCAAGGACACCATCCAGGTTTCGACGCAGTGTCGGAGAACTACATTCACCTGCTACCCACTCGGAACGGCCAGATCCCACCGGGTGTGCCGTTGCTGCACTCCAGCGCTGGGGCCCCGCTGCTCCCGCTCTGGAAGTGGAGCTGGCCAGGCGAGCGTTGGCATAGCACTGGGCAGTAAAATTAAATCCAAGTTGAAACCAACCTACAAACTGAGTGAAAGGCGCCAGAATAGAACTTGGCCACACGCTGTTGGCAACAGAAAGCCGTCAAGACCTTTTCTTCTAGCAAACCATTCGGAGACTGTCAAGCACTGAGCTGTACACAGCGGACGATACTGCGACCAACCTCGCGGTTTTTTTCTTCTACATCCTGCCTCGCCGAACTGAACGTCCATTTCTCCTATAGCATCCAGAGCCCCAACAAGTCGTGTGCGCTATCCCGTCGCTAGTACAAAATGAACATCTCCGATCTGTTGGATTCTTGCCAAGCAGCGTCGAATCCGCAACCCGATGCCGCGATTCCAGGGCCTCACCTTGCCGATGCAGCGACTACGTTAGCGGCTGCTTCGATTCAAACGGGAAGCAAGTCACAAGTAGCAGCATCCAGGCAGCAAAAGACCCGAAGTTCCAGAGTGAGACCCCAGCGCAAGCCTACGACTGGATCAAAACGCAAGCTCAAAACCTATTTGAATGCCACGCAGAAAGCGGATCGAGAAGCGCACGCAGCTTTCGAGTCTCGAGTGTTCAACCTGACACTGGACATCAACGAGCAGCTGATCCGACTGCTAGAAGAACGCCGCGACTTGCACGCTACACAGCTAATGGTAGCTCGGCAACACTTCGAGAACGGAATCTACCGCGTGATGGAGCGATACATGCGCGTCTTCGGAGCACTATCGAGACGTCGGACGTGTAATGAGCTCACTGAGTTCCTGGCACACGTGGATCCGTGCATGTTGGGGCCCGATATGAACGCCAAAGGAGGTCTCCCGTTCTTCGTGTGGCAGTGGGGATGCTACAACAACCGGTTCCACCACTGGCAGTTCAAGGATATCTCGACTCGCATCGTCACCTTCATTGAAGACGACGACGTTGAAGTGGACAGCGAGCTCAATACTACCAGTAGCATTGGACCGGGTCCCGGAGGCTGTGTGGTGGAAACTGTGGGCGAGTTCACGGGAAGCCCGACTCGAGCGATGGTAGCTGCGATGCTCCCCAACTTACTGTCGGACGGAGGCTTCACGGCGTTGCTCACATTGCAAACCATGCACTTCCCAGCCCGAATATTCGTGTATTTCGATGCGAGAGGGAACATTGTGAAGCACGTGCTGGAGGCGGATGCCTTTGCTGCACTGCACGCGATTGTGGAGGCGAATCCAGGTCGAGATACGAGTTCGGCTCCGAATGAGCGCTTCGCTGAACTTCCAGTTGTATCTACCGCTGCTTTAGAACCTACTAGCGACGAAACAGGCGTGTCAAGTGGAGCATTTACTGATGGAGGGAGTCAGGCGTCAAGCACAGGAAAGCGATACGACGTGGACTACATTTTGAACTAGACAAGGGGATAAACCAGGTACTACAACATAAACGCAATACTTAATTTGCAAAACGAGCGGCGTGAGGGCTCCAACAAAACGACGCTCCAACGCTACGCTTGCCGTGAAGAAATGTACCAAGAAAGCTAAACTGACAATTTCTACGACATTAACTAACGATACTCTGGGTGATGTTCGAGAATGCACGCAAACCCGAAATCGAAGCAGGACTGACAACAAAACGTCAACGGGGAGTTCTTTAGACGATTGAGTGGCGCACTTCAGGCTGACCCCTTTGCTAAGTTTGCTTCGAAGACTTGCGCTGCTGAACATGGAGAGCTTCCGCACACCAACAGATGCAAATGACAGACTCGCCGTGATGCAATTTAACGATGCCAGTGCAAGGCGCTTCGTGAATTTAAAAGTTAATTTGGATCCTGCAAGCTACAAGTTGGCGTCCAAAAACCTCTGGTGAACCACACATCCCAGACTTCGACTCAACAGGCATCAAGAAGCCGGCGCCTTTAGTGCCAGTCCAGACCCAAGCGTGTAGAAATAAAGAGCCTTACGCTTCTTCCGACACTGGCACCATGTCCACGCTGGCCTGATGACGCGCTCGAACAACTTGCAGCCCCGCTGAACCGACCGTGTTGCTCAACGTTTAATCTGACCCAAGCAGCACGCTGACAGGCTCATTTTCAGTTCTGCGCGCCCAAGCTTGCCGTCAACCCGACGTTTTGCTTCGATCATGAACATCTCCAACCAGCTGAACTATCTGCCCAAGGAACAAAACACACCCGTAGTGAAACGCGCCATACCGCGCAATTCGATGCAGTTCTTGCTCTGCGCCGTCAGCGAGAACCAGAACGAGGGGGAGCCCAACACCAGCGTCCAAACCGAGCAGGGACCAGCTAAAAAGGCCAAGCTCGCGACGCTCTCGGTGATCCCCGACAAGGACCGCAAGCGCTCGTACCGACTGAGCTCTAAGCGGCGCCAGTGTCGCCTTGACAACGAAGCGCTCGCGTCTCGCACGTACAACTTGACGCTGGACGTGAACAACCTCAAGCAGCAAGTGCGCTACCTGCAGGAGTGTCGCGATCTCTACGTGACGCGCTTGGCGGTCGCGCGGCAGCACGCGGAGGGCGAGGCCGTGGGCATGGTGACTCGCCTCTTCCGCTTGTTCTGCCACGAAACGTGCGGCACGAACGAGGAGCAGCCGGACGACCGCCAGCTCTTCTTGTCGCGCGTGCACGCCCGCCTGACCGACGCGTCCGCGGGCGGTCGTGACGGCATCCCGCTCTTCATGCAGACGTGGAGAAACTTCAAGCTGCTCTTCACGCATCGCTCGTACACCGTCAAGTCCATTCGACTAGTGAGTCACGTGGGGGCTCACGACTGCGAAGACCACAGCGCCTCGATTTGCGCCTCCGACGTCGTGATGGACGAGGCTCGGCAACGCTGCGGTCCGAGCGGTGGCTGCGTTGTCGAGTCCGCCGGAGCGTTCACTGGGCGTCTCAAGCGCGACGCAATCGCTGCCATTTACCCCAAACTTCTGCAGGACGAGGAGCTGGTGACGCGCCTTATCGGACGCAAGTTTTCGTGCTCGCTGCGCCTGAAGGCCTACTTCAACGCTCGCGGACAGCTCGTCGACCACGTCGCCGAGTTCGACGTACTCGGAGCACTGAACGAGGTGATCCTCTCAACTAATAGGTAGGTTAGAAACATTGGTGTCTTTGGATGAGTCAGCTTTTTGCTAGCCGTAGGGACTTCAACTTGGTACTTACCGAATAGACTCACACGTGACATCTTGCGTTTTACAGACTGTAGAGCGCAAGATACTGTAGACTACAGTAGCTAAAACCCAATCGATTAATTTAACGCTGCGTATCATCAACGAGAGCCCTCCGTCCTCTTAACTTATGAATAACTGGCGGGTGGGATACCTGCGCAGTGTACCGTGCTAGCTCACGTCAGACCAGGGACCTGGCACGTCAACAGCGCTCACAGCAGTGAAGCCTCGTGACGACCCCGAGGTGCGTGGTTCCCGTCGGCATAGAAGCGTTCGCCGCTTTGCCGTCGCCGCACCAGGGCACAATCACAGGCTGGCGCGGCGCGTAATACAAAACTCAAGTCATTTCTTTCGCCGTCTGTCGGTTCTTGAGCCCAGTTCGGAATTGCGTCCGTCGAGCAGAGAGATCACACACTGTGGGCATGGAGAGGCTGGAGCCGCTGCTGGAGCTCGAGCTCTCGCCCGTGCAAAAGAAGATGGCGCGGCCCAAGACGCCGCCCAGCCCCGGCGACGGCGACAAGGGCGGCAACCCGCTCAAGCCCAAGAGCCGCCGCCTGCCCGCCGACGTGCGGCGCGCGCGGCACCGCGACCGCATGCAGCGCCAGCGTCTGGCCGAGAAGAAGAGCATCGAGCTGAAGCGCGTGGAGGTGGAGCGCCTCACGCGCGAGCTGGAGCAGGCCATCAAGAAGCTGTCGAGCCAGCTCAAGAGCCTGCGCGAAGGAGACGAAGGGCGCGGCGTCGAGGCGTTCCCCAGTCTCGAGGAGGAGGACACGTACCTAAAGCTGCTAGAGGGGGCGGAGGAAGAGGAACAGGACCAAGACTGGAAGGGCCAAAGCACGGCCGCGCGCCTCATCCAGCAGCGCTACCTGAGTCTGGTGCTGCAGCAGGAGACCATCACAGAGGAGAACCGGCGGCTCACCGACCGCTTCCGCGAGTGGCAGAGGTTCATGAAGCTGCTGGGCGTCGAGCACGAGCGCCTGCCCAAGTACGGGGACGCCGCGCGCGCCATCGAGGTGGACGAGCTGCAGCAACAAGAAGGCGGAGGCGAGGGGCGATGGGTCGTCTTCTCCGAGGACGAGCCCGTGATTTATTACCAGCCTCTAGCGCGGGACACGTGCCACGAACTGGCGTTCAGAGGGTACCAGAAGATGCAGGAGGTGCTGGGCGGCCTCGGAGCCAGGAAGCTCTACAACGAAGCCTTCGGGTGGAAAGTCTACTTCTCCATGCACGAGGAGGGACAGTTCGAGTCGCGCACGGTCAGGATGCAGCACCGGTTTACCAAGCGGATCAGTGCAGTGGACGCCAATGGACAGCGGATCACGGGGGACACGCTTGCAAGTGCGACGTGGCATATCATCCGGACGCCCGAGCTGTACACGCAAATGTACCGGCAGCCCATGACGTCCAGGATACTGCAGAAGGCGGACGAGCACACGTCCGTGCTCATGCGGACGTTCCCCGACCAGAACGCTGTGATGCGCCTGAGGTTCGTGTGCATGGTCATCCAGGTGGAGGACTGCGTGATCGACTCGACGCCAGATCTCATGGGCTTCAGCTGGAAGAGCGACACTCGGCGTCGCGTGACGCTCCTGAGCTCGATCCTGGACCCGAGCAAGTGCTTCCCTCGAGCCACGACGCACACGCCCAACCCGACGGCCGAGTGGATGCGCGAAGGCATGAGCTATCTGTCGTTCACGGAGATCGACGACGAAAACAGCATCGAGATCGAGTATGGAGGGCTCATGAATGTGGGCAGCGAGACGGCCACGTGCACGGGACTGCCCTTTGTGTGCATGAATATGGGCGAGGCGCTCGTGCGCTGGGAGCAGCTTGTCACCCCCACGCGCACGCTGTCCATCACTGAAAAGTAGCCTCTCTGTGTGTATCTGTGTAGATCCATTCACCCGTAAACTAAATTGCATGCGTATCCGTAAGTAAGCAGCATGATCGCGTCCGGGTGGTAATCGGACCTCACCGTGTCGCGGCGCTACATAGAGTAGAAGATCGCAAACCACAGTGTCGCGCTTGCGTGAGAGTGGCCCGCTAAAACCGGTCTCGGGTCGGCCTCAAGCTTCAACCCTACTGTAAAGAAGTCGCGTCCATTTAACGGAGACACTGCAGAGCACACCTTCTACGAGCCCTGGGGAGAGCCGGGCTCCTGGGCTCTAGGGTGAACCCAAAAAGTCGCGAGCTCGGGCTCCTGGGCTCTTGAGTTCAATAGGTTAAGTGAAAGGAGCCCTCCAGAACTGTGAGCCCTCGTTAAGGGCTCCCCCTCACCTGTGTTAAATATCTCGCTGATGATTGGCTGTCATTGAAGTATCTCCAGGTTCTAACCTGAAAAGGCATAGGAAAGAGGGCTTCTCCTTGAGGGGAAGGAAGGACTATCGGCGACGCTGGGGTGGCCTCGGAGCGGCTGTACACATATGAGTGGCGCGAGATCTTCTAGTGTGGCGATCTTTGAGCTCGATCTTCTAGCGTGGCGCATCGATCACGCGAAGTTGCTCGCCTTAAGTCTAGGTAAAATTGGCCAATCAGATATTACTATGAAGAGCCAGTCATAGCTTTGAAGCTAAATTTGGGGAGCCCTGGAGGGGAGCCAATGGGGAGCCCGTCCTTGATCTCGTACTTACCACGAGGGAGCCCATTTTGTGCGACTTTTGGCTCTCGTTTTAGGGGGAGCCCACTTTTGAAGTAGAGTGTGCTGCAGAGCATGAGCTGAGAAGATGGTTGAAGCTTGGGCTCGGGGCCTCGTGGCCAGTGACGTCCATCGCCCTGCTTTGGGATCGTTGTCCTAAGAAGCGCTTGGCACCACGTCTGCAGCGTTTGTAGATTCTTCAAACACAATTGCCTGGAGCCATGCGCAGAGAGCCTCGCTCCGACAAGCCTTCGACCTGCAGGGATTTAGGAACGGCTCTGTTTATAATAGCATTACACGAAGACCTTTAGAGCTTTCCGCTGATCGTGCACACTCGTGTGGACTGTGGCACCCCTGATGGATCGGCCGGTACTGTAGAATTTGTCGACGAACCTGAGTCGGGACCAGGAAGTGTACTGTACAGCACAAGGCGACTGGGTCAAGCGTGACTACGCAGTCCTGTGAGTCCACACTCATAACAGGGGAGCAGCTAAGTACTGTACGCTCTGTAGCTCAGCTGGACTACGGCATCAGGACTCGGTTGACGTGACTTGTTTGCGGCCGAGTGCCCGTAAAGTGTAAAGCTGCTCGGAGGAGGTCAGGGCCTTGCTTTTGCCCACGTTCCGCCCGACGCCAAGGCAAATCGGCGCAGAGTGGTCGCTGTCGTCATTGAAATCGTGCTTGGGCACTTTACACACTCCATGGTCTCATCTTGTCGTCCGCGGACTCCGCGGCAGCGCTTGGCCTCGCATAGCCAGCTTGTTTACCGCATTCCCTTGTTCGTAGCTCGAGAGCTACATGTATACAATATCGTCGTGTGCAATTGACCTGCGTGCTCTTTGGCGAGTAAAGCGTGATGACCATCGGATATCAGATGCCGGCAGATGAGTCTGCATGTGCACGAAGCACAAAGTTTTCTTGTCGCCTCTCGCCTCTCGCCGCTACGCTACGCAGCACTCACTCGCGGCGTAGGCCTAGGACCAATCAATCCAAGCCAGTCGAGCTGTCGCCACTGGCGTGCCTCGCAGATCCGGTCTGCAGCGTAGCTCGCTCGCGCTCGAACGCGCTGCCCCAACGGGACGAAAAAGCCCCAGGTCGGTCTCCGCACGAGGGACCCGCAGACCGAGCGAGGCCTAACGCAAGCAGAAAGCGCCAAAAACACGGGCGGGCGGTGCAAAACGGTGTTGCTGGGTGTCAACGGGACCCCCGCTGACACCCGACCGATCCCTTCCACTCGGGTTTTAGTCGACGACCTGATCTGTCCTAACGTTGGGACCCCCTATCTAGCGGAGGATGAATCATAACGGCGGTGGCGGCGCAGGCACCAGCGTAACTTGCTGGGTCCGCAGCGGCGGCGCGTTCGGCCAGCAGACGCAGCTGCAGTTCCAGAACGAGCCCTTGTTCGACGCCGAGGTGAAGATCGAGGACCTCGAAAAGGAGAAGCAGCGACAACTGGCCGAGGCCAAGGCGGCGCGCAGGCGACAGCGGCACAAAGAGGTCGTGGCGCGGTCGCGACTCCGACACAAGGAGACGGCCGCAGCGATCCAGCAGCAGGAGCTGGAGTTAGGTCGGAAGCTGCACGAGCTGCTGGAGCAGACCGGACACTCTGTGACACAAGGGCCCTCCGAGTCGGCGGTGCTTCCGTTGCACAATTCCGAGTTGAAGCAGCACGAGCTGCACCACAAGTACGCGGAGCAGGTGGCGACGCAGGAGCGCATTCTTCTTGAGAACAAGGAGCTGCGACGCAGGATAGAAGGCCACGCCAAGTTCGGCGACGCTATCGAGAAGGAGTGCGTCCTATGCGAGATCACTACCGACTACCGCGAGTGCATCAAAGGCGTCGAAAGTCTCCAGGTCAGCAGCGATTCAAACTCGTGGATATATTTCGAGGGCGACGAAGACCCGATCTACTACGTGCCGCTCACGGAGAAGAACTGCGAAGAAGTCATGCGCGCAGTCTATCAGCGCATGCTCAACCTGTACACGGAGTTCATGCAGCGGCGCGTGCCGATCTCCGAGCTCGAGTTCTTTGGCTGGCGCGTGATGCGGCCGCTGGAGGTGGATCCGAGGATACTGCGCTTCCAGTTCACCAAGACGGTGCGCGTGGTCGAGGACTCCATGGACGACATTGTAAACCGCACGTGGGACGCGTTCCACGACCCCAAGAAGTACGCGACCATCTACAGCACGCCCGTGGTCACGCGCGTCATCCAGCGCGTCAGCAACGACATGACCGTGCTGCTCCAGAACGCACCAGTGCAAGCTGGACAGCAGCGGAATATCCGCTACTTTAACATCCTCGCCCGCGTGCGCGGACTCAACGCGCAGAACGAGCGCGTCGTGGCCCTTCTCAAGACCATCGTGAACCCGAGCGATTGCCAAGGCGCGGGTGCGGGCGCGGTCACGGCCCAGCTGCACGAGATCGAGTGGATGAAGCGCGGCATCTCCTACCTGCTCCTGACCGAGGAGCCGCCGATACCACCGGAAAGCGAGACCCGCACCGTCCGGCTGCACTACGGCTGCGACTACGAGTGCGTGAGCGAAGAGCACGCTCAGTATCTTATGGTGGAGGTGCTGGGCATCGCCTGCAGGTGGAAGCACTTGGTCCTGCCATCGCACCGCCTCACGTTCTGAAAGAACGCCCTCAACAGTGCGAAGACACTGTACAATACATACACCAGCACTCGATTAATTTAACGTCGCGCGCGTAGCGAAGTACAAGTACGGCTCGGCGCGACGATCTCACACGAATGAATTCATCTGATGCACTCGAAATAACCAGCCATCGAGCGAGGACGAGCCCAAGTCTTCCAGCCTCGCTAGACGCGACTTGGGGAAAGCTTGAGCAGCTCTCGAGCCAGCAGTACATGCATCCGGATGGGGGGGGTAAAGGTTCGGGTCGTGATGCAGCGGCCCGGTCTGCTGTGGATCGCTACGAACGAAAGTCTGGATCTGAGTCAGCTCGCTTGTGGACACATCAAAGGGAGACGCTCGTGTCTCTTGGCCGGTCTCAGCCCACTCCGGTGACCGGGAACCGGCTCCTTAGCGGAGACCGTCGAGTCGTCGGGGCCCCCACGTTCGACTTGCCCCCGCAGCGCTCTGAACAGCATACACTTACCCGGGGCCAGCTCGCGCTATCTTTGGCGGGCACCCACGCACACGCAGCTGACTCAACCCTTGTCAGGACGATGCAGCCGACGACGGCGCCACTGCGCATCGGCCACGGCGCGCGGCCGCTGGCGAGCGAGAGCCACTGGCTGCTGTCCACGGCGGGCAAATGGACCGAGGAGGACGAGAAGGAGTGGAAGCGCCAGCAGCACCGTGAGAACATGGTCTTCTTCCGCCGCAAGAAGAAGGAGCAGCAGGCGGAGCTGCGCACGCAGCACCAACAGCTCGAGCAGCGGCTGCAGCAGCACCTGGCCATGCAGCGGCGCGCCGCCTCGCGCGCGTCGCAGAACCATCGCTACGGCACCAGTCGAGACAAGAAGCACGCCGCCGTGTGCCACCTCATCGCAGAGACCGAGGCGCTCAAGATCGAGAACGTGGCACTGCGGGACCAGATCAACAAGCACAAGACGCTGCAAGACGGCGTCCTAGAGGCGGGCGACGGACTCGAGTACGACGCCACGGAACCGACCAGCAGCGTCGCCAGTCGGGACGGCAGCAGCTCGGACACATCGTCGTCCGGGGGATCGCTCTCTTCTGGGTCGTCCTCTTCCTCGTCCTCCTCGTCGCTGTCTCACTTGGTCTCGCTGCAGCGCGGCTGGCGCGTGCACTTTTCAGGGGGCGAGCCGTCCTTCCACTTCCATCCCTTCGCCAAGGAGCAACTGGACTCCATCCGAGAGGGTTACGACGCCAGGTTCGCGGCCCTACCGCTTCTTACTAACGTCGGCAGTATTCTCGGGTGGGAGGTCGAGCGCGCGCCGTTGATCCCACACCCGGCGCTCAAGGTGCTGGTTGCGCGCGTTCGCTACACGAAGCGCATCCACTGTGCTGGCGGATCGGCGCACGCTACGATGGACATGCTTGACGCCGAGTCGTGGCCGGTTCTGACGACTCCGGAGCTGTGGCAGCGCATTCACAACGGCTCAGTGACGTCGCAAGTGCTGCAGGCGGTGGACGAGGACACGTTTGTGCTGGTGCGCAACGCACCCGAGCACTCACTGGGGGTGATCATTCGTTATCTCAACCTTGTGAGTCGACGACGCATTCAGTACCCGGACGGACGGAGGTCGATTATTTACTCGATGGTGGTCGTGACTTCAGCCGCGAACCAACGCAGTCGGGAGGCAGAGCCAGAGCGTCGGGACGTGCACTGGGTCAACGAAGGTGGCGCCTACATGACGCTGTCACAGATTGACCATGGCACACTGGAGGTCGTGTACGACCACTGCTCCGGCTGCATAAGTGAGCAGCACGCGCAGCACTGCCTCGTTGACTGGGGTCACATCGTCATCCGCTGGGAGCAATTGGTGACCCCTTCCAGGGTGCTTACCTTTTAATGCTGAAGAGAGAGAAAATGGGAAAATAGGACTGCGTGTACGATAGACAAAGTGAACAAGGCACAGTCAAGAACTGCGCGCGAATGATAAATGAATACAAACACCCGGTGTGGATTCCAACGTGCTCGCTGTTGCGATAGTAAGATCAGATCCTACAGCGTCGTGAAGCTGGTACTTCTGTAATCTCGTCTTCTCAAACCCGATGAATGCACTTTGGCTACTCAGAGCTGCCAAAGTAAAACAAAAATATGCTCAGGATGAATAAAAATCAAATTTTCAAGTATTATCAAGTTGTCCTCTACAAGCACAGCAGCCTTGCTGGCGATACGTTTTGCTCCAGACAAACAGGAAACCGAATCCAGTCGATGTACAGCTCTCGGCCGTGTTGCTCGCTCAGACATCCAGCCCACTGCTCGCAGACAACATCGATGGTCGATTCGTCCACCTCTGTAATAGTAGTGCATATTCCTCCTTCCAGGACCCACTGCACGTCTTTCTGGGGGCCTTCGACGTCCCTGTTGCGCGCGTTCGCCTGCGAGTCGCCGATCGTCAAAATATACTTGTCGTCACGCTTGCCGTCCGATCTCCTTTGTCGAGTGTGCCACGCTAGGACGAGGTAGCGGAGATTGACCTCCCCCGGGAGGTTGCACACCATAAGATGAGCGTTTTGGCTGAAGTCTTGGAGAACTTGGCAGAATGTTTCCCCAGTCTGCGTGAGCCCCCAACTCCTCGGTTCCACCAGCACGGGCCATAACTTCTTGTCAAGTCGCGGTAATATTCTCTCTGCCTCATCGAGCGGGCACCGCAAACGTCTTGTGAACCGCGCTCGTGCCATGAAGGACTCCCCCGGCGTAGTTTGAGTCAACGGGGAGTAATGAACCGTCCAGCCAAGAATCTTCCCGATCGTTGCAGTGCAGGGGTGACTGACCGCAATGTCATTGCGGCTGACGATCGCCTCGAACTCGGCCCTCGTGAACGGCGTGAAGTAGAGCGACGGCTCGTTGTTGGGGAACTGCACGCACCATCCAGTTTCGTCGTTCGACAGAGACGGAGGGGGATCCACCGGTCGAAGCTGCCCCAGGAACGCGTCCGTTTCTCGCTCGAGCTGAGTCTTGATGCTGGTTTGGTGCTCGATGGCTTCGCGCAGTGCTATGTTCTCGCTGGTCAGAGCCGCGCACTCGACGAGGCTCTGGCGGTACGCGGTGGCTAGTGACCCCACCTGCATTCGGTCCAGCCGCACTCGCGCCTCCATGACCTGTAGCTGTAGCTCCTTCTCGAGGACCCGGCGTTCGTAGAGCATATCGGCCATCTTCTCCTTCTTCAGGCGCCGCCAGTTCACCATCCGTTGACGCTGTTGCTCGCGTCGTCGCTTCTCGCGCATGGCGTCTTCCCATATCTGTGAGGGCGTCGTGGGGTCCGGTAGCAGCTCGGTTTCTTTTCCTTGGACGGCGCGAGCTTGCGCCATCACCCGGCGTGAGGACGAGATAACGGAGACCATGACGGCTTAGGGGAAGTAGGTGGGATGATGTGAGTGGGCTGAAGCGCCAGAGCCTCTGGCCCAGAGGGGAAGAGCGGAGTGAAGCTGTGTGTGTGGGGTTGTGGCGGCGGCTGGCACATCACGGTCTTGAATCACGTGGCGATCTGTAACCAAATGGGATAAGGACATCAAGCGCATCGTGCACTCGCCCTGTACCGTACAGCGTACAGTGTACGCTCTCGCCTACAGCTACCGACCAGTAAACATTTCAAGCAGACGCGGTCTCAGCAAAGTTACTGCAGTAACTTTCCAATACATGTACCTAGGTAGGTCTTAGCATCTCTGATTGTTTCTCTTTCAAGTTGCGGTATATTTATATGTAAAGGCCTCAAAGGTTCCACCCCTGAATGCTGCTAAAGGTATACCAATCGCGAGTACTCTGCAGAAGCAGTATTTCATTCTTACAAGCATTTGTGCCAGTAATTCAAGGTGCACGTGCCTGTATCTTGAGACTTACGGGACCCGTACACCACTTGCGTGCATGCACTTCATCAGTTGTGAGTGATCCAGGCAAACTCGAGCTTCGTCGTAGTATCACCTGATGCGTTATACTGTAGACTAGCTAACGCAAGTACTTTAGCTGAGATAACAATGGCCATCATGGTTGACCAACGCCATGGAATTTCTCCATCGCCGTACATGTACGGGAGATAGTGCTGTTTATGGAAAGTAAGAGCAAAGTTGCGTCGAGTTCCGGGTGACGTCAGTGAAGGCAATAGCAAGGAGGGACAAGATGAGTCCCCAAACGGTTGAACAAGGCAAGTTATGGAGGACTGTATCGACAGTTTTCTATTAATCCTGGGCAACCAGGACAAGTACGGGTAAGCAGCATGCAGCTACCAAGAGAATCGCCATTAGTGGTGATGATGAAATCTTCTTTAGGATTTTAATGGCTATCATAGTAGTCCAAATAAATCTCTTCTACTACTACTACTAGTGCTGTTTATGGTAGAATATCATCAAATCTCCGACCGCACTTAAGATGATAGGTATACAAATCCCCAGTCAAGCGCGGTCGGAGCATAACAGTATTACCCTACCCCTTCCCAAAGTGTTATGCATACACAGTCCAAGATAGATTAGTCGTCCCGTTTGCTCATTGGTCGGAGCCTTGGGATGGATGGCACGGAGCGAGCGTAGCGAGCCCCCGCCTGCGGTTTGACAGTCCGTGTGCGTAGCACGCGGCTGCAAACCCACGACCCAGCAGTGCTCTACCTAGCAAGCGGAGGCGACGCGTGCGAACCGCAGCGGGCTTAAGGTTCTGGCCCAGCGAGCGCAGCGAGCCTTTAGGGGTTTTAGGTTTGCGCGTAGCGTAGCTGGGTGATAGTTAAAGGTGACCACCCTCCTATCCGCATGTTTTGTGTACGTGTCGGAGAAAGTCGGAGGAGGTTTTTGGGTATGGAGCACGCATCCACGTGTCCTTCATAATCCAGCTGGGAGGAGGGAAATTGACTACATATATGTACTGCAACCGGTTGCGTTTCCTGTCGGCTACTGGTTTATGATTTTCATTATTAATGGCTTGCAATTATTATGGAAACCGATTAGATTGTCTAATTGGGATATAAATCGGTTGATTAAGCAGATGATGAAGCTTAATCGGGTCTGATTTGCTAAATCCGACCTCCTAATTAGATCGAAAGACTAAGATTTGTACTCTGATTTGACAGAGTGGTCAGTTTTGCCTACAACGCCATGTGGCAAGCTGATTTAGCTGCTCCACGGCTTACAAAGCCCGGGACGGCTGATTTGCATGCTAATCAGCCCGAATGTCCGACACCCACACGGCATTCGGTGGCCGATTTAACGTAAAACCGACAAACGCTAATGCTGACGAGAAATGACAGCGCAAATACATGACTTCAGAACTTGATAATAGAATGCAGTACACATCGAAGCTCACAGAAGCGTATTTAATGCACGCGATGCTATTTTTCGTTAGTAGGTACGCGAATCACTCAGCTCGTGGCGGTAAGTGGTCGCTCGTCGTATTTCTGGCGGGTAATGAGGCAACCCCCATTTTATTAACCTTACACCGATTTATACCCTTACCAATGCCACATGAAATCATAAGGATCCCCGATTTAGTACCAGTCAAATCTCTCATGAACGCTGCTTTATCAGCTAATCCGCTCGGGCAATCTAATCGGTTTCCACAATACTTTGTGGCCTGTAGTTCAGTCATTCGTTATGGTGGTCGAGACTAAATCCAATGAGGTCGCTGGTACAGTTTGTAAAAGAAAGCGAAATATTGAAAGAGCAAAGCTCAGAAAAAAACCGGGTCCGATTTTCGAGAAAGGAATTTCTTAGTTTCCTGGTATTAGGTGAAGGCCAGGTAATTGAATTAAAAAAAGAGTACTCGGTATATCCTGGGATAGTGGCACGAGAACCTCGGGAGCGAAACGATCGGCTATCATCTCCAAGTAGAGCGCTGTCATTGATAGCGATTTACTTGAAAACGGGAATCAGGGGCCACAACGTTGTAATTTGTTTTCCATCCGGATAACAGACACTTTACTTGTAATAGTATCTGCTTTACGCTCATCAGTACTTAGACGACGACCGTCCACTCGCGGACGGAATAGGACGTCACGAGGTCGTTGAGGGCGTAAGGGTCCTCTTTGGCGAAGTCCTCGACGAGCTGCTGGTCCGCCGCATTGAAGACGACGACTGCGGCGTCCGGAGGGTTCGCGAGGGCGCCGCCCATGACCAAGTGGCCGTTCTTCTTGGCGCTCTGGGCGTGTTCCAGGTGCTGGGAGCGGAAGGGCGCCCGGCGCTCGAAGATGTCGTCCACATACTCGTAGCGCAGGATGAAGAACTTCTTGTCGGCAGCGGCGGCGGTGGACGACATGGCGCGGGACAGCGAGGAGGACAGCGGCGAGCGAGTGGCGACTTGGCGGAGGGCGAACATCTTTGTCGACAGATCATAAAAATGTGCCTCCAATCAATCCCCTACGTAGTGATTAGCACGGTATATTACATTAGGAGGGAGCGTTAATAACACACAGTTAGATAACCGTGTCCTGCACTTCTCTGGCCCACATAAGAAACAACACTTCGGTTTTCTGGACATAACTTTTTACAAAAAAAATCGTTTGGTGACTCGCAATAACTCAACCGAAAGCTGCGCATTTGCTCCGTTTCACGCTATGATTTAAAAAAATCTAGCAGCAGAAAGAAAAGAGAAACAGCCTTTATCTGAAGTCCGTTTTAGGCAACATTAGGTTTTTAGCGAGGTACCGTCAAAAATTAGCGATATTAGAAAATAAAATATCACCGTAATCGCGAGTGACTGCTTTACCCTTATGTTCGGTTGTCGATGTTGTAGCGCCTGCTACAGTTTTGAGGTTTTTCTACGCGATTATCTCGACATGCGCAGACCAATTTATTTTGGCCAATAGTAAGATGAAACAGTTGATTATACCCAATCATATGTGACATGTGGTCCACATCAAATTGAGGTTTAATGCCGAACGTTGTTTCTTAAGTTGGCCAGAGAAGTAACGGCGAAGTCAAGGGTTTTCATCACTGATGAAGCCTTCGTGTGCGCTCTTTATATCTGCTGGAGGATGTTTAAAAACCACGGGGATTTTGCGTGGGTTTGAAGGAGATCTTCCTCATCAAATCGTTTTTGTGCAACAAAAAGCAACAAGATCGTTCCTCTGAGTAGGGGGCAATGGACTTGACTTCAAGTCAATGACTTGCTCTCAGCTTGTATTCTGTATTCTATTAGGGTGTCAAACCTACAACCTCGGCTCGGTTGCCGTGAAGCGACATGCCAATTTGACAGGATGCGGGGAAGACGCTAAAACCGACTGTTTGCCGGTACCGGTTGATGCAAATTGGTGACGTTGTGGCAGCTTTCGAAATGCATGTGCCAGCGTCCTGTAACACATCGGTCCGTGACCGGTGACGCAAATATACGTCCTGTCTCAGCGATGAATAACATCCGCAGTGTGCTTCAAAACATGTATTGAGCGAAGGCAGGAACTCGGTACTTAGAGCACATCGCTCTGTTTTCATTTCATCGTTGTGGGCACTAAGTATTTAAACGACAGCGGCAGCATCGATCGTCTGGCAGTGTCACCAAAACTATGGCGCTCTATTAGCTCAGGGGCTGCAAGTCCGCTAGACTTGCGATGCATCGTTTCGTACAGTCTCTGCTCATGCTTTGCGTCGTGCATTTTTTGGTGACGCACGGGACTTTGGGCCACTCTGGACTGAAAATGCATTGCGTGGACGGCGGTGCTCTCAACCCAACAATGCGCTGATGATGTCGCCCGTGAAAGCATTCCGATGATCCTAACACCGCCACTCTTGTTTGCGATTGGCTCGCCCCAAGGGAGCGTGCGTCGTGTGTGCGTCGTGCTTTGTCGGTGCGACACCAAGCAGTCCGGAGATGAAAAATCTCTTGTCAAGCTGGCTCGGATCTGAGGCCCGACGATTGCATTGAGTGCTCCTCTCTCATTATACATTTCTCCGTGTTGGACTTAAAGCAGCCCAGCACCAATCGCATGCACCCGTCGCCGGCATCCGTAGCATTCGCTTCGCCCCGGTGGTATCCACAGACTCCTCTAATAGAGTTTACCCAGCAGACCCTACCGACACAATGTCCAAGGACACAGCAATTCTCATCTTCCGGATCCTCTCTGGCATCGCCACAACCTGCATGGTCTCCAGCCCGTCGCTGCTAATGTACCGCATCCACAAGCAGAAGCACGTAGGCGTCGCGTCCGTCTTCCCGCTCGCCGCTTTACTCGCAAACTCACACGTTTGGTACGTCTGCCGCTTCTTTCATCCAAACCCAATGGAATATGATTTCACTAACATTTTCTCTTGTTCTTGTCTGTAGGATGATGTATGGATATCTCGAGGATATGTGGTTCCCAGTGTTCTCCTGCTTCTTGTACGGAGAGTGCTGCGCCGTTGTCTTCCTAACCATCTACACCTACTACTGCGCGGACAAGGGCTACGTGATCCGCACTCTGTCTGTATTCTTGACGATCCTCAGCCTCTTGACAGTCTACGCGATCGTGGGCGGTCTGGGCTACACTGGCCAGACGACCAAGAGTGTCAGCACCATCATCGGCATTTTCGCCGACTGCGCCGGTATCAGTCTCTACGGAGCACCCATGGAGAAGCTCTTCCAAGTGCTCAAGCACAAGACCGCCGTCTTCATCAACGTGCACATGGTCTACGCCGGCATCGCGAACAACATTGTGTGGCTCACGTACGGCGTCCTCATCACCAACTGGTTCATCATCTTCATCAACGTGCTATTCATCACGGTCAACACGTTCACCATGTGCCTGTACGTCAAGTACGACCCCAAGACGCACCCGCTGCAGGACGGATGGGACCGCCCGGACGACGAGGACGACGACCAGCAGATCTCCGTGACCATTGAGATGGCGCCGCATCTGGAGACCAAGGCGTCCATGAAATCCCTTACGAGTCTGCCCAGTCCAGAGTACGCGTGCATGTCGTCGCCGCTTGGCGAGCTGCGGGGTGCCAGCAAAGAGTAATCTAGCGAAGTAAAAGCAATCCGAACTTAACCTCAACGTTCGCGCTTTGCCCATCTGTCCATGTGAACGTTAAGCGGACTTAACGTTAGATTGTGTCCATAAATTATGTGCTGAACATACCAAACCCATGTAACAACATCATGAAACTATGCTACGGCATTCATAATGAATTTATGGACGCTCCCGACAGATTTGGGTTCATTTCACCCCCTCTGACTAAAAACATGGGCTCTATCTTTTCCGATGAATTTAATCGTCGCTCGTAGAATGAGCGTGCTTGTTCTGCGTCGAGTTCGACTCGACTCAGGGTTTTATCGAGGTGTGGCGCAAGCGATATAGTTCGTCTGTGTTAAAGCGTTGCTCTGTGCAACCTGTCGTTGAAATCGTTTTGCAGGGGATGGGCCGCGACTCGTGGCTGTCTGCTTCAGTTTCTGCTTGGAGCTGCACCAGCTCGAACCGTTAAACATTCCTGGCCCCACGATGCGGTCATAACTTGCATATCAAGCTTTGATCTAGCGGCACTAGCGCAGTGAGGCTGAATGCAATGGCGTTGCGCACTCACAACAATCGCCAAAACTATTTGTGCTGGGCCGCCGGCGGAATGATTCAGCGTGGCTCTGTCTTTGATTTCGAGCGTGAGAGCCTCGATTGCTCAGCGTGCCGCTGGTGAGCTTGCGCATCGGTGTCGCTTGGCTACGAAAGGACTAAATCTTAGCCTCTTATAGTGTGTCAGGCTCACGGTGATGAGGCCGTTTTGTCGAGGGAAGATCGCAATCCCATACGCACCACCGCGTCCCAAGTAGTGGCTCTGATAGCACGCTTCAAGTATCAGTCGCGCTCAACGCATAATCCTCGGCATAAGCTGCCGTCGGCCGCGTGGGCGGGCGGGGGGGGGGGGGGGGGGGTGAGCTGCCGCTCGTTTATTGTTTCATATCCGTGATTGAAAGCGGTCTCGCCCCGCTGATTTTCCGTTTCCAAGCTGATCGCCCACTTATCTGGGGGCTCTCGCGCCACTATCATTTGCGAGGCCTCGCCTCGAAACCGCAGCCGTCTACGTGCCGCGGCAGCGCCCTCACATCTTTGCCCCCAATGGTATTTGGGGTGATTGGGAGGCCAGTCAAGACTGGGCAGACAGTCTCTTCACGAATACCTATTTTGTCAGACCAAGAGCATGCTGAATGCATGGGGCAATTCTGACTGCAGTGTGCGCAATGATAGCGAGCGCTATAACTTTACACTCCACGACAAAAAGATATGGACACCACCAAAAGTGGCTGTAACTTCGTCAATTTTTATCTTTATAAGGTGCGGTTTGGACTAGAGTTGCAGAACACGCTGATAAAGATCTGCACGTTGCTAACACGCGCGCTTTTGCGTTTCTTCAGGTAGCTCACATACAAATCACTGGTTCTGCCCAGGTGACAAAACTTATGGACAGCTAATCCCCATACAAAATCCTATATTAACAAAAACCTCTTACAAATGATACGACTTGGACTTTACGATGCTTGACCGATGGGAAGGCGGTGCCCAGTGCGAGCGAGCACTCGTCCGTTGCACGGAGCTTGCTTCAGTAAGAAACGCTGCTTGGAGACACGCTACGCGCTCCAAAGACGAGACGAGCATCATTTTTAACGTTTTCGGGCATGTAAAACCGAGCGTGGCGAACTTCGAGCGCGAAGCGACACAGCCCCGCAGCTCCGTCTTGCCGCCGTTGCACCTTACCGCTGTGATTAAACTGCGCCATGCCGTTCATCTTCACTCGAGTCTTGCATAAACTGTCGGCACTGCCAGCTTTATCGCTGGTCGTGGCGCTCGCTTACTCACGACTCGGCGCACAAATAGCTCCACGGTTCCACTGCGTTTCTCGCGTGTTCTTCGCCGCTTGTGCTACTTCAGCAGAGTCTAGACACGCAGCGGCCGTTTGACGGAGGACGCCCAAACGGACGTTGTTCGAGGCGCCCAAGAGCTCGTCTATGGTCGCAGCGCGGTAGATTTGGGTCCTTTGCGCGCCCAAAGCAAGCGCGGTGCATGTGACGAGCGCGCGAGCTGCTTGGGACGGTGGGACAAGCGGCCGGCACGCTTGACTCGCTTTCGAGCGCAAGTGGCAGCATGCCGAGTCTGGATTTCTCAACCAGTCACCGCGCGCGTGCACTTATGCAGCAAGCCAGCGCTGCTTTCATCTCGAAGGCGATGGATGGAGGCGGTCATTATCCAATTTGCTGCTCAGGCCTCACAGCCAACCGGAATCGCAGCACTAGAGTCCCTCACCGCCCCACTCGAGTGCGGTATCACTTCAACCACTTCAACTGACAACACACAAAGCACAAGATGTCCCACACGACTGCCGTCCTGGTATTTCGCATCCTCGCGGGCTGCTCCTACCTCGTCATGCTCACGAGTCCGTCGCTCAACATCTACCGAGTGTACAAGGCCAAGAGCGTCGGCGTGCAGTCGATCTTCCCGCTCGTCTCGCTGCTCGCAAACTCCCACATCTGGTGCGTACTGGTAACAGTTAAAGGCGAGAAGATGAACGTTTACACTAACACTCTACCTACGATCCGAACAGGATGATGTACGGTTACCTCGCCAAGATCTACTTCCCCGTCTTCTCGTGCTTCCTGGTCGGTGACTTCGCCGCCGTCATTTACCTGTCCATCTACTACCGCTACTCGGATAACCGCGGCTACGTCGTTCGCTCGATAGCCACAACCCTCGTGATCATCGCCATCCTGAGCGCCTTCGCCATCGTCGGCGGCCTCGGATACACGAACCAGTCTCGCCACGGCGTCAGCACGGTGCTGGGGTTCTTCGCCGATATCGCCAGTCTGTGCCTGTACTGCGCGCCCATGGAGAAGCTGTTCCAAGTGCTCAAGCACAAGTCGGCCGTCTTCATCAACCTGCCCATGGTGCTCGCCGGCTACGCCAACAACATGATCTGGCTCACGTACGGCTCGCTCATCCAGAACTGGTTCATGATCTCCATCAACATCTTCTTCTTCTCCATGAGCACCTTCACGCTCGTCTTGTACCACATCTACGACCCCAAGACGCACCCGCTCAAGGACGGCTGGGACACCAACACGAACGACAACTCGGAGGAGGACGACGTGCAGCTCCAGATCTCCGTCGACCCCTCGGACGCCGACAGCAAGGACAAGAAGAGCTCCAACTTGCCGAGCCCGCAGTACGAGGCCATGCGCTCTCCAATTGCCCCCGCACGCGCGGATTAGAGAAATACAGACTTTTTATTTCATCATTTCATCGGAAGAGCTCGTTGTATAGATAGATCTCTGGAAATCACACATGATTGTTTGTAGCCGACTGCCAACGTTTCGAGCTTGATGCTTTCTGGGCCTTGTTGTAACTCTCAAGTCTCTTCGATGGGCCGCTGGCCCAAGCAGCAAAGAAAGCGAGTGGGTTGCTCCGTCGCAAGAAACGAACCGCTAAGAGATGAGCTATACAGACTTTTTTCTCCTTGTTTTGTTTGTTTTGTCATTTGGTTGGTTGCCCACTTGAGGGCACGCACGAAGAGCGCCCACGGTTTCCTGCTCCCAACATTCAAACTCAAACCACTCGATGAAGCTGTCTAGAGACCGCTCGCGAATCCGCCGCATCGCTCTTCGTTCTTATGTCGTTTGCTCGTGCCTTTCGCTGCTCCACGTAGGGTCGTCCCGCTCGCTGTGCATCGGGTTCTCTCTTGTTTCTCGCTTCACTTTATCGGCTGCCTTCCTTGGGCGACCAGCGCCAAGCCCGGACTAATCGGGCGGCGTCTAGATGCTGTACTCATCCGTTTCGAGCAAAGCCGGCGGCGGCAGGTTCTTAAAACTGTTCTGCTGGAGCGCGAGCTGCTCAAACTGCTTGGCTTCGTTGTCCAGCTGCAGCTCCGGTGTGAAGTCGAAGTCCTTGAACAGGCGCTTGTCGTCCTTGTGTCCGTTCGGGTTGGGGCGCTGCACCTGGGCAGCGTTCGGGTCCATCAGGTCGAAACCCCGCTCCATCTCGGAAATCTCCTGGTCTGTGAATGCCTGCGGGAAGTTGGACGTGTCGGGCACGCCGGACGGGTCCTTCTTGATCTTGGGCTGGAACGGAGGAGGCAGCTCGCGGGCCTTGAGCTTCTCCCAGTTAATGCCAGCGAAGAACGGGTGGTCGAAAATCTCGCGGTCGCCAGTGGGGCCGGATCCCAGTCGCTGCTTCGGGTCGCGGTGCAGTAATCTCTGGATAAGGTCGCGCGCGTTCGGCGACAGGTATTCGGGGATCACCAGGTGGCCACGCAGAATGTTGTGGAAGAGCTGCTTCTTGTCGTTCGTGTAGAACGGCGGCAGACCCGTCAGCAGCTCGAACAGCAGCGCGCCGACCGAGTACCAATCCAAAGCGAAACCGTGACCAGATCGAGAAAGCATTTCCGGGGCGAGATACATGGGGGAGCCGCAGAACGTGTTGGCCGACGTGTGGTCCTTGATTCCCTCCTTAGAAATACCGAAGTCAGTCAGCAGACAGTGACCGTCCAGATCCATCACAACGTTCTCAGGCTTCAGGTCACGGAACACAATGTTCTTCGAGTGAAGGTGCGACAGGGCCAGCGCGATCTCGCCAATGTAGAAAGCGGCCTCGCTCTCGGTGAAAGCCTTCCGTCGAGTAAGCGCCGAGAGCAAATCGCCACCGCCACAGTACTCCATCACCAAGAATAGTCGGTCCTGCGACTGGAACGCGTAGTACAGGGTCACGATGTACGGGTGGTCCGAGCATGCCTGCAGCGCTGCCTTCTCTGTGTGGATGTACTGAGCCTGGTTCTTCTGCACGATAGCCTGCTTGTTGTACGCCTTAAGCGCGTACCACTTGTCGCGGTTCGAGCCCTTGCCACGGACCAGATACACCTTGGCAAATGCACCACGACCAAGGACCTTGACGAACTCGAAATCACGCGGGCCAAGAGCGAGATCCTTCTGGTACTTGTTCTTGAATGCCAAGTGGCTGACCTGCGTCGCGTTGCCCTCGCGCGCAGCCATCTCGTTGCGAGGCTTCGGGGGCTGCGAAGGGTTCGTAGCTGCCAGGTTGGAGCCGCTGCCGAGCAGCACACGGATCGGGTGGCCAATGGGCGACAGATGCACGGGAAGACTGCCGCTGGCATTCGGTGCATCAATACGAGCGCCACGCGCCACCAGCAACTTGGCCGTGGGGATATCGCCCGACTCTGCTGCCATGTGAATAGCAGCGTTGCCCTGGTAGTCTGTCACGTTGGGGTCCGCACCTGCATCCAGAAGCTCCTTCACGCAGCTGTGTATCCACATAACAAACACAAATCCCGGTCAGTACAAAGATTCAACCACTCCACACCCCGCATAATAATACGCAGCACTTACTCAACGTTGCCGGCCTGGACAGCAATGTGCAGCGCCGTGTAGCTGTCTCCCGTTCGTGCAGACGAGTCGGCGCCACGCGCCAGCAGCTCCTTCACAGCGTTCGGGTGGTTGTTGCGCGCGGCCAGGTGCAGCGCCGACGTCTGGTTGATGCCCACGCCGTTCACGTCCACGACGTTGTCCCGCAGCAGCGTCGCAATCAGGTGCCAGTTGCCCACTTCGGCCGCGTCGAAGAGCTGGAACTGCTTCTTCTTGACGTCTCGCAGGTCCAGGATCATCTGCGGCGCCGTGGAGCGCAGCTTGCCGGCTCCGACCGCGGGGGCGTCCACCGAGCGTCCTCCGTTCGTCTCGAGCTCGTGGATCACCTGGTCCTTCATGGTCAACTGCTCGCGCAGCGACCGGTTCTCCTCCAGCAGCTGCTTGATGACGATGTCCTTGGGGTCCGACGACTTGTCGGCGCCGCGCACGATCTCGTGGTCCTCCAGCATGCTCGGGCGCGAGTAGTCCGTCTCCATGGCGCCCGCCTGCATCATGCCGGCCAGGCCGGCGGTGACGCCGGGGCCGCCCGAGGCGCCGAGGTTCACGCCGCCGCTGGGCGCCGAGTCGTGGAAGCTGCCGCGCATCTGGCTCTTCTTGAGCGCGTTGATGTGCGCCCTGACGGACTTGACCCAGTCCTCCATCTCGCGCGCCGTGCTGGCCTGGCAGAACATCTTCTTGGTGGGGGTCACGACCTCGAAGCAGTTGGCCTTGTCGTCGATGTTGCTCTTGCGCACGATCGTGTCGGGCGTGAGCTCCAGCTCGCCCTTGAGGTGCACGATGTCCTCCTTGCCCGTGTTGAAGAAGCCGCCGCCCTGCTTGTAGTACGACAAGTGGCCCTCGGCCAGCACGAAGAAGCGCTCCTTCCAGTTGGCGAACGCGTCCATGCTCGACATGGCGCGCTTGGTCAGGAAGCCCGTCTTGCTGGACACGAAGCCCGCCGCGTCGTCCTTGAACGACGCCGACACCATGTGCTGGCCCGGCGTCGTGGCCGGGGACGACGACAGCAGCGCCGCCGCGCTCGCGGGCTTGCCGAAGCTGATGGTGTTGCGCCCGTTGGGGCCGAAGGCGCCGCCGCCCACGGGGCTCATGCCGCCGAACGCGCCGCCGCCGCCGCTGCCGCTGGACAGCGCCTCGCCCTGGCTGTTGCCGCGGCGCCGCGCCTTGGTGAAGCGCTTGCCGATGGCGCCGCGCTCGCCGGGGCTGCGCATGCTGCCGCTGCTGCTGGACATCGGGCGGACGAAGGAGAAGACACGAGGCCGCTGTCTTCTGTCTTGCTCTTCCTTCTTTCGCTTTTGGGCCGCCCTTATCCCCTCCCCCTGTGGAGCTGTGCGTATTTTGAGGTCAAAAATTTGAGATTTGGTCCTGGGGGACCAAACGACTGGGCGATTGTATGTGGGATCCAACGTGGCGGTGGATTCTTTTGGGTGCGGGGCACCCCCCGATTGGCCCGTATCCGGCCATATGGCGTGACTGGATTTCAGTATGGAGCGTCTTGAAGTCGGGGCAGTAATGAACACGCCTTCACTCTATGCATGTGTGCATCGTGAGAGAAAGTTACGAGTTTTGTGCCCTTTGTATTGCGTCGCAAGCAGGTTGGGGGCGCTCGGCTGCTATCAGCGCCAGATGGGCTTTATTTTGCGCAGTCCAGCGTGGGGTCGTCGTGGCGCGACCCAAAAAGATGTTCCTAGTCCTTTGGTCCGTCCGCCTCGGTCGTGTGCGATCCGGCGATGGCAAAAGGGTGTGAGGAACGGGAGCTGTACCGTACTGTACTCTACATCTAAAGTTTCTCCGCATGAAGACAAACCGAAGCCTCACACGCAGCCAAAGGACACTGCGACCGCATTTACGATCGCGGATTGTCGACGATGAATGCATCCCACTATTGCTTACACGGACGGTAGGACCGCGTGTGCATCACCATGAGTGTAGCAACTACAGTACCGCCGGTGCCGTCTTCATCGCCATGACCAGGTCATCGCGAACCTCTTGATCCGAAATGCGTGCAAAACAATTTGTTGCATGTATTTTTGATACCTGCGCAGGGACGCTTGGAGGATATATAAGCTTCAAACGCGTTGGGATCCATTCCCGCTCAAGCACGAGTATGAACCGTAGTCTGTAGCCGACTCAGAGGTCATGTCATTGAAAAAAAATACAGAAGAGCTGTTCAGAACAGAAGGCAACGAGTTCATATTTTATCAATAGGCTCTAAGCTTAGTAAGAGTTGTGTGGGTGTAGTAGATATCTTAGCGCAGAGGAGTTGACGCATTGAGCTTCTGGTCGCCGGACACGTCGATCACGACGAACTCTTCGTCGTTGGCATCCGCATCTTCCTTGAGCGGGAACTTCTTCAAGTCTACGCCCTCGTCCGCCACCTTCTTGTCCTAGCCTTCCTCCAGCGGGTGGGTCTTGGGGTCGTAGATGTGGTACACGACCAGCGTGAACGAGTTCATGGAGAAGAAGAAGATGTTGATGGAGATCATGAACCAGTTGCCCAGCAGACTGCCGAACGTGAGCCAGATGACGTTCATGTAGCCCGCGAGCACCATGGGCAGGTTCATGAAGGCCGCGGACTTGTGCTTGAGCACCATGTAGAGCTTCTCCATCGGCGCACAGTACAGGCAGACGCTGGCGATGTCGGCGAAGAACCCCAAGACCGTGCTCACCTCGTGGCGCGTCTGGTTCGTGACCCCAAAGCCGCCGAGAATGGCGTACAATGTCAGCACAAAGAGGATCACGACTGTTGTGACGATTGAGCGGATAAGATATCGCTTGTTATCCGAGTAGTGATAGTAGATGACCAGGTAGATGACAGCGGCAAAGTCCCCGACGAGGAAGCAGGAGAAGACGGGAAAGTAAATCTTGGCCAGGTAGCCGTACATCATCCTGAACAATAAATGAACAGAGATTATTGTGGAAACCGATTAGATTGCCCGAGCGGATTAGCTGATAAAGCAGCGTTCATGAGAGATTTGATTGGTACTAAATCGGGGATCCTTATGATTTCATGTGGCATTGGTAAGGGTATAAATCGGTGTAAGGTTAATAAAATGGGGGTTGCCTCATTACCCGCCAGAAATACGACGAGCGACCACTTACCGCCACGAGCTGAGTGATTCGCGTACCTACTAACGAAAAATAGCATCGCGTGCATTAAATACGCTTCTGTGAGCTTCGATGTGTACTGCATTCTATTATCAAGTTCTGAAGTCATGTATTTGCGCTGTCATTTCTCGTCAGCATTAGCGTTTGTCGGTTTTACGTTAAATCGGCCACCGAATGCCGTGTGGGTGTCGGACATTCGGGCTGATTAGCATGCAAATCAGCCGTCCCGGGCTTTGTAAGCCGTGGAGCAGCTAAATCAGCTTGCCACATGGCGTTGTAGGCACAACTGACCGCTCTGTCAAATCAGAGTACAAATCTTAGTCTTTCGATCTAATTAGGAGGTCGGATTTAGCAAATCAGACCCCATTAAGCTTCATCATCTGCTTAATCAACCGATTTATATCCCAATTAGACAATCTAATCGGTTTCCACAATAGAAAATGTCTATCCGTCATAACACTAACCAGAGGTGCGAGTTGGCGAGCAGAGCAACGAGTGGGAAGATGGATTGCTGTTGAATGAAGAGGCGCGCCGAGCGCGCCCCGCTCGCAGAGTGGCAGCAGGCTTCGCCTGTCTGCCAGTCGAGTTATTTTGCAACTGAAAGCAAACCCTCTCAAACATGTTATTATTGTTTTAGCAAGTACGAGAGAAGTTCAGATCGCCAGCTGTGGTCTGGATAGTGCAGCAGAGATCTGCCTGCCAACCATACATAGTGCGATGACGACACGAGGCCGAGGAGTGAGGAGTCGAGGACGCAGTCCGAAGACGAGCTCACCTCCTCTTTTGCCTCCAGGTACCCAGCACGGATCTAGAGTAGTAGGCATAGGAATAGAGGATAACCAAAAGAGTAATACATTGTAGTGAGCTACCTACTCTGTGTAAACTGTTCATTTCAACATTTCAAGTACAATGAGCAAGCTCCAGGTTGTCATGTCGTCGGTCGACTCGCTGAAGCTCAACGGGAAGTCCCTGCACTTAGCTGCGTGGAAGAGCAGGTTGATCATCCACCTCAGGGCGCTGAGTGAGCAACGCGCGCTCGAGGAGCTGCAGCACAAGCGTGCAAAGCCGCTGACGCGCTTCGAGGATCTGGTCGTAAGCCAGCCGGAGCTGCCGCCACGCTCGCCCGCGGCGGACAAAGAGGTGACATGGCAGCACGATTTGCACGAGACGCTGCTGAATCAGCAGTCGTCGTACATCAAGCGGCTGCTGTGTGAAACGCTGCCGGGCGGTTTCAAGGGAATCGCGACCAAGCAAATGGACGAGCCGGTCCATGTGATTTGGCGGCTTGTTGAGAAGCGGTACAGCCTCAGCAACGCGGCAGGCGTCGTCGGGCTGGTACAGCAGTTCCTGGAGGTGGTGAACGCCGACTTCAAGAGCGTTGGCCAGCTCTTACAAGACCTCAACACCGTGCGCAGCCAGGTCAAAGTGAACGCGCACGAGGCTCTGCATACGCACATGATCACGTCGAAGATGATGCTGGTCATGGTGCTCGGTGTGCTTCCGAGGCACATGTGGGGCTCCTCCGTCAAGTTCACGGAGGAGAGCTTCACACTGGAGAAGGTGAGCGAGAAGCTTGCCAACATCTTTGACAACAAGACCAAGAGCGAAATTATGGCGCTGGCTAGCGGCAGGGTGGTCAACCACGTCAAGTCGACCCCAGCCAAGACGGCTCCAACAAATCCGAAGGGATCCGTTCTGGGCAAGCGAAAGGCCGCAGACGGTCCGATCATCGACGACCACTACAACGTCGGGTACATGAGGTGCCACTACTGCGCAGGCGCGCAAAACGATCGGGATGGCATTGGCCCACACAAGATGCTTGACTGCCCCGCGCGTCGCGCAGACAGGGCTGCGGGTGTGTTTCGCCGCAACGTGTGGACGTACCCAAGCCGCAGGCTCGCAAGGAAGTGCACGAGCCTACACCCAAGATGAATGGCAATGGAAAGGGTAAGGGTAAGGCCAAGGCCAAGGCCAAGGAGCGTCGTGAAATCCCATTGGCTGAGTGCCTGGCCAAAGTCGTGGCGGTAGACGCGTGCGACGCGCAGCAAGATTCGCTGCCCGCGACCCCGGATGGGTACACGAGCCCGCACCCAAGCAACTTTCAGCAGCCTGACACGCCGGGAAAGGACGCTTCGCCGATGAGCGACGAAGACGAGCCAATGGAGAGCGTCGTCAACGCCGTGAAAGCTGACGCTTCGGGCACGGCTCCAGCCGCCGCTAAGCAATCGGACGACGACGTGGACATGGAAGGACAGCCAAGCGAGGGCAGCAATCTAGAGATTGCCGAGGCGACGAAGAGCTTCGCCAGCATGCTGACTGACCTCGAGAAAAAGGTGCGAAGTTTGTATTCATTTCTGTTAGACGATGATTCGTATCTAACCACAAATTCTTGGGTACTTAACTCAGGGTGCGGGCACGGGCTAACCAGCGAGGCAGTGCGGTTTGTGCAGAAGGAGCCCAACAACCAGTACATGTTTACATTCGCACAGGCTCTAAGCATTCAAACACATCTTGGCACGATAAAATTGTATTTGCATGGTCCACAAGGAATTAGACCTTTTCTGTTCGAAAATATTGCGTTAGTACCGGACGCTACCTCGAACATTCTGAGCGAGTTCTGGCTCAGGCGCGGTGGGTACCAGATATATGGTTCCCTAACTGGCGAGTACAAATTTGTGTTCTTTGCCAATGAATTAGTGTTTGTTGCAAAAGCAATTAACGGGGCATACTATATACAGAATAAAACACTGCAAGAGCGTCAACTACTGTGCAACGCAGTGAAACAGGAGCCCTGTAAACCACTAGCTCGCCTAGGTACTGAGAGGTTAGAGCGCACACTGCAGGAGTGGCATGTTAAGCTGGGCCACCTTAATAAGGATGCATTAATTGCAATGTTAAGCACAAAAGTGGTGACTGGAATGCCAAAAATTTCCGCACCAGGTCTAAGAAAGATCCCATTCTTTTGCACAACTTGTGCAGAGATGAAGAAGAGGAGAATGTCCTACCGGAATGCAAAGGGCTCGAGAGATGAGAACCCAATCAGCACCATTCATATGGACACAAACGGCCCCATGAAGATCATAGGGGTGTATGGCATCTGCGGGAAAATCAAATACTTCCTGAGTATCATTGACGACAACACGTCGTGGCGCTGGACCTACGTCCTACGCTGTAAGAAAGAAGTCTTTGAGAAAGTAGAGGAGCTACTTTTGCACCTTGAGCGTGAGGGAAAGTTCACGATTCGTCGGATCCGGTCCGATGGAGGAACTGAGTTTGTGAATGCAGCTTTTAAAAGCTTCTGTAAAGGCAAAGGCATCGTATTCCAGACATCCAACGCCTACAGCCCCGAAGAAAACGGAGCTGCAGAGCGAGGCCACCAGAGCAAACTGGATAGAGTTCGTTGCGCGTTGAAAGACGCAGCTATGGAACACAGGTGGTGGCCAGAGGCGCTCATGTACATGACTTATGTGCAGAATCGCACACCCATGGCACGTTTGGGAAACAAGACACCGTATGAGATGGTGTATGGGGAGCCTCCCAACGTGAGCAAGCTACCTGTGTGGGGATGTGTGTGCTTTGCGCACGTTCCTGCCGCCCTAAGAAAGGACAAAAAGCTGTCTGCTCGCGCCGAAAAGTGCCGGTTTCTCGGAATATCTGAGGAAACGAAGGGTTATAGACTCTGGGACATGTATAACAACAAGCACATCTTATCGCGTGATGACGACCAATGTAGCCACCATGGTTCAGCGAGCTTTCGGTCAGGCCGAAGAGCCCCTCACAATTGAATCTGCCGCGCGCGAGCCACCCGCAGCAGATGGAAACCAAACACTAGCCACCGAGTCTACGGAGGCAGTGGGAGCTGAAGCACTTGCCGACGGGTCCACGGCAGTAGTGGGAGCTGAATCATGAGCACAGGGGTCTACTGAGGCAGTGGGAGCTGAAGCAGCTACTGAAAACAGTAACCCAGCAGTGGGAGCTCAAAAGAAACGCCAACGTGTGGGACTCGTCGATACGCCACAGAGGCGTGAATCCCGCCCACGTAGAGAGGCGAAGAAGCCGAAGAGATACGCGGACTATTAGTGCTTCCAGGCGATGCTAGATAAGAACATTGCGCAGGACATACTAGAGCACAAAGTGCCGACACCACGGTCGCTCAAAGCAGCCTTAAGTGGACCACATAGAGAGCAATGGAAATAAGCTCTGGAACTTGAGTACGACTCCTTGATCGAGAATGGGACGTGGAGACTCGTAAAACTGCCACCCGGACGTAAGGTTTTGCCCTGTCACTGGGTACTAGTAGTAAAGTATAACGCCGACGGGACTGTCGAGCGGTTCAAAGCACGCCTCGTAGCACAGGGCAACCACCAGGAGTTTGGGGTAGACTGTGATGAGGTATACGCACCCGTGGCACGATTTGAGTCGCTGCGCCTAGTGCTGGCGATAGGGACGATATTGGACTGTCACATCCACCAGATGGATGTCCATACGGCGTTTTTGAACGGCACGATGGAAGGAGAGCAAAAGATCTACATGAGGCAACCTCACGGTTTTGCGAAGCGAGGCCAAGAGCACTTGGTCTGTGAACTTCTGAAGAGCATCTATGGCCTGAAACAAGCTCCGCGCATCTGGTATAAAGTCCTACATACCTTTTTGACGTCGATGGGTTTTGCACGCTGCCACAAAGCGTTTTGCATCTACGTGCAAAAAGTGGGAGTAGATTGGATCATAGTCCTGGTCTATGTCGATGATCTGACGATCATGTCGCTGAACATGCGACTCATTGATGGGCTCAAAGCCGAGTTGTCAAAACGGTTCAAGATGAAAGACCTTGGCGACATTCACTACATCCTCAAGATGGAGGTAACTCGCAATAGGAACCAGCGTGTGATGATGATCTCACAGCGCAAGTACATTGCAGAGCTGATCACGAAGTACAAACTGGTCGATAGCTCGCCGGTGATGACACCGCAAGCACCTGGCCTCGTACTCGAGCCAGAGACGGACATGAGCGCAGAGCCGGTTGCTGCGCAGCCTTACGACTACAGAGGCATTGTTGGATCACTCCAATATTTGGTCCGTGGGACACGACTGGACATCGCCAACGCGGTTAGAGAATTGAGCAAATTTCTGTCTTGTTACAACCGCGCGCACTGGGAAGCGGCTAGGCGAGTACTCAAATACTTGAAAGGGACGTCAACGTACGGTCTGTTTCTCGAAGGAAAAACGAGAGACGTGACTTACGAAGTGTACACTGACGCGAGCTTTGCGTGTCAACCTAAAGAACGTAAATCCGTAGCAGGGTACGTAATCCAAATGGCCGGAGCCAGTGTGTCATGGTGTAGTAGCAAGCAGGGAGGCGTGTCGCTCTCTACTGCTGAAGCCGAACTCATCGCACTAAGTGAGGGAGCTAAAGAAAGTGAGTGGTTGTGGCACTTGCTGGGAGAAATGGGGTTTCCTCAAAAAGTACCAGTGCAGGTATGGTGTGACAGCAACGCTGCCATCAGCATTGTGAAAAATCCTGGAAATCACAAAGCAAACAAACACATCGAGATCCGCTACCTGTTTACGAGGGACCTGGTTGAACTTCGCCGCCTCAAGATAGCTTACTGCTCTACAGCAGAAATGACTGCGGATATTCTCACTAAAGCTCTCCCCACAAAACAATTCCTGAAACTAAGAGAGAAACTAGGAGTGCGAGATCTGAAACTTTACCCTAGTACTTAGTGGGAGTGTTGAATGAAGAGGCGCGCCGAGCGCGCCCCGCTCGCAGAGTGGCAGCAGGCTTCGCCTGTCTGCCAGTCGAGTTATTTTGCAACTGAAAGCAAACCCTCTCAAACATGTTATTATTGTTTTAGCAAGTACGAGAGAAGTTCAGATCGCCAGCTGTGTGCAGCAGAGAGCTGCCTGCCAACCATACATAGTGCGATGACGACACGAGGCCGAGGAGTGAGGAGTCGAGGACGCAGTCCGAAGACGAGCTCACTTCCTCTTTTGCCTCCAGGTACCCAGCACGGATCTAGAGTAGTAGGCATAGGAATAGAGGATAACCAAAAGAGTAATACATTGTAGTGAGCTACCTACTCTGTGTAAACTGTTCCTTTCAACAATTGGACGCCGACGCTTTGGGCCTTGTGCACGCGGTAAATGTTGAGCGACGGGCTGCTGAGCATCACGAGGTAGGAACACCCGGCGAGGATGCGGAACACCAGCAACGCGGTTGCGTGCGACATTGTGGGCGCTGGTATGTGGGGCGACTACAACGCTGCTTGATCGATGCTTGGCCACACTTGTATTGGAATTTGAGTAATGATCATCTCGTGAGACTTGAATCCATTCAGCCACGGCCTCGGATGGAAGTGGCGGCGGCGCAATAAAACGCTCCAGAGCGACTGAGGATCCGTTGGTCGTCCTCGCGACTGAGCGAGAATAGCTACTTTCAGCTTTTGTTGCGTCTCACTGGGTCAATTCGGAGCTGAGCAGGGTCAAGACCACAGGAAGGTTGATTACAGGAAAGATTGCAAAGTTAAGCAACATCCAACCCCATGTGAAGTCCAAGCCTTGGGCGTCACCTTGGATGGCTATAATTGAGTATTTGTCTTCATACAGATGTCTCCAAATAATAGTTCGATACTTAAAGTAAAGTATACTTAACCATGCGTTTCTGCAAAAAAAAGTTGTGCCCTACTGCAGTTAATCCGCGATAGCTGGCTCCACACGCAAGTGGTTGACTTCGTGGTGCGGAATTGGTGGTTCCATGATGACCTTGTCGCTCTTCATGTCAGGTACCTTCTTCAGATCCTCCGAAACATCCACGGACACTTGGATGTGGAAGTCGTCGACCTTTGAGCTTCTGCTTGAGATTGCGTCCCAGCCGTCCTTGAGCGGATGCGTCTTCGGGTTGTAGATCTGGTACACCACGAGAGTGATCGAGTTCATGGTGAAGAAGAAAATGTTGATCGAGATCATGAAATAATTCTGGATCAAGCTGCCGAACGTGAGCCAGATCATGTTGTTCATGTAGCCGGCGAGCACCATGGGCAGGTCGATGAAGACCGCGGACTTGTGCTTGAGCACCATGTAGAGCTTCTCCATCGGCGCACAGTACAAGCAGACACTGGCGATGTCAGCGAAGAAACCGAGTACCGTGCTGACATCGTGTCGGGACTGGTTCGTGTGCCCAAGTCCGCCAGCTATTGCATACGCGCTTAGAATTGCGAGGATGGCCAGCACTGCAGCGATGGAGCGAATCACGTAGCTGTGGTTGTTCGAGTAGCGGTAGTAGATGGTGAGGTAAATCACGGCTGCGAAGTCGCCCATGAGGAAGCAGGAGAACACGGGAAAGTAAATCTTGGCCAGGTAGCCGTACATCATCCTGTTCAGAAGTGGCAAGAGTTATTAGTGTGTGTGTGTGTGTGTGTGTGGTTAAGTTGATTAATGCAGAGATCAAACTACCATAGGTGGGAGTTTGCGAGCAAAGCGACAAGCGGAAAAATCGACTGCACGCCCACGCTCTTTGCCTTGTGCACGCGGTAGATGTTGAGCGACGGGCTGCTGAGCATCACGAGGTAGGAGCAGCCTGCCAGGACGCGAAAGGCCAAGACAGCGGCTTCGTGGGACATATTCGATGCAGTCGAGATGACTTTAGTAGCTGAATGTTTCCACTTGAGCTTGAAGAAGTGCTATGAGCAGTTGCTAGAGTGAGCAACAGGTTGGGCTGTGTGCAGCTTGGAGCAAACCAGTGAGTGAGCTATCTCGAGGGGAAATCTGCCCTTGCATAAGCCTAGTTCAAGCCACACGCTGAAAATGGCGGCGGCAACTTCACGCGCACCGCCAAAGTTGTCCTCAGGGCTGGGCATGCACTGCGTATCACTTCCGCGTGTGCCCATTTTGGATTGCGATCCTCGCTGCAAGATCGATCATCAATGAGCTTCAATGGCGGACAGCGAATTGTTATCGACACCAGCCCGAATCTACCGCCGTCTCCCAGATTTTGGTGTCATTCATTCTTCAGAAAAAAACACCAACCGTCATGAGGCTTCAGGTCGTCACACTAGTGTTGCAGCTCCACGAAGGTGTGAGCGCACTGGAGCACGTTTCTGATGTTATTTCTTCCTACCTGGGGCCCCCGCCCAATCTGTCGCTAGCTCGAGCTTGCACGTTCGGGTCGACGCCGCTGCTGGACTGGATCTGGGAGAGTAGCTGCACGACTGAAGTTGACAGGAAGCCTAACTGGACGTTGACGAACTACCTGCGATCGGAGATTCGCTACGGGGAATGGCAGTTCAACGAGCCTATGGTTGTCGCTGCGCAGAGAGGGAATTTGGCTATCTTGCAGTGGCTTCTTGACCACTATTCGGAATGCAGCGTTGATAAAACGGTGGTGGAAGCAGCCGCACAAGCAGGGCGCTGCAATTTCTACACCAACAAGGTGCCACATTTGGTCAGCCATCCTGGCGAACCCACCCAAGTCTGGGGAGCTGGAGAGTGCGCGAGTTGAATGTGGCTGCTGTATTTGGCCATTCAGACATCATCCGATGGCGCATGAAGAACAAGACACTATTGATGGCCAAGCAACAAGAGATCTCCTCGTTTATAGTGCGGCGGGGCGTGGAGATGTGTCCCTGTTGGAATTTCTCCTCAAGCACGGGTTTCACTACAACGAAGAATACCTCGCTCAAGACGCTACAGGCGCCGTGATCGAGTGGCTTCTGGAGAGAACCCCTCGAACCCAAAACTCGGAAGTCGTCCGGCCACTACTGCTGGCAGCTGCAAAGGAAGGGCGAGCTGATCTTATAGCAAGAATCGCTGCGGGGAGTTTTCCTCGTAGAAAGAATTTGTGTCGGGAGCTGGAGCTTTGCTGTGAGAATACCCTGGTGGTCGCGTGCAGATATGGACAACTTGACGTGGTGCAGATGATGCTAGACTTTTGGGCTTAGCTTTCAGCTCGGTCTTAGCCACCCGACCGTGATGCGCGATGCAGCGGCGCTTGGCCATCTCAAGGTGGCAAAGTTGCTGCAAGCGCGCTGTGGACTGCGCGTCAACCGAGAAGAGGCCATCTTCTTAGCAGCAGCAAATGGACATTTGGATGTGGTGCAGTGGCTGTATGAGACGCCTGCAGCCACGTCGTCTGGCGCGTTCCATCCTGGCCCTGCTTGGTTTGGTAAAATCTACGTTCAAGACGACCCCATAGTCAAGGACCTGCAAACTTCCAGTGCAAAACCTGCGACTGCGATGGACGCAGCTGCAATATTTGGGCACTTGGACGTCGTTCGGTATCTTCATGGCGCGATAACGTCACGGGGCACAAAGCGGAAATTTAGAGGGTGGAGGTCGCTTGATCCCACGCGCAACTACGACGGCGATGGACGGCGCGGCTGCAATGGGGCATTTGGAAGTTGTAAAGTGGCTGCACGCGCGTCGGAGCGAGGGGTGCACGATGCGTGCGCTGGACGGAGCAATAGCAAACAACCACTTCGATGTGATGGAGTGGCTCTTTGCCAATCGGTCGGACGGGTTCTCACTGGCAGCGCTCTGCTCCGAAACGGAAGAGCTCACTTCTCTTCGCTCGCTGCAGTGGTGCGTCAACATTGGCGGAAGTGAACTCGCTTGTGCTGTTGATTGGGGGGATTTTCTGGTACGCTACGCACGACGCGGGGTTTTACCAGTAGTGCAGTGGCTTCTGGAGGAGTTTCCGAGCTGTGCGGAATCGATAGAGTCTGCCATTTCAGAGTCCTTGAGCGCGGGCGTGCTCGATATGGTACTCTTTCTGGACTGGGTCTCCCCACGAACACTGGACTTCCCCGTCGACGAGAATAATATTTTCAACAACCTGTGGTGGTTGGCAAACCCACCACCTGTAAAAAGCTTAACTAGGCGCCACTACTGGATTCCCAAGATCGGGCATGGGATTGGCTGCCTGGCTTTCCTGGGCTGCCAGCAATGGCAGGTAAGGGCAGGCAGTAGATTAGTATCAGTTCTCAATTAGCTCCCCAAGGAACAAGCAATAGACGTTGTTCTTGGTGGGAGTTCCAGCTCCCAATCTACCGTGTTATACTTGCCTCAAGGTGCAACACGTCACACAACCACATTCGGTTGTGGATGTACAAGAAGGCTGCGCGCGTGTTTGAGGCTTACTGGAAAATGTTGGAGAGCGCAGGACAGTGAGTTTCGTTTATACGTACTGTCTTGAATAGGAATATTATCTAGTCTTCTGCTCGTCCCTCCACAAACAATCGATACGTTTCAGACACCACGGTGGTGTCGTCTCGCTCTCCCATGTAATACATGCTTCCTTGTCGTCCTTCTTAGACCTGCACATCTTGGCCCCGCTACGTTTTAAATCTGCTCTGTTACTACCGGTAATAGCAGCGAGCGGAAGCCTCATGGACTCTTAATCTTAAGCAACTGCCTCCGTCCACTACGTCTGACACCAGTTCGAACAAGAAACCATGGTTGCTGCAGGGCGTGAAGCTGTCCAAATTTTGGCGTGGTCGCTCAAGCATTGCCCAGATTCGAACTGAACGAGTCAGTGATAGAGGCGGCAGTGAAAGCTCGTTGTGCTTCATTTTCTTTGTGATTATTGCATCGAGATAATAATGTCATTTTCATCAGGAAGGAGAAGCGTCAGACGTTCAACAAGTGCGTTGCCTGGTAGGGCCAAACGCTGAGCTTGGCATCGGAAAGTAGGCACTCGGAGGTCGTGATATGGTACATCGAGCGGAGCATTATCTCGGGGCGATTTCGGGGCCATTTGGACTACGAATCAGGCAGGTCAGGCCGTGAATAGGCGTCCGAAATGAGCGGTGCCATCGGACGAAAGCTGATTGCAGAAACGAAGGTCTGTTTGTGGGGGGGTCTGGGGCTAGAAGGGTTAAATAGGCCACTGCCACGGAAGCTGATCTCTGCCAAGGCTCCCAACGCAGCGTCCCAGGTTCTCTGTTCTCCCCCCATTGTCCAGCTTGTTTACAGCAGAAGAGCTCCAACTGACTGACATGAAGCTGAAGGCCGTCACGCTGGTGCTGGGGCGCCACGATGGAGTCAACTCACTGGAAGACGTTTCTGGTGCTATCTCTTCCTACCTGGGCCCCCCGCCCAACCTGTCGCTAGCGCAAGCTTGTACGTTCGGGTCGACGTCGCTGCTGGATTGGATCTGGGCGAGTAGCTGCTCAACTGAAGCTGACAGGAAGCCTAACTGGAAGTTGACGAACTACCTTCGGTCCCATGCTGGCTACAGCAAGTGGCAATTCACCGAGGCTATGACTGTGGCTGCAGCCACAGGAGACGTCGACGTGTTGATCTGGCTACTGGAGCACTCTCCAGGTTTTAAAGTGGAGGCGTCCGTGGTGGAGGCAGCAGCAAAAGCTGGTCAGTTATCCGCGCTGCAGCTCCTGAGCCAAGAGTGCGCCGCGCCACAACCAGGCACTGGAAATCAAGAGACCCAGCGTCGTTACAGTCGTGTGACACACGACTGTAACGACTCGTGTGGTAATGTGGGGGTCTTGCGCATTGATACTCGCCTCATGGTCGGACAAGTCGGAGGTTGTGAAGTGGTTGCTGGAGCGTGGCGTTTCCACCGTTTCGGCTGAGGAATGCACGAGTCTGGTCTCAAATGCAGCAGAGAACGGAGATGTTGTGTTGGTGCAATGGCTCATCGCGCATGACAAGCATTACATCGATCAACATATCGCTGGGGATGACACTGGTGACGACGTGTTGCAGTGGCTTCTGGCCAGGAGCAGTGACGAGAACTACCTGCCACTCTTGCGGCACTTGCTGTGCGCCTCGACGGCAAGTGGCCGCATTGATTTTGTCAAGAGAATTATCGAGCTCCGTCAGTCTCACGCCCAACAGTACGAAGATGAGCTGGAGCAAGCGTTTGTGGTGGCGTGTTCTAGCGGGCAGCTCGAAGTTGTGAAGTGGATACTGGACCAGGGTCTCGGGCGTCGCATGGACAAGTATCCGTCTGACGTTATGCATAATGCAGCCTCACGCGGTCACCTCGCCATTGCAAAATTGCTCCACAACCAACGCGGACACCAAGTCAGCGCAGCTGAGACGATGTTTTACGCGGCGGGTTATGGGCATCTAGCAGTGGTGCAGTGGCTTCATGAATTATTCGGGGAAGCTACACCTGGTGGGATATTCCAAAGTCTGCCGACCTCTTCTGTCTGCTCGTGGACCAAACTCGGTGGTCTGTTTCTGGGGATTGGTGAGTTCGAGGAGAGACCTACGACCGCACTGGATGCTGCCGCAACGTTTGGACACACAAACAGCCAACGCTATATTGAATCAGACGAGAAGTCGTCCGCTCGATTGTCAATGAGCCAATCCACTCCGTCGACGTGCCGGTTATTCGCAGCCTCAACCAGCACTAGAACTGAGCATCTCGTGTGTTCATTTTCATGTAGCCACTTTACAACCTCCAAGTGTCCAAATACTGTAGCTCCATCCATGGCGTTGTGAGTTGTCATCGGCAGATCACGAGCTGTCATGGGCAAAGTCAAGTCGAGATGCGGAGCCCAATTCGACCGGACGTTTCGTAGAAACTGCAAAACGTCCAAGTGTCCAAACATCGCTGCGGCGTCCATCGCCGTTGCTGGCCGAATCGATGTGACATCGGAAAGAGTTGTCAATGGATTATTGGTCACATTTGCCGCATCGCCTGGGTCCCGACGTGGTTGGTCATCCAATTCCCGACATCTACATCCCATAGGGGTCCCACGTTCATGACCGGGTCGACATTGTTGACATGGTCCAGATCCACCTCACTCTGGCGCGACTGGAACATCCTGATGCCAGTCTGGGTAGCAAACTTGTTGTACAGCCACTCCACGACATCCAAATGTCCATTCGCAGCTGCCAGCAACATGGTGACTGCCAAATCGCTGATCCGCGCTTTGTAGCGGCTGCGAAGCAGTTTAGCAACCTGCAGATGTCCATTGGAAGCTACGTCGTCCAAAACTCCTGACGACACCCCAAAGACTTTATAGCGATGATCCCCTTGATGGCTTTGCTCGATTGAGTGTCTCCACTCAACAACAGCCAGTTGTCCAAGTCTACACGCTTGTTCCAGTGCCGAGCAATACAGGCGTCACCTTCCCCTTCACAGCAGGTCTCAGCTAAAATGACGAGTATCTCCAGCATATCCACTCGGCCGACACGTGCAGCGGCGTGGACGGCACCACAAAGAAAGCTGCGTACTTCCTGGCGAGAGCTCCGTGAGAAGAAGTTGTTGTGACCACGCCTGGCGACAATCCACTCCAAAACTTTACCAGGGACCGAGCGCAGAACAGAAGACATCGTAATTGAACCCTCTTGCCTCAAGCCACTCCAGCAGCGCAATGTTTCCATGTCTGGCAGCGTCTGCGGCCAACGTGTTCGCTATCTCGTCATCAATTGAAATGGCGCGGTCGACCAGCCACTGCACAACTTCTGAGTGACCATTTCTCGACGCCAACGTCAGCGAATCATCATCAAAAGTTAAAGTACGCGCCTCCTTTCCAACCGAGTCATCATAACCCAGCAGCGACTGCAGCACGGGCAGATGGCCAGCGGCCGCTGCACCTTTCACCACTTTTTCCTCCACCTCAAAACCTGGAAAATGCTCCAGAAGCCACTCAAGGACTTCAGTATTTTCACTTTTCGCCACAACTGCCAGTGCCTTGGAAAACTCCCACGGGCTGTAGTGAGCTTCCGACCGCAGGTAGTTCCCCAGCGACCAGTTCGAAGTCCTGTTACTCTTCACTGTGCAGCTCGAGTTCCAAATCAAGTCCAGCAGCTTAGTCGACATGAACTCACATGCTCGCGCTAGCGTCAGGTTGGGTGACGGCCCCAGGAACGAAGACACAAGCGGGTAGATATCGTCTAGGGAGTTCTTGCCATCATGCTCCTGGAGAACGTGACTGACAGCGGTGAACGACATGGCCAAGTGTGCTGTAAATTGGAGAATCAGACAAAACCACAATCCCGTTGGGATGGGTCGGTTTCTTTCTTTGATGGAGAAGAACTTTTCTTCTCCTGACCAATTTAGTTTCTCTCCTTGACAACCATGATTCTAACGGCTGTCACGCTTGCGCTGCGCCAGCACCATGGGGTTTGCCCGCTCCAGCACATTTTCGTCCAGGTGTCTTCGTACCTGGGGCCCCCACCCAATTTATCGCTTCTTGAAGCGTGCAAGCTTGACTCGACCAGCTGGATTTGGGAGAGTAGCTGCACGTCGAAGTCTGACAGGAAGCCGAATTGGACACTCGCCAACTACTTGCGGTCGGAAGAAAGCTACGGCAGCATGCAGTATTTTTTGGCGCTGGATGTCGCTGCGAAGCGCGGCAACGTGCAGGTGGTGCAGTGGCTTGTTGAGCACTTTCCAGGTTATCAAGCAGGGCCTCCGAATATGGCATTTTTATTTAGTAGGTTGGGCGTTGCTGAATAAATTATCCCCTGACGCTCCCCAACGTACCCAATAAATAATGCCATTATGAAAAGCATGAAGTCTATTAACAAGACACCAGTTAGCGTATCATCTAGCTCAAATTGTCCACAGTCGTTGCATCCAAGTACGACCGATTCTGGCGGAGAAACAAAATCGTCTCAAGCGTGCGTGGCAGCAGGCCGTGTCGTTGATGACCAAACGTCACCCGAGCAATGCTGAAGAAGCGTTCCACCACGTTCGACGCGGGTGGGATGCTCTTCAGCTGCTCATACTTGACACGGTCCTGTGCAAGCTGCCGGCGCTTCCGAAGACGCTCCACGAACGACGCGGCTGGATCCTCCTTCTCCTCACTCGCGGCCACGTCGTCCGGTCCGGCAGCTTCAAAGGGCTGCAAAGCGGCCTTTTCAGCACGCGTCAGCCGCTGCGCCTTCCCGCGGAGACCGCGTACACACCCAGCCTCAAAATCTGGGCTGTGCACAATGTTGGCCCGAGGCCCTGCAAAATAAAAACCATTATACAATTGTTAGTGAAAATATTAAACACAAATTACCAATGTAGCGCCCATATTGTGGCTTGACGGCGATCAGCTCGTCGAACCACTCGCGAACGTCCAGCAGGTCGACGTCGTGGCCTTGAAGGGCCTTCGAGACCGACTCGATATCGCACAGCTCCTGGTACAATGCCCGCAGTCGCTTGTTCATCGCCAGCGGCGGCAGCAGGTCCATGAGGTCGTCGTCTTCGGCGTCAAGAAACTCGAGGAGCTGGAGGTAGCGCCGTACCATCTCGAACGTAGAGCTCCAGCGCGTGTCCTGGCGAATGACAGGCCGAAGTGGCGTTTTCAACCTATTTTGTAAAACAATTACAAAAGTACACAAATTGTGTTAGATACATATTGACACACCACACATAGACATTGGCGTTTACAGTAGTTTGGCAGATTGGGTGAGAGTACGCAATTTTACCATGAGCGCCTGCACAGCAGCCAAGTCCTCCTCATGCGACGCCATGTCCGCCTGAACCTTGCTGTTCAGGCGGTGGCTTGCGCAACCAACAAGCGGCACACTCATAAGAGTTGCCAGCCGCCGGTTTACGGCGCAGTTGTCAGCTACGAGGAAGCGACACTGCGCCAGCTGTACGCCGTAATCGCGCGGCAGCATGGTCGCTAGAAACTCGAGATGGCCCTGCGCGGAGAGATCGTCGTCCAGCGCGTCCAGCAGCGGGGCCATGCTGAGTAGCGTTGTCTTGGGACAGCCGTTCACCTCATAGCACGCGAACACGGCGATGTAGTGCTCAGATGCGTGTCCAGCCGTCGAGCATGATGCCGAAGCGCGCTGGGAGCTCCGACGCAATTAAACGCTCGACGGCGACGACGACCCCGTCCATGCCAGCCCGCAGGGTTTCCTCCGAGATGGGGTCCAGGCTGGAGTAGCTGAATAACATCCGTAAAGTAAAGTTGTTAGTTTCCGTAGTAATGTAAACACAATGACCTTATGCATACACGTACCGCCGAGCTTCTCGGCTCTCACAAAAAGAGAGTGGCAGGTTGCACATAACAATCCAAACCATCCAGTCGTGGAGGTTGAGCGCCGAGTGGCGGACGAAGTTCACGAGGGAGCCTGTCTCCGCTGTCGTAGCGTCGAGCATGACGGTCTCGTAGTCAGGGTGCTCCCGCCTGATATGTTGCATCAGGTTGGAGTACCCGTTCCTATGGGTTTGCTTCCGAACCGTGCCGCAACAGCAACGGAAATACTCGAGAATCACCTCGTCGTTCTCGTCGCGACACGGGCGGAAGTAAACCCCCGAGACTTGGGAGTTCGTGTAGGTAGGGCGAGGGGGGCGGATAGCGCGAACCATGCTGGATGAGGTCTTGGAGGCTTGAGAAGTGAAAATTGAAAAGTGAGCGCTGCCAAATGAGCTGCAACTAGCAACGCAGACAACCAGTGATTCCAGTTCTACTGAACGACTGGAAGCGAGAAGATGGCTGGTATAACGCTAACATTATTATATAAAGGTAACTGTGATAAATTATGTAATATCACAAAGCACATCAATAAATTATCACGGTAGATGGCTGAACCCGCCGAAATGCGTAATTTATTGTTATTTTCTGAAATAATGTTATTGACAATGCTATTTTCGGAGGCCCTTGGATCGGTGGTAAAAGCAGCAGCCAAGGCAGGTCATCTATGTGTGCTCCAATTCCTCTACGACATGTGCGACCACGAGACAAGCTTCTTGCCGTCGAGAGGGGACGAGCCGCCGCCATACAACAACCTGGTTGAATGGAGAAAGAAAGCGTTGACTTCGGCTTCCTGGAATGATCACTTTGAAGTTGTGCAGTGGCTCGTTGAGATCGGGTTTCCGTTCAATGAGAATTCGTTGCTGAAAGATGCAGCAGTGGGTGCAAATGCGGATCTACTGGAGTGGCTGCTTGAGTACAGGAGCGTGCACGAAGAGAATGTCGCGAGTGGCATTTTGAAGGCATTTTTTCTAAGAGTGATAGCTTCCGAGGAGTTGGATTGCAGCGGCTAGACTCGGACGAGTTGATCTCCTGGAGAAGATTATTGAGCGTCTCCCTCAGGAGTATATTGATACTGATGAGGCATTTGGTGAACCGTTGATGATGGCGAGCAAGCACGGACAGTTAAACGCTGTGCTGTGGATGGTCGACAACGGGTATGCGGAGAACTCTCAATGTGGCGTTGCACGAGGTTTCATGGATGCAGTTGCTCATGGCCACCTTGAAGTCGCGAAGTTCCTTCAAGCTCGCTATGATATCGGTGACAATGAAGTAGACTCGGGGGTGATTTTGTTCTCTGCTGCAACTTACGGTCATCTCCATGCAGTGCAGTGGCTGTATGAGAATTTTGCAGACTTCCGAGTCCCTATCGATATGTTTCCATGCGCCACTTCGCTTGACGCCTCTTGATGCTGTCGCGCTAACTGAATGGAAAAATTGCACTACTTCCAAGTGTCCGAAAATTGCTGCAGCGTCCATGGGCGTTGTTGGTGTCACATCGGCTTCGTCATTTACGAGGTCGAACAGCTTTGTGTCGGTATCCACTACTAACGCCATGGATGGGGCTGCGACGTTAGGCCACCTGGGGGTCGTAAAGTGGCTTCATGAAAATCGATCTGAAGGATGCACGCGAAGAGCCTTGAACCAAGCAGCCTGCAGGAAACAGTTCGATGTGGTGGAATGGCTACTATCGAATCGGAGCGAGTTTACGCCGTCCGTTAACGGTAGCTCAAGAAAAGTGTCTGTCAGAGCGGCTGTTGCAGTGGGTCTTGGACAATGATCCCGATCAGTTCTCAAGCTGCGATATGCCATTGCTGTTTTAATTATTCGTGAACGGTGATGAACTGCGCGGGGTGCAGTGGCTTCTAACGAAGCTCCGGCATCTTCTTCCGAGCGATTTAAGCTCGTTCAACGACCATGACCCACTGTACCATTTGGAGACCACATTCTTCTTGGACTGGTACGTCGCGCAGAAGCAGTGAAGGGAGACTCGGGAATATGCAAGCGGCAACACTCCTGCATTCGCATGGCAACAAGATCAAGACAAGGCGTAATGCCACAACGTTGAAGTTGTAGGTGCACCTCCAGTGCGGCGAAAGTCAAGAGTACCTGAACGCCTGAACGATAGCCACACTAACACAAAGTAAACTAAGGGAAGCTAGCTAGCGTTTTAGCGGTGGGGTTATCAGCAAAATAACCAATTAGGACGTTTATTGTTCCTCGATGCCTGCAGTTTCCGTCCGCCATGTCACTGGCGGCGCGCTAGATGAGCCTGTAGGCAGCCAGGGTAAACCAACCTCCCGGTTCTCCTCAGACTGTGCGACGTATCAAGCGACCCGCTTAGTTCTTGCGGGCGGCGGCTACGGCCTTCTTGACAAGGGCGCTCTTCTGCTTGCGGGCGATCATGGCCTTGAAGCGGTCGAAGTCGTTGAGCTCGGCGCGCGTCTTCTTGTTCTGCAGCTTCTTGGCCCAGGTGGACGACTCCCACTTGGCGAGCGTGTCGGCCTTGGCCAGGGCCTTCTTGAGCGTCTTCTCGCGGGCCTGGAGGGGGATGTCCACCGTCAGGTCCGTGAGCGAGAGGCGCTTGAAGTTGATCACGTGGCGGTTCACGCCCGTGACGCTGAAGGGGCCGTCCACGAGGGCCTTGTTCTCGTCCACCACGTCGATGATCGTGGCGATCTTGCCGGCGTCCGGGCCGTAGTTGATGAGCACCACGCGGCCAACCGAAACGAAGCGAGTGAAAGTCTGCCGTGCATCATAGTACCCACCCACTGTTAGCGAATCATGCCCATACTATTGATGGCCCTTGCACTGCTGTGTGCGGCGCCCTGTATATAGAGGCCCACGGCCCTGCGGCCAGGAGACCTGAACGCACCATTGTAGCTGGGAGGAAAAACGCCAAACGAACTAATAAGCTTTGGGCTGCGCGCGCGGGCTAGTGGCCCGCCATTTAGAACCAGTCATCCCAACCCTACTCTCCTGCGGCGGCTCTCGGCCAATCATTTGCGTCACTGGCGTGTTTTACGCCAGCTGACTGGTGGAAAATCGATGTGGTGTGCGGTACATCAAGGATAATACGGACCCAGCTCCCCAGCGGGTTGGCGTCCGCATGTTGCGGGCTGTATTGCGGAGGGCGGGCACGCGGACCAACCAAGAGCGCGCAGCGAGGGCCCATTTTGACGCTAAGCGCGGTCAGTTTGGAAACTTTCATCGAGGAAGGATGCCGTTCGTCAAGGTCCTTAAGAACAAGGCGTACTTCAAGCGCTACCAGGTCAAGTACCGTCGTCGCCGCGAGGGCAAGACGGACTACCGCGCCCGCAAGCGTCTTATCACGCAGGACAAGAACAAGTATAACTCGCCCAAGTACCGCCTCGTGGTGCGCATCACCAACAAGCAGGTCATCTGCCAGATCGCGTACGCCGAGATCGATGGCGACAAGATCCTGTGCCAAGCCACGTCGGCGGAGCTGCCCCGCTACGGCCTGACCGTGGGCCTCAAGAACTACGCCGCCGCGTACGCCACGGGCCTGCTGGTGGGCCGCCGTGTGCTGCAGAAGCTCGGCCTGGACGAGGACTACGAGGGCAACACGGAGGTGGACGGCGAGATCGTCAAGACGGAGAGCAACGGCCGCACCTACTTCGTGGAAGAGGTCGCCGACGAGAAGCGCCCCTTCCGCTGCTACCTGGACTGCGGCCTGCGCACCACCACCACGGGCAACCGTGTGTTCGGCGCCCTTAAGGGTGCCGCTGACGCCGGCCTGGACATCCCCCACAGCGAAAAGCGCTTCCCCGGCTACAGCCGCGACGACAAGAGCTACGACGCTGAGGTCCACCGCGACCGCATCTTCGCCGTGCACGTTGCTGAGCACATGAAGGAGCTCGAGGAGGACGACCCGGAGATGCTTGCCTCGCACTACGCCGAGTACGTCAAGGCCAAGATCGACCCGGATGAGCTTGAGGACCTGATCACCAAGGTGCACGAGGCCATCCGCGAGGACCCCTCGCCCGCCGCCAAGAAGGACCACTCGTTCGACAAGAAGTACAAGAAGCAGGCCAAGCGTTCGCTCCAGCAGCGCAAGGCTCGCGTGGCGCAGAAGAAGGCCCACGCCGCCTCGAAGCAGGAGTAGATCTTGTCGCAGGGCTTGTTCTAGCTGGCTGCTTAGATCTCTCTTCTATCAGCTAGCGAAAATGTCCGCGTGGTGTAGTAATGCACCAACTACAACATGATGAAAGTTCAAACACCTTCCATTCACTTTACAGTCCACCCTTGGCGTCTTCCTTGTTCATACTGAAGTGTCCATGTCTTGATTCCGTGGTGCCTCCGCTTGGTGTCCTAATAGGTCGTACTTAACCGACCTTAATCCTTACACTAGCCTTACCTACCAATACCATTCAAGCAGCCATGTCGTTCTCCATGAAGCTGCCGGCCGCGAAGGGCAAGAAGAAGCCGCTCGGCGCGCCCTTCTCGTCAGACGGCAAGCAGTACGGGCTCGTGATCCCGAAGAAGGACGCGAAGGAGAAGGTGCGCGTCCAAGTTGCACGGCGTAACTCTCTGTCTACCGCTCATAATTTGACGCCAAAGTTGTCGTCCCCATTTCAGGAGCTCGCCACTGGTTTCAACGTATTCGCCAGCGCCGCCGCCGCCAACTCCAGCAAACAGTCGGCCGCCGCAGAGCAGGAGACGGATGCCAGGCGACGCGTGGGCGCCGAGGCCGCGCGCAGTCTGCAGCAGACGCAGGTGGACAAAGTGCGCGCCCAAGCGCTGGCCGACGACCCGTCGGTCTTCGACTACGACGCCGTGTACGACGACATGAAGAGCGCGCGGGAGAGCGAGGCGTCGCAGCGCGCGGCCAAGCGGGAGGCCGAGAAGAAGAAGCCCAAGTACATCAGCACGCTGCTGCAGCAGGCCAAGATCCGCGAGGTGGAGAACGAGCGCATCCGGGAGCGGCGTCTGGTCAACGAGCGCAAGGCCGACGACGCGCTCTATGGCGACAAGGAGAAGCTCGTCTCCGCGTCGTACAAGCGCAAACTGCAGGAGATGCAGCGCTGGGACGCGGAGGACGCGCGACTCGCGGCGCTGGAGGAGAACGAGGACGTCACCAAGCAGGGCGAGCACGCCATGGCCGGCTTTTACGCCAATCTCAACAAGAACATCGCAATGGGCGGCTCCACGGACAACGCGCGCAGTGCGTACACGGCCAAGGAGAAGGCACGGGATGAGAAAGCTAGTGACGAACCGGCTAGAGCTGAGCGCGGACGCGAGCGTGATCCTGACCGTGAGCGCGAGGTTGCGACGACGCAGGACGAACCTGCGATTAAGAAGACGAAGAGCAGCGGACAACCGAGCGAAAGTCGATCCCCGCGTCGTGATGAGCGGGAGAACGTTGAGGCTGACGCTTCGTCGACACAAAAGCAAGAGAAGCGCGAGGAGGCGAAACCGAGCAAGGAGGACGCCATCGCCGCTGCCAGAGCTCGCTTCTTGGCACGCAAGGCGCAGCGTCAAGCTCCCGGTTCCACAGCTTAGATACAACAATGAAATACGAGCTTTGCTTACGTGGTAGTGAATGCTACATGAACAATTTGTCTGTCGAAGATACTTTTGGTGCCAATGCTGAAGATACTTTTTTTCTAGCTGTACTTCCGCTTCAACTGCCTACATAAGAGTCAAATAAATATCAAACGCTTCTCGATGCTTTGGCCGCGGCTTAATGCACCGACTGGGTCAAGTGCTGCAGTCCCAACAGCGATGTGGCCGCCAGCAGCTCCAGATCTTGAAGTTGCGGGATCGGGTTCTCGTCGTTCGCGTTGCTGGCGCTGGCTTTAGAGCGCTTCCTAGCGGCCGAGCTCTTACGGCGCTTGCTGTCGTCCACCGAGGCCGGGGAGCTGTGCATGGCCGACCACGAGCGCTTGCGAGGTGAACTCGGCGGGCTCGGCACAGGCGACGGCGACACCAGCTGGTGGATGTTGGCCGGCACGTCCAGCTTGTTGCCGCGGGGGCCGCCGCGGCCCGTGGACAGGAAGTTCTTGACCTCGACGCCGGACTGGCGCAGCACCGGCTGCCAGAGGCGCTTGCGCGCGTTCGTGAACCAGTTCGAGAGCTGCTTGACCTCAATTCCGGCCTCGTTGGCGAGCTCCTCCTTCTCCTCCTCGCTCGGGTACGGGTGGGCGAAGTGCTCGGGCGAGAACATCCATGCCTTCAGCACGTTCTTGGCCTCCGGGTGGAGCGTGCCTCGGCGCGTGCCCTTCTTGCGCCTCTGCGCGGCCGACTTCTCCTGCTGCTGCTGCTGCATCTGCTGCTGGGAAGACATCTCCTCTTCATCGGCGCTGCTGGCCGCGGGCGTGGCGCTCTCCAGCTCGTACGAGGTGCTGGAGAACGACGGCAGCCGCAGCTCGCGGGCGGGCGCGCGCTGCGCCGAGATGGCGAACTGCAGCCCGGGCAGCGGGTTCTTGGCCGGGTTGGGCGACGTCACGGGCGCGGGCTTGCCCGTGAGCACGGGCGAGGCCATGGCCAGCGCCATCGTGGCCGGGTCCTCGCTCGGGTCCGTGGGCGACAGGCACAGCTGCGCCGCCTTGGAGGACATGGCGGCCGGCCGCTCGGGCGTGTTGGAGGCGGTCAGCAGGCGCATGGCCACGAGGCGCGCGTGGCTCGGCGGCTCCATCGTCGTCTACTACAGTGCACTGCGGGATCGGGGCTTTGGCTTTGGGGCTTGCTTGCGGGTGACGCGGCAGCTTGGGGAATGAGCCAGCCGTGCGTCAGCTGGGTCAAAGTTGCCTTTTTTGTATGGACTTGACTATTGACGACACGCAGAAGGGTCCGGCCCAATCAGCGCACAGCGTGCGACGCGGCGTTAAAATGCGGGACAGGGAGGTTGATGTCGCCTCGCCCCTCGTCGTCCAGTGGCGTCCGGCTCCTTGGTGGCTCGAGCACTCGGGCGGCGCTCGACAGCGGGAGGGATGACGTGCAGTAATGTGCCGGTCGTGCGGTCGTGGAGGAGGATACTTTTTTCCCCTTTCACGCCACTTTAAAATGGATGCGGACGCTTTCTTGATGCGCGTCGACTCGACTCGACTCGACTCGACTTGACTCGGCCTGCGTGGATTGCGAAGTGAAAGGGCTCGAGCCGCTAGAGGGCCGCTAGGCCGCATGCTGCTGGTGTCGGTTTCCTTCCTGGCGCCAGCCCTGAAAGGCGAGGCGACCACCCGGGCCGATCTGCACGTCTCTTGGCGACGCGGCGACGATTAGGGGGCTTGTCTCTGGCACGAAACCGCCGACAGACCCCTAAAAAGCGGCTTCAGGAGCCTTATTCGGGGCGCGCACCCCTATTTCCAGGCTCTTCGCGTGATGGCCATCAAAAATCTTCTCGGAGAAGTCTGGCGCCTTCAACCCCGCGAGCGCGAGCTGTTTCTCAGCGAGAGCGTGGCGCCGCGCTTTGCTTCTTGCCTCGACGCGCGAGTCAGCGCACGACACCGCGAAGGGACGGAATCTTTCCGCAGGCGCTGCAGCTTTGACCAGCAGCAACTCGCCTGTCATTCGGGCCGTTACGCGCAACGAGCGGTTGAGGTGGATGCCCATCAAGCGCCACGCACGAGACGTCCCTTGGCCCGGTCCGTTACCGTTTGGAGGGGCGGCGGCGACTAGCTAGCGGCCGCGATCCTATTGACGAGCAGTTACCTTGATTGGCCTGCTTCAACCACATCCATGCCAGTCAAAGGGCCGTGAAAGCCGTGAAAGGCCCAAAGCAGCCTCGGTGGGCCGGCCGAGCAAGCGAATGCCGATTTGCTTCGTTTCCCCCAAACGAGCGACATGTCCCGAGGGTATCCTCGCCACGCGCGACGAACGCGCCTCGAGCCCGCTGATGCCGAACACCAGCCTAACTTCAGCATTTCGAGGTCGAGGGGCACCGCTAGAGTTCGTTTCGCAGCTCGCCTCGACCTCCGAGTCCATTGCTCGGCTGCACACACTCAGCGACGGCCACGTAGCCTCCGCGTGAGACTTCAACCTCGGGGCACAGCCCATGATTCGGCCGCTTCGGCTTCAATGATCATGGTAGGCTTTGCTTCTCTCTCGCGCCAGGTGCTCGAGCGCACCTGGGTGCAGGGCCGTATTACCAGCCTTGCGCCCACAAATTGCAGTGCCGTCGAGCATCATATCTCATTGGACCCGAAGAGGTGATCTGGATTTTTCAGCCGAAAAGAAGCTTCGTTAGTATCGCGACTTCTTTCCCTGAAATAACGCCAAATAACATTTTATTTCAGCCAATCATATGTGAGATCAGTCAAAAATAATATTGACCACTAAGCATCGAGGAATCCTGAATGGGAGTTCCGGCTCTCAGTCGTACAAATTGGTCGGAAATGGAGGGCGGTGACGGTCCACCGAAGGGCAAGTGCCCTACATGCCTAAGCTCGTGGCGAAGTCGAACATGGCCAAGCACCGCAAAGTGTGCGGGAAGAAGAGCCTCCGAAGTCGCGCAAGGCTATAAACCGCGATTCCTACGCGAAGAACAAGGACAAAATCCTCCAGAAGCTACAGGAAAAGCGCGTGTACGACCAATTCCGCCACCTGGAGGTACAAAATTGTTAGAATGATATCAATTATTGGTAAATCTAACATGCGGAATATTTAGTGGCTCGTAAGTAGCTTACTGAGCGCGAGGCTCAGGGCGTGGAGGTTGAGAAAATGGAGAAAACGGCTTGGACGCCATTACCCAAAACAAAGGACGCCGAGGATCTGATCTATGGTGTCAGTTTGGATCCGAACCTATTTGCCCATTTCCTCGCGGAGCTGAAGGCACGTCGCAAGGCAAAGCACGGCCGCGGTCCGTCGATGATTTCTCCTAGAGAGCTCTACCGGGTGGCGATTTTCGTTCTTCACCCCGACAAGCTTCGCGGCCAAATCAGCAAATTTGGAGATGAGACCGATAAGTTGATGAACTACTGGAGCACGACGGCTAAGGCTTTCACCGTGTTTGGGAATGGACTTACGGAGGACACCGAGATGAGGCCTCAAATCGAACTTGACGCAATGACGGATGTTGAGTACCGACTTCCTCCGCTTGTAGTGGACAACCTCATATAAGAGCGCCCAATCATATCACAGGATTTGGAGGGCCTTCTCGACTCCGCTTATAAGTTCCGCACAAATTATTTCGATACGTTTCCACCGGTAATATATCGATGCGATGGAGGTTCCATTCATTTCACGCAGCTACGGCTGCAGCCTAGAGCTACCTGGACACAGTTGCTGCCAGTACTCGCTACCTATGCTAGTATTAAGCGCTGCTGCGGCACACGTATACTATACAGACGTTCGGAGAGTGGTTTGCTTGCATCACGCTGTTCCCATCGACTAATGACACATGTTACCGAGTTAGACTTTAATAAAAAGCTTACTTCAAAAATGTTCTAAAGCCAGGGCAAAGCATTGCAACGGCACTAGCCTCACGCGGGCGCGTGTTGCTCAAGGCTTTGCAGTGGCAGCCTGTTGCCTGCCGCGAGATGTCAAGCGCGACAGGCTCGCTTAGGCGGCTAGCGGCGTTGTACCAATAAAGTTAGCAAAGCGCAAAATAGTGGCAGCTAATCGACTACTGATACCGGTACCAGTTGCCAGATTCGGCATACCATTTGTGACGGGTGGTACAGTGTACTGGTATATACCCTGTCCACTATAAGCGGAGGAAGTCGGTATATGAACTAGCGGCGCCGCGTATCCAACGCACGTAAAGCAAAAGCTCGTGCTGCGTATGACTATGAGACGTTGGTGACCAACTTCCGTGCCTATCGCAAGAAGGTGGAGCGGTACTTGAGAGCGAAAGATCGCCATCTTGCGGAATTTCAAGCTCGAAAGGAGAAGGCCAAAGCCGCACACACGGCCTAAGTGATCAAGTTGAAAGCAGTTATCGCGAAGCTCGAGCGGGTTGGGCCATGTGCTACCTTCCAGGAGTACACAGCGTCCTACATCAAGGCCAAGCACGCAGCTAGTACGAGTGACAAGTAGTGGGGCGTGCTATAGAAGCCAGACACAAGACAGATGAATTCTACGACTTTTCCATCTCTTTAGGCTGCTTAAATGTACTTTTTAGTATGAACTCGTACATTTTCGTATGAACTCGTACTGTTCGGTATTAACTCGTAGATTCTGGTATGAACTCGTACTTTTCGGTATGATCCCACTTCAAAATTCACCATAGTCCTAAGAAAAAATTCCAATCTAAAATCCTCCAGAAAATATGTCGACTACCTCTTTTTACCCAAGGTGGTCGATCATTGGCCAATTAACACAAAATAACTGCCAAATGTTGTTTCAGCAAAAAGAAGTTGCTTCCGAGGACGAGCCCATACAAAGTCCTAATACAGAGATTGGACTTCCTCGGACCGAAACAACGTCTCAAGGCGGCCGAAAATCATTTTATAGGGTTCGGGCTATTTCCATACAAACTTCTTGATAGTGCCTAGGAGAGGCTACTATTGAGGTGTTATTTCAGTCAGAGTAAGCTCTACTTCTTAGGATACGTCTTAGGATAGCCTCCTCTCAACAACATGAACACGATGTGCACCCCGCCGTCTCCTACCAAGCGACCACGACCGTCTATCGTGAACAGCACCTCTGCTGAGCTGCGACTAATTGACAACAGCCTCGTGACCGTGCGAGCGAGCGAGTAGGAGCCAGCAGGCTGTACGTAGCTAGCTGCTCGACGGGTCGTTCGTGGATATTGGCGGTGAGGCGGCGCCGGAGATACTACAGTCTAAACGTCATTTTCGGCATTGTTTACCATGAGCGCGCAATGAAGCAACGGGCCGTCACGGTGGGCGTGAAGTTTGATGCACTATCTGCCCGTGTTCATCGTTTGAGTGGTGCTGAACAGGTGGTAGAAGTTGAAGCAGTGCAGCGAGAGCATGTTCATGTGGGTCATCGGTTCCTGGGCCGCTTCGAGCTGGAGCCTTTGAGGCCACCCCATCGACGGGACGGTAATGTGAAGGGGGCAGTACAATGGGTAAATGTATATGGCGTACGTGCATGTCAAGGTGTCAACATCAGCATTGACTAGCTATCATTGCAGCGCAGGTAGAGACAGCGAGCTGTCCATTAGAGCCAAGTTCGCTGTGAAGCTCACTCACTGCGCAACGTGCGGACATCGGCCAAAGAGATCTCGATGAATAGGTAGAAGCACATATTATTCGTCCCTCATGCCAGTAGAACGCTTTAGTTAAAAACTTTGAAACTATGTATCAATTCACTCTTCACTTGATCATCGTGAGTGCTAGCGCCGCGTGTACCTCGGCTACACACTAGCGAGCGCTCAGAATGCATACACTAACTTGCTAAGAAATGGAAAGTCAGGGAACGGCACCTGCACTCTATGGCGCTCCTCTTACACGGCCTCGAACAGTCGTGTCACAGTCGTGTCTTGTCGGTCGTGGTCGGGTGCTCACGCAGAAGCAGCACGGCCTCGTCCAGCGGGATGGAGGGGTTGCCAGCAACAATGCGCTTGATGATGTTCGTCGCCGCCAGCAAGTCGTGCACTCGACTCTTGGCGTTGGCGATGCCGAAGCGAACCTTGCGCACCTCCAGCTTCTCCTGCGTGTCGGACATCACCTGGATCGTCGTGGCGTCCATGTCGTTCTTGTTGCGCGCGTCTACCAAGACTCCGCGCGTGGTGATGCCCAGCGACTTGAGCCGCACCATTTCGAGCTCGATGGCCAGAGCCACTCGCTCGCAGTTGGCAAAGTACAGCGAGCTGTCCACGCGGACGATAATGATGTCGTGCAGGCCACGAGCCTCGGGGAAAAGCTCGCGGTCCACGAAGCTGCCGCCGTCGAGCTCCCCCAGGAATGACACGGGCGACACCTTGGTCTTCCACATCAGCGCCAGCACCGTGCAGAAATCGATGCAATCAAACCGTCCAGCACGCCCAGACCGAGCGTAAGGACGAACGAAAGCGTCCACACCCAAAACGCGTCGCGCTTGACGCGGTAGAGCCACTTGGCCTCCTTGAACTCCACCAGCGAGTAACCGGCCACGATGATGATCGACGCCAGAGTGGCGCTCGGCAGGTAGTACAGCGGGCTCGTGAGCGTGTACAGTGAGAGGATGACGATCAGACACGTGATGATTGAGGCCAACTGCGTGTGGGCGTTCAGGAGGTTCACAGCTGTTCGAGACATACCACCGGTAGGGGGCATGGCCTGGAAGAAACCGGCCACGATGCTGGCAATGCCGAGACCCGTGAGTTCCTGGTCCGTGTTGATGTCCTCTCCGCGCTGGATCGCCAGACGCTTTGCCATGGCGATACTCGACAGGAAGACCACCACGACAACCGTCAGCGAGTGATACAAAACGCTGCCGAACTTGTCGCCGTCGATCAGGTGCGACGTGAAGCCGTACCAAGGCACCTTCGGGTCGGGGAAGCCGCCGGGGATTGCACCCGTGAGCTTCAGGGGCGAGGATCCCAGCAGATATCCGACAATTCCACCGAATATGCACACGACCAGCGGGCCGAGGTCGCACATGGTGCGTGCTAGGAAGATGGCCACCAGTACGGGCTTGGACTTGGGCTTGGTAGTCTCCTGCAGACGCTTGTCACCGACGTCCGAGACTCGGCCGGCCGCCGAGTGACAGGCGTAGGCGTTCTCCATACTAACGTACTGCTCTTCGGAGAGCGAGAAGCCGTGGCTGTGGATGGTGTGGGCGTTGTTCAGCACCGGCGTGAGGAGCCGCTCGGTCTGCTCCGAGGCCTTGTCGTCCTCCTCCTCCTTCTTGGGCGACTCGAACCAGGGCACCCGAGAATGCAATACTTAGATTAATATTTCTAAACTGCGGGCAAAAATTAATCATTGTATTATTGCCATTAATTGCTGCCAATTCGTGCACGAACCTGCTCCACCGTGTTGACGTCCCACAAGTCGCGGTTGTACTGCAGACACATCAGCATCTCGAGCATGGTGGGGGAGAGACTCTTCCGCACGTCTGTGAGCACCAGCTTCGCCGCCGAAAAAAAGCGCCCGTATTCGTTGGACGTCGGCGGCACGTAGGCGACGTCCACGTATTGCGAGCGCCTCGGTGCCTTCCTCTTCTTGAACGCCGCCTTGACGATAGAGCTGTTGCCGTCCTCCCGCGCTGGTGCCCTTTCAAGGGCCGTCGATCTAAACTCGGCACACGCCGACCGTTCCGCGGCCGTCAACGCCTCTTCGCGCTGAAGCTTGACGAGGCCCAGTTCTAAATGCGGGTTGTTGACGATCGGAGGTCTTCACGACCTGGTCAAAAAGACGGCGCACAGCAGACAAAGTTAGCGTAGACCTCTGTAGCTCTTTCGTGACTCCCTCGAACATCTCCAGGTCCTTATCCAACGCCTTGACTCGCTCGTGCTCGGCGCGCCGCAGCAAAAGCGGCTGTACTTCGTACTTGACCAGAAGGTCATGGCCCAGCTTGATTATGGCGGGCTGGAGCTTCACATAGCGCGCCACCATCTCGTACGTGCTCGACCACCTGGTGTCGTTCCTCAACAGAGGCGACAGATGGGAGACGCGGCGAAGCAGAGCGCGGCCCTTGATCGTCCGGAGCTTGGTCATCAGCGCGTGCACCTTCGCAATGAGCTCGTCCTCGGTCTTGAGGAAGTCCTTCACCGCCAAATTGAATCTGTGGCTAGCACATTCAATGAAGGGGATAGCCCCTTCCTTCCGGCCGATGCATTGGTTCATAGAGCAGTTGTCTCCCACCATGAACTTCACCGCGCTCCAGGGCTTGTTATAGCGAGACGGCGTGTCAGCGATCAGGTCGTACTGACTCTGCGCACCCATGTTTTCCTCGACCTCTACTGGAGCGAATGTTAACAGCAGGAAGCGGCGCGATGAGCACTCGAGATCGTCATAGTACTCGTTGTCAGCGCCGCCACCGGTAATACCGGTACTGTCGCTGCCGCATACCGCGAATATCGCGATGTAGTGACGACCACCACTGGTCCATCCGTCTAGAACGAGGCCGAACGATGCAGGGAGCTCGCGAGCGACGCGCAGCTCTAGCAGCTCGAAAATCAGCACGATGTACTTGGAGAGGGTGTACTCCGACACGAGAGAGAGGGAGGCGTTGAGGCGCATGAGCCGCCGCTCTACGAACGCAAACGGGAGGCGGTCGCAGACGACCCACTCGAGCCAGCGGTATAGGTCCCTGGTCCGTGTGCTGACGAGGTGTAGGCGCAGCGGGTTCTGGCGGCGTGACGCCTCCTGGGCCTCTTGCTCGTAGTTTTCGTGGTTGCGCCGCAGGTGGTTCAGCAGGTTCGTGTAGCCATTGCCCTTCTTGTACTGCTTGTCGCAGGATGTACACTTGTAGAAGCCGTTGCCGACATCAGTGAAAAGATAGAGCAGATTTGGCTGCTCGTGAGGACCATGGTGGACACGTGGGGCGAGGGGCTTGGGCGGTGAGGGGTGAAGAAAGCAAATTTGATTCTGAAGGAGCCTCCGCTGCGAGTGGTGCGGTGAAGTGGTGCCAGATCGGCGAGTGGTTGGTGGTGGACTCTTCGGCGGACACTGGTGGCTGCAACGAACTCCATCTGAGCAATTCAAATACGAATTGTGTGCAATTCAAAAATAAATTGAGGGTCTAAAATTATTCATTGAATTAAAGTATTCGAATGTATTTTTATGAGTATTATTTTTTCGGGTGCCTTGACTCGAACAGCTGCATGAGCACGGGCGACGGGAAGTAGCGCTTCTTGATGATCTTGACTGTGAACAGATACACGATGGAGATGGCGGCGACTGCGAAGGCCGTCAAATTGGTGTGGCCGATGTGCTTGAAGATATGGTAGACCGTCTGCGGCGGGTAGTCCTGCGACGCGAACTTGATGCCCAGCGCGTTGGAGAACTGCGAGAGCATGATGAGCAGACCGCCGGCCGAGATGAAGCCGCCCATGACCGGGCGCGAGAAGAAGTCGGCCAGCTGGCTCAGGTTGATCAGCCGCACGAGCAGCAGGATGCAGCCGCTGAGGAAGGCCATCATGATGCCCGTGGCCACGCGCTCGTCCTGGTCGTCGATGTCCTCGAGGATGGTGCCGACCAGCAGCGACACCTCGGAGCCGCTGGCCACGGACAGCACCGTGCTGGCCGAAGATGGCGTTGACCAGCGGCGCCGTGGCCGCTGTGTAGAGCCCGTGGTGGGCCGGCACGTTCATGATGGTGGACAGCGACACCTCCTGCGGGATGAGCATCATGGCGACGGTGATGCCAGCCACGACGTCGAACTTGAGGTCGCGCCGCACGTCGTAGTGCGGCAGCCAGCTGAAGATCGGGGCGACGTCCTGCGCCTGCTGCAGCCACGACTTCTTGGGCAGCGCGAAGCTGTCGCTGGGCCCCGACTGGCACCCGAGAGCCAGGCCATGCGACTAGCGAAATGCGGGTCTGCCTGGGTCGAGATGTGTGCCGGGCGGTGCCAAATGGAGAGTGAGCTGAGCTGAGCTGCTCACGGGCCTTGACACGGTCGTTGAAGCGCGTGTTGATGTCAACGACGTTAGCGATATCATTGGGGGGCGGACCGTGCCAATGAGAGGTGGCAGTGCGGGCGAGTCAAACATGGTGCGGACTAAGATACCAAATGATCGCACCGCCGGAAACAATTCATCCTTGCAGGTATAGCGTCAATGAGAGTAGGGTCATATAGTGGGTAGACCTCTTCTTGGTTTTGCTACTGGCAGTAGAGCATCATGTTAGAAAGAGCCTTTCAAGAGTGGATATTGAAGTGATATACACAAAAACAGGCGGGTACAGTTGTCCCCGCCTCAGGTGTCATGCACTGAAAAGACGAGTTGCCTTAGTGCCGTGCGGGGACTGCGGTAGCTGTAGCGACTGCAGCGCATGGAGCGCAGAACCATCACCTCCACGCCAGAACGCATCAGCCGGACGTGGTTGCGCGAACGCGAAGCCCTTGCATCCGCTGAACGCCATCGAATGCTGCTCAGCTCCTTGGCTGAGAACCGCCGGGGATGCAGTTTGAGGTCCATTCGTCAGCGGTACAGCCGTCAGTACATGTCTGTGTCAAACGCACCCTTCAAACGGAAATGCAACTTCTAGCGAGTATGAAGCTGAGCGTGTGCATGTAGTCCGCGACGGCAGTTCTCATCCGCACATGCATGTTTCACGGTCTGTGTACATTCTGGTGCAAAGTAAAGCAAAGCACTAACATCGTTTTTATTTTTATTTGAGTGTGGTCGGCGCCGACACCAAAAAAACCAAACGTTGTGGCGACGAGCGTAATACTACGAGTACTGGTATACGAGTAACGTTGATTATCTGAGTAAACAGGTATTTACTACCAGAGAGCCTTCTTAGTGAAGAGGGGTCAATGAATAGTGTGAATTTCCCTAGTCTTGGAGCATGAAGCTTGATGTTATGACACTGCCTTCTGCCCGGGCGCGGCGAAGAAGGTTAAACTAACTGTAGAAGCTACGAAACTTTGATGTGTCGGAGGTAAAGGGTAGAATGAGCTCATTGAACCTGCGTCATCGGGCTATCGTACATGTAAAACATTTACTTCGAGGTATAATATAATATTTTCCCATGCACTTCAGTAAAAATACGCAGAAGTGGGTTCTACAACATGAAAATTGTGTGACACGATTCATGGCATGCTACGAAGCTCATGAATACATGTAGGTACTTGAACTACTGTACGTGTTGCGCAAAGCCCATTCTCTCTCCGACAATCTGGATAGAGGGAGGTTTGGAGGACTCATCAGTGCTTGCACCGATCAATCGTTCCATGGACGAACGTCGCCACTGACCTATCACCAGTTTACAGTATCGATTAACTACAGTCGTTCGAGAATTTAGTGTCAAGGTACTGTACATGTACAGACCGGGTAGTACCCAGTTTCAGTCGTATCTAAACCTGATGCAGCGAATTTATCGAGACAACCAACTCTTCATTCCGACATCGAGTGATCTGCGTGGGGCTATTAGTGCACGGTATCGAGTTTTTCGAATACGATCTGTACATTCAGGAATGGACCAGGCTTTGCGATCAAATAGATTCAAAACGCGCGCACCACTACATTGCTGAATAGGTGCCGGTACAATAGTTACTGTACCACCCGATACAAAGGGACGTTCACAGAAGGCTTACTTACCTTATCGTCGTGGCAGAGTAAATAGTTGTCAAAATGAACGCTCTGTGAAGGAAGATCAGAGATGACACGGTGTCAGCTACCACAGGTACTCACAACTTGCAGCTCAATCCCCTTGGGAAACACGCAGTCTCGAGCGACTTAATGCTAAAATAAATCCGCTGGAATTGATGAGCATGCCACTCGCATGGGGTCAGCCAGCTGGATGTGTGCAACAGCAAGCGCAAATCTTGATGACCAGCTACTACGCTGACTTAGATGACTTATGTCATACCATAACGCAATTATTACTACTTCGGGTGTGTTACGGTAGCTATACACGTAGATGTACCCAATCCATAACGTAAAACTTGATGACCAACTATACCACATGCAGGTGAAGTACACTCGTATCCACCACCGCCAGCAACAGCAACAACATAACTGCAGCTAAGCACTTACGCGGTTTGTATACTGTCTTTATTCAGACGTTTGATTGAATCCATGGAGCTCCTACATTGAAGTATGTATATGGTTTCTGCGAATACCATGCTGGATTCAGTACCAGTCCTCCACGCCAACTCCAACCACCATCCAGTTTGTCGGTGCGTGTCAGCTACTGTATTAGAAAGTTGCCACAAGAGCGAAATGGGCTTTGCAGTATTCACGAATTTCGTACATGACATGGTTACGGTATCTGTATTGATGCAGCCTACTCTATCGCTGTGGAGAATAACTTGCAGAAATGTACCGAACTCGCCCGCGCTTTCCAAAGTATTCGTGCATGTACTAATCGATAAATGCTAAGAGCATTTGCTGCGTTTTGCCATCAACGAGCTTGAAAAGAAGAAAAATAACGAGGTAAATTATCTTCAGGCGGCAGCGTTTGTTTCAATAAACAGGATCAATCACGCTACGTTGAATGCTTCCTCCCTTGCCAGTCTATTGTACAGTAGACACGCGCAGTGTGATCACACTGTATCTCTGGAGCTACAAGTTGCTCTTGAGATTGGACGTGCCTGCGAGCGCTAACAATGGGATGGTAGGACGGGGCCTCGAGCGTTAGTTGCGCTCTGCAGTCCTCAATTTGCTCCGCCGCACTAAAGCCTCAAGTTCAAGCGATCAAGCCCGACCACGCGTATTGGTTACGTCCTGCTAATTGCTGCAGCCACTCTCGCCGCAAGCTGCAACGGTCTTGCTGCTGAGCCCTCGACCTCGACGCAGCTGGCCTCGTCGGACTTGACACAGGCGACTGGTGTAGGCAAGCGGTTTCTGCGAAGCTACAAGGCGGACGAGAAGGAGGAAGAAGATGAAGAGGACGGGCAAGAAGACGAGAGCGAAGAAGAGGAGTACAGCGAAGAGAGAGAGGCTTCGGGCTGGACGCGAAGAAGATTGATGACGTGCTTCACTTGTCCGGTTGAGCGACAACGAAAGTCGACGACGTGATCAACGCGGCGAAGCTTGACGATGCGGTCTATAAAACCACGCTCAAGAGTGCGCTGGCCGGTGACGAGACAATGCAAGCGAAACTATTCGACATGTGGGTCAAGGCGCCCAAGAAGGAGAGACAAGCTGAGATTAACAAGATCGTCTTCAGCCGTGAAGGAGTCGACGGCAACAAGGCGTTTTTTGAAGCGTGGAACAAATTCGAGGGAGCTGGTCGTGTGGGGCACGCAGTCCGCTACACGGGCCCGAAGTAGTGCGGATGCGGTATACGTCTGCCGTCCATGTTGTCGTTTTCCAATTTCCGGGTAAATTACTTTGGCGGCAAAACGGCTGCGAAAGGTGTCTGGCTGAGTGTCGGCCAACTGTACACGCCACGTAAACATAATTTCACCGGTAAAGAGCGCGTGAAGCAATCCGATCGAAAGGTCTCCTTGTTGCTTGCCGGAATACGAACCACAAAAAGCTACAATGGCGAGTCCGATTCACCGAAGGAATGTGCTGGGCGAGCATCTCGTGTTTAGATGGAGCAGCTCTACAGTATGTTGCTGGTCCAAGGCAACACTATATTTCCTGATGTAAGAGCACTTCAAACTGTCGTTAAGCGGGTTTTCCCAAACGCTTCCAGTAAAAGCGTCTAAAGATCGCTTCACTGCGTGTGGACACTAATTTTTGCTCGCAAACGGAGGGGTCCTTTGTAAAGAAAAAAAAAGAGGTAGCCCTAGACTCGGAGCCAGAGCTTCCAGTACGTGTAAAGCAATCCCTGGACATCATCGATCGCTGAGATCGTATCCGGGTGAGGTAAACTGGGTCGTAGTCGTCGGTGCACTGTACCGCGACTACTACAGTGACACCTCCCTAAATGAACCCCTCTAACTGACCATGTGTTCCCTATCTGGTTTGGATTCCTCGACTGCAAACGGGATTATATGGATTTCACTATAGGTGTTCTATAACTGATCAAAAACCTCTTTATTCGCAGTTCGAAGAACTGTCGATTGGGGAAGGTTTTTGGATGACATCGAACGACATTCACGCTACATTCGTCACTTCACCCGTGCGGATGACATCAAACAACATTCACACAACATTATACAGCAATCGGTCTGAATGGTTTTGATGGATGCCTACTGTAGATTGATGTTAGAGCAAGTGGGCGACGAACAACGTATTGTGTATTAGCGGACTACTACGACGAACAACGTATTGTGTACTAGCAAGCATATGAGGCATCGGTGCTAATGATGCTAACCTTGGACACAACTGGTGCCACATCACTGCATCGTATTATTGGGTATTTTGAGAGGAGACGAAGGCGAGGCTGAAAATGGGTTTCTCGGCGAGGAGAGATCATGGCTTTTGCTACTGGACACAATACGACCGACACCGTGTTCTTGAGGCGTGACCATCAAGTGCCGGCTCCGTCAACGACATCATCGCCGCGGTCACGCCAGCGCTCGACGGCCGACTCACGGATTCCGACCCCCTCAGCGGCGAAGGTACATGTAGCGATCGCCCACGCAGGCTTGCTCATGATGTCGTCCTGACGAGGAGGAACCACGTCGGGCTCCGTCGCGCTCGCACTCGCCTACCTATCACTACTCCTACAACTACCACTACCTCACTTGGGGCAGCTCGCGCTCCCACGACGGATTATGGCGAGCGTGTCAGGGCCGAATCAGCACACAAGGGTTTTGACCCGTGGCTTGGCCCAACTCAGCTCCCTCATTTCAAGCGAGAGCAGCTTTCCATTGTCGGCCAAGTCACGGGGCAACCTGCTGTGCGTGTCTAGTGCGAGCCATGTAAGTTGCATGGATTGCTGGTACTAGCTAACTTTGTTTTAGCCTCTGTTCTATCCTATTATCATCACAGTCCATCCGCAACCAAGCCTCTTATGGGGCTGGCCTATCCAGCCCCAGTCTCGGACCGACGCCGCGACCGAAGCTTCGCGCTGCGACGATCCTCGACTCGGCCCTCCGAGGCCGAGTCTTTAATGCGAATGGACTGTTCCTCTTTGCCCCATGATCTTGACGAGCGGAGAAACTACTGTACATGCAGCTTCAAAGCACTCAACATAGTACTTACTCATTCCATTAGCGGTAAAATTATCGATTCGATCTGTTATGAGTCATAACTTATACCCTTCTCTTTCAGACACAGATTTTCTTCTGCACGCATAGTTTCTCAAAGAGAGATATTGAAAATCGTGTGGTCAGCTGAGTTTGCCGTGACATAAACTGTCGGCGGGCTGATATTGTGTGAATCGCAGGGCAGCCGAAAAATAAATTGACGCTCCAGTAATTGCCATAAATATTATTGCATAATTTATGAGCGGCGGCTTAGACCGTCATTATTCATGATGCCATATTACTATTCCATACTCATAATTTATGATACTATCTCACGAACGGTGCGGAAGACGGCGGCGAGGAGCCAGAGGGTTCGTTTGTCCAGCGTCTCGAGAAGCGTCGCCGGCTCGAGGCTCGAAAGCCCCGCTACGACCTCATCTCCAGCATCCCGCCGACCTCGAACAAGGTCGAGCGGTTTCTCAGCGTGGCGCGTACCACGTTTGCTCAAGAACGCAACAGTCCCCAGCCCGCTACGCTGGAAACAACTTTGTTTCTGCGCGAGAATGCTGACTTCTGGGACGTTTCGACAGTCGATCGCGTCAATTAGTGTGAGTAACCGTACGTCAAATACCCGCACCACATTATTATTTATTGCTCGAATACATTACATAATTTATGCAGATACAATTGACAAGATCCTTGCATTATTTATGAGACACTATCTGCGCTAATAAATAAAAATACCTTATTCGGCAGCCCTGGATATGGTATTTTTGGGATTCACTGAATCCCCACACTCACTGGAATTAATCCGGATGGATTAGATAAAACATTCCACTAAAACATTGCAAAAAACTACTTAAAGTCCTATGTTGTGCGATTCAAGATAGGAAGTATATTCTATTTTTTTTCGTTCAACAATTTTTTTTAATCCGAACCCAACTCTACCCGCCGGCAATGCGGTGACGTCCTAACGAATTCATTCAGCGGAGACTCAAAAAGAGCTGCTCCTGGTGGTACGAAAAAAGGCTAAAGGCTAGCTGCACTAGCTTAGGCATTTATCTATGAAGACTTGGATGATTTAAGCTTGTCTTGTGTGAGACTACAATGCGACCCGCAGAGATTCACCGAACTGGTGGTGTCGAATGATCTACTACTTGATCTTGTTCTTGTCAAAACAAGTTCAAAGTACATTGTTACCGATATTAGTTCAGATCATCCTAATGCTACATGCATACAGTACCTTCAGATTAATACTTGATAAATGGCAATATCACACTTGGACGAATCGAAGATGGCAGTTTTTTGTTGTTGTTAGATCTTCAGGCGACCCGGACAAAATATGTGTGCGGCTGCACCATGTTTTATCAAACAGTTTGAATGCTCCTATGTTGTCGCTGTACGCCGCGCATCCTGTGCGAGAGGAAGCACCGGGCGGACATCGTCAAAGCGAAGGACGAACACCCGGTGTATCCTACTCCTACACGTGATCGAAATCTGCTAGACCTCAGTTTTAACTCATCAAACTAGAAACAAATTGCTGGCTTCATCGGGTTATCCTGCAAGTTTGGTTGAGCAGTTATCCTGGCAGCGCTAATTATTCGAATGCGCGTTTTTTTCTTGTTTTATCGTCACCTGTAAATTTCCGAGCACAACACTGCAATCTAAACAATAAAGGATTCTGCCTGGGCATCAGCGCACATTACAGTAGCAGGAAGGAAGGAAATTACGTTGATTACCTCGCTGTTGATAACCGTTCTACTAACTACAAAGAACTAAAGTTAAAACTAATCCGTGGAGCCCTCATTCGACGAGCAGGAGGAGGTAGAATCATCACGGTGGGTTTGTCAAACCCAATCGTTGAAGTACCAATTCGTTGGAGTGACGATACATGTATATGAACTGACAATGCCTTTGAAAATAAGCGATCAAACTTTGTACACTTGGTTGTACCATGGTAGATTAGGCAGATGCTGCGGCTGCGAAGCAGGCGCAGGGGATGCCCGAGTACATCGTTTCCCTGTAAGGGTATCCGTACAAGCTAGCTTCGAACTGCGAAACCCCCCGGGTCCACCACCCGGGTCCCCAATTCTCTAAATGGTCGCAATTGTTGGCGCCTCAACCCTCTAAATGGACGCCGTAGTAATAGATCCAAACTCATATGTTTTTCTCAATCACTTGCCAGCCTCCTCCCACGTATGCCATTGCTACCACTACTCCCGCCACAAGAAATCGAGCGAAGAGAGAAATTGTATTTGGGATGCTAAGTTGGAACAAAGAGTTTGCAGTAACTGCAAGCTTGTGATAAATAAGCTAGCCACAGTATTTTACAATCAGCGCAGCGTACATATATATTTTACGAAAAACTAAAATATTATGATGTCGAGACAACTAGGGGCTATGCAGTAGATACCAAACAAAAGATAAAACTGCAGGCATGGTGGCAGGATATCGGGACAACAAATATTCCCATAATCTCACTGTATTGAAACTCACGTACAACCTGAGGGGATGCAATACCAATGAGAAGAAGGAGTAGGAACAGACAATACCGCGCCTACCGTTATTGGTTAAGTTCTGTCTGTGTGAAGACGAAACAAAACAAGAGTACGAAAATGCTGGAGGGGTCCAAAAGGCGTGGACGCAGCCAATGGCGCGGACTGCCGTCCGGACGGCGCCGACATAAGGCTCCGCTCGAACTCGAACTGTCTTCTTGGTCTCCACCGCCGCCACCAGGTAAAGAAAGCCCTTGTGCACCTAACATATGAAAATGTAGCCATTAGAAATGTAGCCATTTCTTTATCTGATCAATTCTTTAACTGAAACAGCGTACTGTATTAGACCGAGCAAACTGGGTGTCATTTATAGAGGTGTCACTGTATCAATCAGGAATGCATAATCGAGATATGAATGGAAGCCGCCATGGGGCTTGGATGAGCTAATAGTGCCACTTCTCCTCTGCGCATAGCTGAGTACATTCTTTTCGGGACAGCGCTCAGGACGACCCCACACTCCATGCTGTGTCCCACAAAGAGTTTCATGTGACGCGCCAGCCCTGACCTGTTAAATCGTGTGAGGAGCTGTTCGCGGCGTCGAAGTTGCAGTCCGGGCATACTCAGCGTAAGTCAAAGTCGCTGAGCGATGCTGCCCCGTTCATCCAATCGAGCGTTTACCTTGGGCAACACGCCCAACGCAATGGAGACCGCTAAGACCATTACTGTCGAGTCGTGGTACGACCGCTAAAACCTAGGTTGTCCAAACCATACATTTTCCAAGTCAAACAGCTCGACACGATACCTGGTGTGGCGCACACCACTCCCCCTTAAAACCCTCCATCACCCTCCAATCCTGAATCAGCACCGCCGGTAGCAGTCGGCCCCACATTCTAGCAACACCATGCACGGCTCCGGACGCGTCCTGCTCCGCGCCGCCGCGCGCGCCAACAGCGCCGCGCGTCGCTCCGTCACGTCGCTCAGTAGCAGCGCCGGCGTCTTGGCCGCTCGTTCGTCCAAGTCCGGCGCTTCGGCGCTGCGTGGTGCCTGCGTGAGCTCCGTCCGCGCGCAGCGTCTCGGCGCCGTGTCGTCTGTGCAGGTGCGCGCGTTCTCGGCCTCCGCGGGTGCGACGGACGTGCCCGTGCCCTCCATGGGCGACTCCATCTCTGAGGGCACGGTCGTCGAGTGGCTCAAGCAGCCGGGAGACGCCGTGGCCGAGGACGAGGTCGTGGTCGTGCTCGAGACGGACAAGGTCAGCGTGGACGTGCGCGCGCCCTTCGCCGGCGCCATGGGCCAGCAGCTGGCCGCCATCGACGACAACGTGCTGGTGGGCGCGCCGCTCTTCCAGATCGTCAAGGGCGCGGCGGGCGCTGAGGTCGCCCCGGCCGCCTCGACGGAGGCGCCGGCCGCCCCTGCTGCTGCTCCCTCTGGAGAGGAGACCACCGTGCCTGTGCCTTCCATGGGCGACTCCATCTCGGAGGGAACCGTTGTCGAGTGGATCAAGAAGGCCGGAGACTTCGCGGCCGAGGACGAGGTCGTCGTCGTGCTCGAGACCGACAAGGTGAGCGTGGACGTGCGCGCCCCCAAGGCCGGCACCGTCACCAGTACCCTGGCCGACGTGGACCAGACCGTCGAGATCGGCGTGCCCCTCTTCAAAATGGTGTTCGGCGGTGAGACCCCCGCTGCTGCGGCCCCTGCCGCCGCGACGCCCGCTCCTGCCGCTGCGGCGTCGACTCCTGCCCCTGCTGCTGCTGCCCCGACGCCGGCCGCGGCCCCCGTTGCCCAGCCCGCTGTGGCCGGTGCCAACCCGCTGCTGGCCACGCCCGAGCGTGTGTCCCGCCGCGAGAAGATGAGCCGCATGCGTCTGCGCACGGCCGAGCGCCTCAAGGAGTCGCAGAACACGGCGGCCAGCCTTACGACCTTCCAGGAGGTGGACATGACCAAGCTCATGGGTCTGCGTAAGCAGTACAAGGACGCGTTCGAGGCCAAGCACGGCGTCAAGCTCGGCTTCATGTCGGCCTTCGTCAAGGCCAGCGCGTCGGCGCTGCTGGAGGTTCCCGGTGTGAACGCCATGATCGACGACGAGCACCAGGAGATCGTCTACCGCGACTACGTGGACATGAGCGTGGCCGTGTCGACCCCCAAGGGTCTGGTGACGCCCGTGCTCAAGAACACAGAGTCCATGAGCTTCGCCGACGTGGAGAAGGGACTGGCCGAGCTAGCCGCCCGCGCGCGCGACGGCAAGCTGACGCTCGAGGAGATGACCGGCGGCAACTTCACCATCTCGAACGGCGGCGTGTTCGGCTCGCTGATGGGCACACCCATCATTAACCTGCCGCAGTCGGGTATCCTCGGCATGCACGGCACGAAGATGCGCCCCGTGGTCGTGGACGGCGAGGTGGTCGCGCGCCCCATGATGTACCTGGCGCTCACGTACGACCACCGCCTCATCGACGGCCGCGAGGGCGTTACGTGCCTCAAGGCCATTGCCGACAAGATCGAGAACCCGGAGCGTCTGCTGCTGGACATTTAAGCTGCTTCGAGAAGCAATTTTCCCGCAACCGTGCCTTGCGTGATGAGGACTCGAAGTCATCGAAGAGTGAGAGAGAGAGAGAGCTCAGGCAAAACCATACAGAAGAGGGAATGAATGTGTTTCTTGCAACAATAGCGGGTAGGCTGTCTATCCGTCGTTCAAGTCCTGATCTCTGATGCCGGGCGGAAGAAGTCTTCCACGATATGGGGAATTGTCTGGAGCCCGGTGCACTTGGAGTTTCGCATCTGTAGATCCGTCTTGCCGGCTATTGTTTTCTCGATGAAGGTGTTGCAGAACGCGACTAACAGCTTCTTGCGCGCGTTGACGCCCGTGACCAGCTTTACCAGCGACCGAGGCTGTGACAGGGAATGCACGATGTAGCTCATGAACTCACCGCAGTATTCGCAGCTTTGATCGTCCTCGTGTTTCCGTTGAGCGTACATCCAGACCTGATAGCGGAGATTCGCGAAGTCACTGAAGCGCCGCTCGAGCTGGTAGTCTGGATGGTCCGCGACTGCGGTGGCCTTGACCGTCGGTATACGAGACATGCTGTGCTGAAGGAAGACTTCGACTCGGTAGTACACGACGCCGTTGCGCTCCGTCGTGCCGTTGATCTCAATGTGGTCGATCTTCTCTAGGAACGACAGCGTCGCCGACAGCTCGGACGACCGCGTCGGCAGCAATTCCACCTTAGAAAGCTGGTGCAGCGATCGCAGGTCGGTGGTTGACATGCCGTCTGCTCGGATTTGATGCTTACAGTGATGTCCTCGTGGTGGTAAATGGGGAAGTGACGAAACCGCTCCGAAGCCAACAAATCGCTCACTAACGAGAACTGATCGGTGGTGGTGCCCGGCTCGTTGTTACATGCATTGATCGGTAAGAAATATGTACATGTATGTTGCCCTGGTACTGTAGATGATGCTGCAAGTTGTGCGTTAGCGTTGGAGTGGATTTGAAATACTTTACGGTGACGAATTGACGCCCGTTTAGATACCGTGCGTCCTATCACAGTATTCCTCGTTGATAGCCCATCCCAACAACTGCGAGTGAAGGTTATTGCCGTCAGAATGCTGCTGTTTCTCTCCGATATGAAGCAGTATGTAGACAAAGTGTGAACTCTCTCTCTCTCTGGCAGCAACGTACACATCTTCATAAAAGCTTCGTGGTCGAAGAATACAAGTCAGTATGCAGGCACTATTATACCAAGCAGGACAAGCAGGACAACTCGATGCCCGGCAAGGACCGATGCTGGCGGGTTGCCACCACTTTGTCAAATCGCGGTCCTGGCTCACGAAAGGAAGCCTTGTGTCTTCGGATGACGAAGACCGCCGGAGTGTGATCAGTTTGCTTGGACGGCGAGGTGCAGAGACCATGACTCCACCCTGCACTCCACAGGATTGGTCCGATGATCTCGCTGACTCTGTGAGACAAGGCCAATTGCCACCGCGGGTGCGTGGACTTCCGCTAACTCGCTGCTCCTGCAGCTGCCTACTTGTGAACAAAAACGGCAAGCCCGCCACGAGGCGACACACGACTCCCCGTCCTACCGAGTGAATTCCCTCCACCAAAGCGCTCTCCATCTACAGTACTGCCATTCTTCGTTTGGCCATACAGAGCCAAAGCCGCCGGCTGTCCACCCCAACTTCGCTGTCTCCACAAGAACCATGTCCAGTCCCGCAGTCATGGTATTTCGCGTCCTCGCCGGAATGGCAACCATTTGCATGGTCTCCAGCCCTTCGCTGCTCATGTACCGGATCCACAAGCAGAAGCACGTCGGTGTCGCCTCCGTCTTCCCCCTCGCCGCTCTACTCGCAAACTCACACGTCTGGTACGTCTGCCACATCGGCACCAATACTCTGTGAAACACGACTTGCTAACGCCACCTCTTCCTGCCTTTAGGATGATGTACGGCTACATTAAGGGCATGTGGTTCCCTGTCTTCGCCTGCTTTCTTTACGGCGAATGCTGCGCCATTGTCTTCCTCTCCGTCTACACTTACTACTGCTCGGACAAGGGCTACGTGGCTCGCACCCTGGCAGTTTTCGTCTCAGTTCTCGCAGTCATCACTGTCTACGCCGTCGTGGGTGGCCTCGGCTACACGGGCCAGTCAACGAGCAGCGTTGGCACCATCGTCGGCATCCTGGCCGACTGCGCGGGCATCTGCCTGTACGGCGCGCCGATGGAGAAGCTCTTCCAAGTGCTCAAGCACAAGTCGGCCGTCTTCATCAACGTGCACATGGTCATCGCCGGGCTCGTGAACAACTCGATCTGGCTCGTGTACGGCGTCCTCATCACCAACTGGTTCATCATCTTCATCAACCTGCTGTTCGTCTCGGCCAACACCTTCACGCTGTGTCTGTACCGGGTGTATGACCCGAGGACGCACCCGCTGCAAGACGGCTGGGACACTCACGACGTCGACCAGGGCGAGATCTCGGTCTGCATCGAGCTGACGCCTCGCATGGACACAAAGAAGTCTCTCACGAGCCTTCCTAGCCCAGAGTACTCGTTCATGGCGTCGCCGAGGCTCGAGGGTCTACGACAGTAAGGTGTGCGAACCAACTTCTGATAACATCTGTTCTGAAGTGTCCTTCAAGGACACTTTCGCGAACTTAATCAATTGTACATAAGTATGCAAACTTTCGCTGCTCGAGCTGTGCCATATTTTATGGTACAACATACCAAATCGAACCAGCCAGCGCTAGCATACGCCCTCAGGCCCCGACAACTCACTTCGCTTGTGTCGATGTACGCTGAGCTAGATAGACATACGCTGAACTAGACGTACCAAGCAAACACCGTTTGTATCAGCTGGCTGACACGTTTTACGAAGACCAACAAGCTCGACGCCGCTTCATTTGACACCCACCATGGTAGCATGAATAGGAAGCGTGGCACGCCAAATTAGATCCATTCACCACTACATGAACTAACGCACATTGTCACTCACATTGTCGTTTTTGTCGGTGCATTCCTCTGTGCGCCGACTTGGGTCCGCTTGAAGTGCTTTGGGCACGACGCCTGCGATTGGTCGCCGGATCAGCCAATCGCCGTGCAGGTGAGACCGTCGGGCGGTTTTGCGCACTGCTCCATGTGGTTGGCCACGATCAGGAGGTGCGTCACAACTGCACCACCAGCTCGCTTCCTCGGATCCTCCCGCTTCGCCTCCGCCGCCATGTCCTCCGCCGCCACCGAGATCAAGTGGGTCGGCGCTCGCCCCGACGACCTGCACCACCACCTGCGCGACGGCGACGCCGCGCTGGCCCGCACCGTGTCCCACGTGACGTCCCAGTTCGCGCGCTGCATCGTCATGCCCAACCTCGTGCCGCCCGTGACCACCACGGAGCAGGCGCTGGCCTACCGCGAGCGCATCCTGGCCCACGTGCCGGAGGACAAGCGCGACCCGAGCGGCCCCAAGGGCTTCGAGCCCCTCATGACGCTCTACATGACGGACGGCACCACCGCCGACGAGATCCGCCGCGCCGCCGCCACCAACAAGATCTTCGCCGTCAAGCTCTACCCTGGTACGTCAGTCAATGCATGGGCTATAGAGGCCTCTCAGACTTACTGACTGTTGTCCTTGACGCTGCAGCTGGAGCCACGACCAACTCGGACTCGGGCGTGACCAAGATCGACAACATCTACCCGGCCCTCGAGGCCATGAGCGAGGTCGGCATGCCGCTGCTGGTGCACGGCGAAGTGACCGACCCGTCCGTGGACCTGTTCGACCGCGAGGCCACCTTCGTGGAGGAGGTGATCAAGCCCCTCGTGGCCAAGTTCCCGCAGCTCAAGGTGGTCATGGAGCACATCACGACCAAGGAGGCGGCCGAGTTCGTCACCAACGCGCCGGCCAACGTTGCTGCGACGATCACGCCGCAGCACCTGCTGTACAACCGCAACGCCATTTTCCAGGGCGGCCTGCGTCCGCACAAGTACTGCCTCCCGGTGCTCAAGCGCGAGACCCACCGCCAGGCTCTGCTGCAGGCCGTCGCCAGCGGCAGCAAGAAGTTCTTCCTCGGAACGGACAGCGCGCCCCACGTTGCCTCCAAGAAGGAGTCGGGCTGCGGCTGCGCCGGCATCTACTCGGCCCACGCTGCACTCGAGCTGTACGCGGAGGCCTTCGAGTCCATCGGCAAGCTGGACCTGCTCCGCGCATTCGCGTGCGAGAACGGCGCGGACTTCTACGGCCTCAAGCGCAACACCGTGGGCGAGACCGTCTTGAAGCAGGAGGAGTGGACGGTGCCGGGCAGCTACCCGTTCGACAACGGCGTCGTCGTCCCCCTCAAGGCCGGCGAGACCATCCGCTGGAAGCTGCAGCAGTAAGCGCGTTGCCACTAGCTGCAGTGATTTTTGTCTTCGCTCTGCCGTCTAGGAGGCAGACTGTGTAGTGGTTGTCTGTTCACGTGGTGGCGAAGAGAAGTCCGAGCTAGCGCGTTTCTCTCTTTTTTTCATCTCAAACACCGACTTCAAAATCCGATACGTTGGTTCATGCGTTGCAGCAGTCGTAGAACTGGGCGGAGAAGCGCTGCTGCTTGCCGCCACGTCTCCTTTCTTCTTCTTGCCCGTGGTCATCACACTCCCCCGCACGATCAACGCAGTCAGGAAGCTCAAGAAATCGGAGAACTCTCGGAAAACTTGGCTAACGCGGTAGCACGACTTGCCGACGTTGTTGTCGGGCTGCAAAGGGTCTTCAATGATGAGCAACCCGTCACGAGACAGAGGCGGCACCAGCATCAGGGGCGAATTGGAGCGGGAACGCCCCATAGTCGGAGATGTTGCAGAAGGAGATAAAGCGAGCGGCGGCGGCGAGACGGATCTTGCAATCGGAGATGTTTCCACTGACAACACCGTTGGTTCGCCCCACGACACAACTGAAACCTGGTCGAGGTTCTGCCGGAAGTCGTTCCCGTAAAACTGCAAGAAGTCCATGAGCAGTTTGCCCAGCAGGTACGGCTTGGTCTCGTGCTCGCCACCTCCCTCCGACCCCGTCACAAACGAAGGGAGTACTGCACGCTTCGCCTTCCTTCTGTGCTGTTTCTCTGCATCTTCATTCTTTTTTGGCTGCTGCTTGGCCGAGCACTGCTTGATAATTTCCTTGGCGATAAGCTCTCCTTTCAGGCGCTGAGCTTCGTATCGCGGGTTCCAGCGAGAGTTACACGGCGGGGCAGCTGGCTTGGATTCGTTCAGGTCATCATCATCCGCGAGGTCGTGGGCAAGCCTTTGTCCGTCTACCATCGAAATGAGTGCTCCTTGTTCTCGCAGCACGTACACAACCATTAGCAGAAGACCATACGACGATAAACCTCCAACGTACGGGTCATTGAGCCCGCGCTCCACCAGAAAATGCTTCAACACAAGTGTTAGCTCCCGCAAGCCGTAAAATGCGTCCACGAGACCTTGTACCAGCGTAACACTTGCCACACCGTTGTGGTGAATGCCATGAGGCTCATCAAATGTGATATCGAACGGAATCCGCAGCTCAACTCCACCTTCGCGCGCAGCGTTCTCACTCTGAGTCTCCTCGCAGTCAATTGTCACCAAAACCACCACTTTCAGCAGTGGAATGGACGCGCGCGTGATTGCGCTCACATCTACAAATGCTGGCAACTTGTGTAGATGCTCAGCAAGAGCCGCCACACACTGCTGGCTAGTAAAATTAAACTCCCCCGTAGCGCCAAAAACAACCAGATCGACATCGCTTGATTCGCCGTGCAGCCTCGTCGCAAACGACCCGTATCCTTCTACCTGTACGCAGTGATTATAGACGCGTTGAATTTCTTCGGTCACCATCGCAATCGCTTTTTGTATCCAGGGACGCTTTTCCCGTGCCTCCCGTCTTCGATGCTGGTAATAATCCACAATCTCATCATGCAGCACGACCTGCATCATGGCCGTCTGCTCTTCGTAAAGTCTCTGCAAATTTCCAAACGACAGTCCACCCCCGTTCTCGCCTCCTTCTGCTCGCTCCTCATCCATCCGCCGCTCGCGCTCCTTTTCCGTCGCTTGGATGACATTTCTTCTCCACTCCAGCCGCTCCTCCCACTCCTTCTCTCTAGAGATCCCGTTCACTGGACAGTTCGCTAGATGCTCCGCTAGGTTTTCTCTTGAGCAGATCTCTTTGCACCCGAGCACCGCGTTTGGACACACCACGTCGTACGAGTAGAAGTCCGTAGTCGTGTCCTCCACCACCTGATCCAGCGTGTCGGGCACCTGCCGATACACGCAGCGCTCCAGGTGCGACTCTAGGTCCTTGAGCATGCAGCTGAACGTGCAGCCGAACCAACTGTTGGGACACACGACCTCGTAGTCCTCGGAGAAGCGCGAGATGGTCGACTGGAACCACTGCGTGTTCTTCATATTGTCCAGGAACATCTCGCGCATCATGGCCTCTTGCTCCTTCTCGATGGTTGCGATAGCCCACTGCCGCCGGCGCTGCACCTCTTCCTCCTCCTCGCACTGCAGCTGCTTGAGCACGTTGAGTCTCCGCGCGCGCTCCTTCTCGGCCGCTTCAATGACCCACTGGGTCCAATAGGCGCGCTCGGCCGCCTGCTGCTCCTGCTCTCCTCTGATCACGGCTCGCTCCTCGGCGCTGAGCTCTGGATGCCTGAAGAGTCTGGACCTGGTGGGTCTAGATGACTCTGTAGTGCTAGATCTAGACTCTGCATCTCTAGAACCTGCAGGACTGGGCGTGCTGAAGGGACTGAAGCCGATCTGAGGCTCTGGAGTCAACGCGGAGGACGATGTGAAGCTCTTGGTGGGCGTGAAGGGCGCGGCGGACGGGCACAGGCCTGGCGTGTCATCCGACAGCGTTGACACATTGCGTTCGGGCGTCTGCGGCTCGTTCGAGACGCGGAAACTCGCCTTCTTCTTGGGTCGGCGCTTGCGGGGCCCCGAGTGGTTCTTCTTGGGCTTGGTCGGCTCTCCGACGAGCGCTGCGGCGTCCGGCATGAGCGGTCCGTTCCACCGTGCTTGTCGTCTATGATGTGCTCCACATCAATATTGTGTTTGCAACATTACATTTTTTTGTTTTGTTGTCTTTTTAGAATCTAGGATGTCCAGTGTCACCTCAACGAGCAACTTTTATCTGTTCGTTCCAAATTGCCGAGCCATTTTCCTTGGGCTCAATCGCGGATCGGCGCCGACCGATGGATTGCGGCAAGATGAAGGTGGACATCGATGGGCTGGAGGTGCTCTTTCCGTACGTGCCCTGACCGTGCCCGTTTGCGTACTTATTATTGCTCTGCAAGCGAACTTACCGGGCAATAGGTCAATAATGTACTGAGTCAGTATCAGTAGTACTGATTCGGCTCACTCATTCCCCATGTCCTTGATGGACCGGGTCCATTGGACCCCATACCCTCTGCGATTGTATACACAATAATTGAAGCTGCAAAAGTTTAAGGGAGATGTCTGTACATGTAATGGCTTATAAAACAGGGACGTATCAACGTATTGCCTACGGTAGGTACCTAGAAAAAATATGCTCACCGTACATGTGCATGCGTGATAAATGACATTTCTGTGGAGTTATTACCGATGTCCGGATATCCGCGAATGCCTGCGATTGGCTTGGACAAATGGATGCGGTGTACTCGTATGACTACTAGTACTACTCGTACTACTACTGTAGTAATCAAACTACTAGATACTACTAGTCTACTATAGTAGTAGTCATCATAGCGACTGGTACATAATATGCTTACGACAAGTTTTCAGACTCCACCACCATTGAACCTGCAGGTACAGCTATTTTTTTCTCGCATTCTCCGGTTACCGTACCTCACAGAAAGATGGTTAACAGATAGAATGCCAAAACAAGATTTTCGAGCATTTGGTTCGTTTCATTGCTTTTTCTTAAAGCGTTTTCAAATCGCTGGTTTACATACAATTTGAAGCGTTTGAGCTTCGCCTACCGAATATTGAGTAAATATGCAGACGACATGTTTAAGCTGGACGATGGAGTCGACAATTTCCTCACCCAGCCGACCGTGCAGGCCTGGGTGTCCTCAGTGAAGAAGATGAACATGCAGAACCCAGCGAGCAAAGTGTCGATACTGGAAACGTAGTCGAAGAAGTTGGATGATGCCACTGTCGCAAAGATGATCGAGCACGCAGCGAAATATGGCAGTACGGAGCCATTGGCGAGGTCATTAAAGAAGGAGCTACTTCTGAAGTGGACCTCAGCTAACGAGTCCCCGGCTAAGGCGCTCAAGGTGCTAAAGCTCGACAAGGAGGCAACTGGTCTTGCTTCGAACCCTGCTTTGGCTATGCTGGCGGACTACGTGAATGTGTGGAACCTCAAGAAGCCCAACCAGAAAACGAATCTGATGAACACCATCATGACGTCGTCAAACTGCGATGACGCTATCGTGGCTCGGGCCCTCGAAGCGGCGAAACAGGCCAAGGCCTCGGAAGATTGGGCATTGCAATTGCAGGGGTTCCAGTTCGACCGCTGGGTGGAGCTCGGGTACAGCCCAAAGAAGATGCCCGGGGCGGTATTCGGCACCAAGCCCACCGCAGAGGAGGCATCAATTGTGAAACAATACGCCGCGTACTACAAAAGCCAGAAGACCGTTTTCGACGCGATTAAAAGTTTATCGTAGATGAAAAGGGTGCACCTAGTGAGCACGTAGTTATCACTTCGCCCAGCCATCTCGACTTTTTAAAGTCGAGATTAAAAACAACAACTACAAAAATACAGATTCTCCGATGGCATCGATAGCCGTGTTCGTACGCTCCACATTAATGTAGTACACATCAATGTTGTGTTTGCAACATCAACCTCACTTCGGAGCCCTTTTAGAATCTAGAACGAACAAATCGTCCCTACTTTACCTCCTAAATCCAATCTGTTCGTTCCAAACTGCCGAGCCATTTGTCCTTGGGCTCAATCGCCGGCAAGATGAAGGTGGACATCGATGGGCTGGAGGTGCTCTTCCCGTACGAGCGCATGTACTCGGAGCAGCTGCAGTACATGCGCGAGCTGAAGCGCGCGCTGGACGCGCAGGGCCACTGCATGCTGGAGATGCCCACGGGCACGGGCAAGACGGTGTCGCTGCTGGCGCTCGTGCTGGCCTACAAGCACGCGCACCCGACGGCCGGCAAGCTCGTGTACTGCACGCGCACTGTGCCCGAGATGGCCAAGTGCGTGGAGGAGATCAAGAAGCTCGCGCAGTACCGCACCGCGCACTACGGCGCCGACAAGGCGCAGCTCACGGCCGTGTGCCTCAGCTCCAGGCGCAACATGTGCGTGCACCCGCGCGTCATGGCACACGCCGACGGCGAGGACGTGGACGGCCAGTGCCGCAAGATGACGGCGTCCTGGGTGCGCGCGCGCGCGGCCAAGGCGCGTGAGGCCGCGGCCAGCGGAGACGTCCCAATGGACGGAGGGGAACAGGTGCGGGAGGTCGAGACCTGCTCGTTCTACGAGAACTACGACGCGCGCAAGAGCGACGACACCGTTCTACCGCCCGGGATCTACTCGGTGGACGACCTCAAAGAGATCGGCGCCAAGAAGGGGTGGTGCCCCTACTTCCTGACGAGATACGTCGTCACCTTTGCGGACGTGGTGGTCTACAACTACCAGTACATGCTGGACCCCAAGGTGAGTCAGCTGGTGTCCAGGAGCTTCGAGAAGGAGAGCATCGTGGTCTTCGACGAGGCACACAATATCGACAACGTGTGCATCGAAGCGCTGAGTGTGGACCTGGACCGACGCTCGCTGGACAGGGCGTCCAGGAACTTGACCACGCTGTCCAGTCAGGTGAACAAGTTGAAGCAGGCGGACAAGGCGCGGCTGGATGCAGAGTATCGCAGGCTTGTGGATGGGCTGAGGTCGAGTAATGCCGTCGTGGCGCCCAGCTACTCGGACCCGGCCACGAACCGCAACATTGACACAAGCAACGACATCATGATCGCTAACCCAGTGCTGCCCGATGATGTCCTGGATGAAGCTATCCCCGGTAACATTCGACGCGCAGAGCACTTCGTGGCGTTCATGCGCCGACTTATTGAGTACCTGCGGCAGCGGATTCGAGTGCGGCAGGTGGAGTCGGAGACGCCGCAGGCGTTCTTGCACCACCTACATCAGGCTATCAATATGGAGATCAAGCCCATGAAGTTTTGCTACACGCGACTCAACTCGCTGCTGCGCACGCTGGAAGTGACGAACTTGGAGGAATACAACGCGCTGACTGATGTGGCGGACTTTGCGACGCTGGTGGCCACCTACGCAGAAGGCTTCATGCTGATTATTGAGCCGTTCGACAGCGCGTCTGGCGTGCACGACCCTGTGCTGCAGCTTTCCTGCTTGGACGCGTCGCTGGCGATCCGCCCCGTGTTCGAACGCTTCTCCAGCGTCATTATTACGTCCGGCACGCTGTCTCCCATTGACTTATACCCGCGGCTGCTGAACTTCAACCCCGTGATCCGCGAGTCGCTGCCCATGTCCGTGTATCGCTCGAGTATTTGTCCGCTGGTGATCACGCGCGGAAGTGACCAGATGCCTGTGAGCACCAAGTTCGATCTCCGTGACGACATGTCGGTTGTGCGCAACTACGGCACTTTGTTACTCGAGATGGCATCTTGCACGCCGGACGGCATGGTGTGCTTCTTCCCGTCGTATCTGTACATGGAGAAGATCATCGGCCAGTGGGACTCGCTTGGCGTGCTAAAGCGTGTGCTAAGCAGCAAACTACTTTTCATCGAGACCAAGGACATCGTGGAGACGACCCTCGCGCTGGATAACTACAAGAAGGCCTGTGACTGTGGTCGAGGCGCCATCTTCTTCTCCGTCGCGCGTGGTAAGGTGGCAGAAGGAATCGATTTCGACCGTCACTATGGACGCGCAGTGATTCTATTCGGCATCCCGTTCCAGTACACGCTGTCCAACACGTTGCGCGCGCGACTTGAGTACCTGCGCTACACGCACCAGATCCGTGAGGGCGACTTCCTCACATTCGACGCGCTACGTCAAGCCGCTCAGTGCGCCGGTCGCGTTCTTCGTAGCAAGACTGACTACGGTCTCGTCATCTTCGCTGACTCGCGCTACAATCGCGCTGACAAGCGAACCAAGCTGCCTCCGTGGATCACGCAGTTCCTCGTGGACTCGCACCTGAACCTGTCGGTGGATATGGCCGTGTTCATGGCCAAGAAGTACCTGTCGCTGATGGCGCAGCCTGTGGACGAGTCCACCAACGTCAACTCCATCCTGCTAGATGCCGAGGGCGTCGCCAAGTGGCTCGGCAAACACCCCAAGGAGGACGAACCCATGCAGTAAAGAATGAATAGCAGATGCACCACCGAAGGACTAGCACAGCACTAAGATCCGACCTTGAGGCTAAGATTAACAATTGATCAACAGGACAAAGTGCAGCAATAACAACAGGCGTATCGTGTGTGTGTGTGGGTATAAAACTCTCCATTTCGGATTAACCGGCCGCCGATCACAAGGCAAAGACGACCTGCATCCCTACAGCAAGCTTAAGTGTGCGAATCAACGCGGCGCTTACTTGCGGGGCTCGTCCAGCACGATGCCCTCGAACTTGGCCTGGAACCAGTTGATGGCGTCGTCCTTGGTCAGGCGGTGGGGGTGGCCCACACGGCCCTGCTGGATCTTACGGCGGGCCACACGGGCACCCGGGCGCTTGAGCACCACGAAGAAGTCCATGCCGTAAATGCCCGTGGACGGGTCGTACTTGATGCCCAGGTCGATGTGCTCCTGGATACCGAAGCCGAAGTTGCCCGTCTCGGAGAAGTTCTTCTTCAGCAGCTCGTATTCCTTGACCTTGAGGCCGCGGTCCAGGATCTCCTGGGCGAGCTCGCCACGGATGGTCACGTGGCACGAGATCTTTTCGTTACGACGGATGCCGAACGTGCGGACCGTGTAGCGGGCTGTCAAAAATCAACAAACAAAGCGTCCAAAAGTCAGCTCACCCTGTCCTGAACCTGCAGCACTTACTCGACTTGAACGCGCACTCCCACTTCGAGACCCCACAACAACGAAGAGGTCTCTCCTAAAATCCAGCACTACGTTTTCGACATTGTCAAAAACAGCAAGTGCGTTCGCAGCGAGCACGCGCCTCTGCCATCCGTTTAGACGGTCCAAAGAGGACTAGACACCAACCTCCGAGATCATTGATGTGTGCGTGTCGCTGGCGGTTCTGAGTGAAGGCAGCAAAGCCGCTTCGTAGTACTCATGACGAGCGCGATCGGGGATGAACCAGGGCCCCCTGCCAAGAGGACCCCGACACCCGGAAAGGCCGTAGGATTTTAGACGCGCCCACTTGGACAAGCGGGCGGCCCGGGTAAGTAGCCCGTTAAGGCGGTTCTTTGCTTTTTAGCAGGTAAAAAGCTTACCCTTGGAGTACACGGGCTTCTGGCCAGTCAGCTGCTCGAGCACACGAGCGGCACGGGTCAGCTTGTCGCCGGACTCGCCGACGCAGCAGTTGATCACCAGCTTGTCGACGTGGATCTCACGCATCGCATTGTTGCTCTTGTCGCCGGCCTGCACGTTTTCGACATCGACATCGGTTAATCATGCGTTTTCGACAGCAACAGGCGCACAGTTTTCGACGCACCATCTTAGCTTGTTGTTTGGAGCTTTTGGAGAAGTACTGGCGGCCAGCGGACAATCGGCGGCGGTGTTTGGGCTGGAGCCCAAGGCCCAGCCACACCAACCAATGGCACGGATCGACTTCGCAGTATGGATTTCACTATGAAGCGCACCTTGACGGAGATAATTTCCATGCGACGGATGGCCCGTGTATCGGCTGGTGTGGCAGGCCTGTCCGACTAAGTACGGCAACTATTGATAGTTGAAGTTGTCGTCTTGTCCGTCACTCGTGAGCGTCCACGTCCAAGTGGCTTAGGTTCCATTATCGATCGCCCATGGAACCACGAGGCCCGGCGCTCTCGTCGCTACTGTCGACCCGAGGGCCGATGCTCGCGAGTCCGCGCGTGGCTCCTCTGGCCATCTCCCCGACTTCCCCGCTGGCTGCCGTCTCGCTGGACGCAACGTTTAGAACCTGCAGCAACATCTCCAGTATGAGGACGGCTGCAGCCTCCAGCCCCACGCTAGCGGATCTCCTCGTCCGACCGGAGGAGAAGAAGCTGCAGCACACCAGCAGCCACTTGCGCCTGCAGCTGCAGTGGTCCAGCGCCTACAAGATGCAGCTGCTGGTCGTGCGCAACGCCGTCGTCTGCTGCGTCTGCGCGGCCGTCACCAACGGCGCCTTCTGCGTGGGCAACGTCTTCGTCTTCAAGTGGACCAGTCGCTCCACGAGTTCGTCATGACCACGCTGCTCTGGATGGGGCTCTCGTACGCTGTGGTGCTCACCGTCGCCCACGTGCCTTTGCTCATGACCCAGCGTTTCCTCGAGTTCCCCAACACGCACCCAGGGTTCTGGTTCTGCGTCAAGAAGCTCCTGAGCAAGTCGTGGGTCTCTCTAGCTGCGACACTGACAGGTATGGGCGCGGTGGGTCTAGTAGTGCAGAACACGTCGCTCATGACGGAGCACTTCCGGTACAGAGCGCACTTCTACCTCGCTGTCGCGTGCAACCTCACGTTCACAGCGGGGCTGACGCTGGCGGTGAGGAGGACGTACTACGAGGAGACGCACCAAGGGCGCAATCGTCGCTGTGCATTGAATAACCTGTCCGAGCCTCGCTCTCCCGTGACTTCGACAACTCGAAATCCTCATCAGAAACCAAATCCAAAACCTCATCGGCCTCCACGGTACCAAACGCCGAGTTTCTGGCGTGAAACTCTCAACCAACTACCGAACGCCGTCCTGATCCTTCTGGCTGGCGGCTACGTCCACGCAGTGCTCACGTTGTGGCAGACGATTCAAGACCGATTTTCCGTGATGGGGTTCACAGTCTTTGGTGTCGTCCTCAAACTCGCACTGCAAGAAGCAGCACGCCACTACGTCCTCAAGAAGCGCATCCGTAGCGTCCGCACCATGTGCGTCCTCGTCGGCGTACCAACCGTTCTCATCGACACGCAGTCGCGGATCGTTCTACTCGCACTACCAACTCGTCTCTCATGACCGGAACTTTTGGGATGGCCATGGCTGAGGTCATGCTCCGCGCGACCAAAGCTGCGCTCGTAGTGTGGGCTACTCGCCGTCGCTCCCGAGTTTTAGAGGGGAAACTGCAACAAATTACGCTGGAGCGCTCACGACGGAATACTGGGGCAGCGCCTGGACGAGTGTCTTCCTTCTTGCCCTCGCCCGAGTCCGTGAAGCTGGAGTACGAACTCTGGAAGAAGCAAATGCTGTCGTACCACACGGCCGAATACGCCGAGTACATTGCGATCGGCTGCTCCCAGTCGATCGTGTTCTGGTGGTTCGGCCACCCGCTGTACCCGACGCTGCAGCGAGCGGTCATGTCGGAGATCGACGTGGCGAGGTGGCGATTCAACCAGGTGGTCATGTTGGGCTTCCAGTCGTTCGTGGAGGTGTTCGTGGACTGGGGATGGAGATGGCGGCGGGCATCGAGCTCGACCGGATCGAAAATCTCAGTACATTCCTCTGTTCATGACGGTGGCAGTCGTCAACATCAACATCTCGAGCGCAGTCTATCTCGGCTGGGCAACGATTTTGTCTCGCTTGGGCGCTGATCGGGGGGGGGGGGCTATTTTTCGAGCTGACTGACGGACGTGGAGCGGTTTATTCACGACGTTCAAGCCTTTTTACACCATCCTGGACCCACCTGGAGCCTCGCTCTCAGGTGTGCAATGGCGTCACACGCGCCGATTCTGGCGAGTCCACGCGTGGCCCCTCTCGCTTCCTCGTCACTTACCTCCGCGTCGCTCAACCAGACGTTCCGAAGCGCTGCAGCTACGGACCCGACCATCTCGGACCTCGTCAGACGACTTGAGGACAAACAACTCCAGTCAACTCCGACTTCACTTGCAGTGGGGGCCAGCCTCCAAGATGCAGATTCTGGTCGTTCGCAACTCTCTCGCATGTGTTGTCGCTGCAGTTTTCGTCAACGGGTGCTTCTACGCGGGGAACATTTTCTCTTTCAAACCGTCCACCGAGCAGTCTCCTCGGGAATTCCTCATGGCGATGCTGGTCTGGACGATGCTGTCGTACGCTGTCATCCTGGTAGTCGCCCACCTCCCGACTCTGATGAGCCAGCGCTTCCTCAAGTATCCTGACTACAAACCAAGTGTTTGGTTCTGCATGAGAAAACTCCTGAAAATGTCGACTCCTTACTTCGTCGCCTCAATGGGGGAATGGTTTGCGTCGATTTGCTAGTGCAGCATACGCCACTCATGACGGAGCTCTTCACCTACAGACTACACTTTTACCTCGCTGACTTGAGCAACCTAACTTTTACAGCGGGTATTACGCTTGCGGCGAGGAGGATATACTACACAGAGACGCATCAAGGACGCAATCGCCGCCTCGCAGTAAAGAACGTTTCCAAACGAGCTGCTTCGAGATCATTAACGCTGCGAGCTCCGTATCCAGCAGCTCCGAGTTACCACTCTCCGAGCTTCTGGCGCGAATATCTCGTGAATTTGCCCTATGTCATCATAGCTCTGTCCGGAGGGTATGTGCACTTCGTGTCTTCCTACAAAATTCTGCACCGAGGCACTATGGTGATCATCGCGTTCACGGCAGCGGGGATTGTTATCAAGTTGATGCTGCAAGAGCTTGTCAGGTGCTGCAAGAGCTTGTCAGGTTCTACATTATCAAGAAAGGGGTTCGCAGCATCCGCACCACAGTGCTGATTGATACCCAAGCACGGATCGTTTTACTCGGCACACAGACCAGCCCCTTCCTGGTAAGCGGGACGCTTGCCATGGCTGTAGCTGAAATATGTCTGCGATCTGCCAAAGCTGCGCTGATTGCTCGGCTCATTCACCGCCGAGCGAGAATTCTTGAAGAAAACCTACAACCGATATCTACTGACAACGTGGATACGAAGGAAGGAGGACCGTCGGTATTTTCGCTCAACTAGCAGTTTGAACTGTGGCGTCGACAAGTTCTGTCCTACCACACGGCGGAGATCACCGCCGACACGTACGCGGAGTACATTGCCATCGGGTGTTCGCAGTCGCTCATCTTTTCGTTCGTTTCCGGCGCTCCAGCTGAGCACAGGCAGTGGAGGCGAAGGCGCGATGTCCGAGCTCAGTATGGCAAGGTGGCGGATTCAGCAGGTAGCGATGCTGGCGTTCCAGTTTGTGGTGGAAATCCTCGTCGACTATGTGTGCGTTGTGATGGAGATCGCCGCTGGTGTCGACTTCGACCGCATTAGGGACCACAGCTCGTTTCTCGGGGTGCTCTTCATGGCGATGGCTGTCATCAACATCAGCATTTCCAGTGCCGTCTACCTGTGCATCCCATAGAAGACAATTGTTATTGCTCGTTGACAGTCCTCAAACCGCAGTGACGTTGGTGTATTAGAAACGGATGACCAACTTCACCGCGCCCAGACCGCCCGCTATTTCGAGTTTAACGCGTCGAAATTTGAGCTGAATAATCTTGGATGTTGGCGGAAAACTGCGTTGGACAAGCGCCCAAAGCCCGAAGAATGGTATCCCGTGCTTCGATTCTAGCGAGTACTCGAGTGGTTCCGCTGTCTGTGGCCTCGTTCACCTTCTCCACAGTCTCCCCAGGCGCAAGTATCCGAGATGCAGTGGCCATCCGAGACGCCGTCGTCTCCAAGTTCTACATCGACCTCCTTCCACGCCCAGAACACAAGCGCCTTCGCCACTACAGCAGCCAGCTACAACTCAATCTCCAATGGAAATTGGCAGCCAGGATCCAGCTCCAAGTGTTCCGCAACTCCATCGCCTGCGTCGTCACTGCAGTGTGCGTGAACGGCTGCTACTACGCAGGGAACATCTTCTCCCTCAAGCCTTCCGCCGAGCAATCGCGGCCGGAATTCCTCATGGCGTTACTGGTGTGGACAGCGCTGATCCACAGCGCCAATATGACGGTCGCCTACATCCCTATGCTGGCCAGCCAGCGCTTCCTCGAGTCCCCGAACAGCAAACCAGTCTGTGGTTCTGCGCTCGCAAGCTCATGATCAACACGAGACAGTACTTCATTATGACGCTGGGGGCAACGATCGGCGTGGGGCTTCTCGTGCAGAACACGTCGCTGATGTACAAGCACTTAACTACAAACTGCACTTCTACCTCACGATACTGTGCACGCAGGCGTTCACCACTGGCGTTTCACTCGCTGGGAACAGAATCTACTACGAAGAAACGTGCCAAGGGAGAGACCAACGCAGCGCCATGAGCGAAGTGTCCGTGCGAAGGCTGTCTACCAACCCGCAGTATCGACGTCGACCTCCCTTACGAAAACCCCGAAACTACGGCGTATCGAGCTTCTGGCGAGAGTATGTTATGAAGTCCCCGACGGTTCTGCGTATCGCGCTGGCTGGGAGATTTGTACACATTGTGGCGTGGTACAGAGTGCTGGATCGAGGCACGGGGGTCGTCATGGGCTTCACGATGCTTGGTATCGTCGTCAAGCTCGGACTTCAAGAGGCTGCGAGGCACTACATCCTCTCAACGCGGATTCGCAGTATCCACACCATGTGCATCCTCGTTGGCGTCCCCACTGTGCTCATCGATACCCAGTCACGAATAGTGCTGCTGGGCACTCAAACCAATACGATCCTCGTCTCCGGAACCTTCGCGATGGTGGCGGCGGAGATTTGCCTGCGAGTTGGGAAAGCAGCGTACGTGGCGTGGAAGATCCGACGTCGTGCTGCTGCGTTAGAGATCACACTATCGAGTCTTAGCGGAAACTCCGGGCGTAGAGAGTCCTCGCAGTTGTCGCTGAAGATGGAGTTTGAGTTGTGGAGGAGGCAGGTGCTGTCCTACCACACCGCAGAGGTGACGGCCGAAATGTACGCCGAGTACATCGCCATCGCGTGCTCCCAGTCGATTATTTTCTGGTTCGCAGGGCATCCGTTTTACCCGGCGCTGCAACTGGAAGCAGGGAGCGGGTTGTCGGAGATTGACGTCGCGAGGTGGCGGTTCAACCAGGTGGCCATGCTGGGGTTCCAGTTCGTCGTGGAGATCTTCGTGGACTACTTGTGCGTGGTCTTGGAGATGGCGGCAGGCATCGACTTCGACCGCATTGGCAGTCTCAGTACGTTCTTGGGCATGCTGTTCATGACGATGGCTGCTATCAACATCAACATTTCAAGTGTAGTGTATCTGAGCTGACGCTATGAAACATGCATGCAAACGAACTTCGCGTGAAATTACATGCTTTTCAGTGTTAAATAAATTCAAATAGTCCATTCATCGCGGCACAGTCGAACAGTCGAGCCTAACTACCTCCATGGCAATTAACATGAAGTATCAGCGATCCATACAGTACTTTAGTTCATCAACTCTGCACGTTTCGTCTATAAGCAGCACAAGGTTATCAACGCTATTTTAACTGTTGCGTTCATGTGCGAAGTAGGAGAAAAAATCGACATCTCTCCGCATTGTCAGCCTGATCTCCTTCTATTCACATGCTACCGAGTCTTCGCATCGCACCCCGAGTCGCGTCTTTCCCCGTCATCTCAGTGACTCAGTTCCGAGAAGCCGTCACCCGGGTGGGGGATGAAGCGTATTCAAGCCAGCAGCTCCTTCAGGTGCACGGAGTTAGCGCCGCGAAGACTCAGCTTCTAGTGGTTCGCAACGCGCTGGCCTGCGTGGTGTGTGCGGTGGCCACCAACGGCTGCTTCTACTCTGGGAACGTTTTCTCACGCAAATCTTCTACCAAGCAAACGCGCCCCGAATTTCTGATGGCGACGCTGGTCTGGAGCGCGATTTCATCCAGTTTTATTATGTTGGTTGCCCACTTGCCTTCATTAATGAGCCAGCAGTTCCTCAAGTTCCCCGACAGTCGCCCTGGTGTCTAGTTTTGCGCGAAAAAACTCATGAAAGGCTCAAGTCCGTATCGCGATCGAAGCCGCACGCTGAAAATGCAGATCGTGTCAAGCTCGTCACCTCAACTAATGGCCCGAGTGAAGAAATTCCGGTCACCGAGTTTCTGGCGCGAGTACCGCAAGAAACTACCGGGCGCGGTACTTGTGGCTTTGGCTGGGGCGTACGTCCACGCCGTGTCTTCGTTCAGGATATTGGACAGGGGCGAAATGGCCATCGCTGTGTTCGCCTTGTCTGGGATCATCTTTAAGCTCTCCATCCAAGAAACAGCCAAGCGGTACATCGTCAAAAAGGGCGTTCGTAGTATCCACACCATGTGCGTGCTCGTGGGCGTGCCCACTGTGCTGATCAACACTCAAACGCGGATCGTTCTACTGGGCACTCAGACAAACGCGCTGTTGGTAACTGGAAGGGCGCTGGCTGAAGTCTGTCTGCGCGCTGGGAAGGCGGTTTATATTGTGTGGACTATCCGTCGCCGCGCTAAAGCCAACGGACAGCACTACGAGCAAATACCTGGCACCTCCAAGATTCCTAAAAGCAAAAGTGTATTACCCTCCCCCACTCTACCAATTGCGAGGCTGGAGTTCGAAATATGGCGACGACAGGTTTTATCCTACCACACGGCCGAGTTGACGGCGGATATGTACGCCGAGTACATCGCGATCGGGTGCTCGCAGTCCATTATGTTTTGGTACGTCAACCACCCGTTCTACCCGGCACTGAGACTCAAAGCAGGGGGAAATTTGTCCGAAGTGGGGGTGGCGAGGTGGCGAATCATGAAGGGAGCACTCGTTGATCCTGCACGGGTTGCTCCTTGTAGTGGTGCCTCGCACCTGGTGTATTGCAGAATGAGTTAGGTTGGATGATGCTAGGATGTCTGTGCTAGGCTAATATGCATCGGTAGTTTCGTGTTGTGTAGCTGGAGGGGTCGTTGTGGTCGTCGCAGGCCGTTATCGTCGCCACTGCACTCATCGCAGGTGGCGCCAGCTCTTGCGATCTCCAACAGTCCTCCTCGACCAAGATGATCCGAGTCTACAGCTTCTCGTTGTGCGGGTTGATAAGCTTGATCATGGCTAGGTTGCGCCCGTGTAGAGTTGCGCTGAGGGGCTTCGTGAAAATGTCGGCCTTCATCTCAGTCGTAGGGCAATAGGTCACGCTGACTGGCGTCGCGTATGAAGTGAAATTTTATGTTGATGTGCTTCATGCGTGCAGTCGTCACGTCGTTCTCCATGTTCTTGATCGCGCTCTGGTTGTCGATGTACAAGTCGATATTATCATCTTTGCCGTGCAGCTCAAGTTCATTCAGGAGCTGCTTGACCCACAAGCAGTCCTGCACTGCCGTCGCCCCAGCGATGTACTCAGCCTCGGCTGTAGAGAGGGCGACCGTAGATTGTTTCTTACTGTACCACGAAATGAGCATGGCGTTGATGGTGAGCAGTCCTCCTGAAGTCGACTTTGCGTCCTTGCCCCCGGCCCAATCTGCATCGCTGAAGATGGCTGCCTCAATAGTGTGTCGGGGTGCCTGCGGCCGGGGAAAGTGCAACCTCAACTCGTGCGAGCCGCGCAAGTAGCGCAGGATACGTTTGACTGCAGTCGAATGAGTCGACGTAGGCGTTGAAACGCGCCAGGAAGTTCACAGGCATCGTGATGTCTGGTCGAGTGCAGTTGCTAATCCATAGTAGTGACCCAATGGTCTCCCTCATGATGCTAGTGTCGTAGAAGGGCTCGCTGTCCTCGATGCTAGTGTCGTAGAAGGGCTCGCTGTCCTCTCCGTTCAGGTCCCGAGTTGACTCCATCGGCGTAGTCACGGGGCGGCTATTCTCCATGCCGCACTTCACCAGCAAACCGTCAATATTGGCTGTCTGGTGGAGGTAGATGCCGCAGTCGCTCTGCTCAATGTTAATTCCCAAGCACTTCTTGGCTGGACCCATGTCCTTGATCTGAAATTGGTCGGCGAGCTTCTGCATCGTCCAGTCGGAATCGCCCTCACGCTGGCTGACGACCACCACATCATCGACGTAGAGGCCCAGTACAGTTAGCTTGCCTTCATGCCAACGAAAATACAAGCACGCTCCTCCTGAAGCCAAGTCCCAGTAAGTAGCGGTGTATAGTGTCGTTCCACAACTTGCCGCTCTGTTTAAGGCCGTAGAGACTCTTTCGCAGCAGTAGGCATTTGCCCTTGGGTAATTGGAGTCCGACAGGGCCGCGCATGTAGATGGGTCGATCGAGGTCTGCTCGCAGGTATGCGTTAGGAACATCTCCTTGTCGAATGACGGCATGCCACTGAGATGCGAGGGCCACAATGAACCGCAGGCTCGCGATCTTGAGCACGGGCGCAAAGGTCTCTGCGAAGTCAATGTCAAACTTTTGAGTGAAGCCGCGCGCTACCAGCCGTGCTTTGAACCGTTCCAATTCGCCTTTGTTGTCAAACTTGAGCCTGAACACCCATTTTGCACTTATCAGATTTCCATCAGTAGGAATGTCCACAATTTCCCAGGTAGCGTTCTTCGATATTGCTCGAAGCTCTTCTTCGATTGCCTGCCACCACTCCTGCCAATACGGGCTGTTCATTGCCTCCTCCACAGTTACTGGCTCCTTGATCCCGTCACGCTCTAGTAGTACCGCAAAGGCAGTACCCTCCTTGAGTACGATAGTGAGCAGGACAGATGCCGGAGTGGCGAACTCTTCGAGAAAAGATTGGGGCAGCCGAAAGTCATCGCGTGGTAGTGCTCGTGTACCTCGATTCAGGCCAAAGATGCGCTGGATGGCACGCGACGTAAGTTGATGCTGCTCTGCAGGGCTACCAGCCGTGCTTCCTCACCATTAGCGTCATGTGGGGTGTTGGTTTCGTACTGTTGATCGCCAGCATCCTCCTCCTCGCCGCTATTGTCTGCGTCGACAGCGTCCATGTATCGTCCCACGGCTCGCGAGTCCAGACGGTCAACGTTCCGGATGTGTGTTGTAGAAATAACACGTTTGGTTCGCGGGATGAGAACACGGTACGCTTTCTTCTTGAAGTCGATGCCAATAACAACTCCTCTTTCAGCGCGCTTTTTCGCTGATCGCTTCGTTGCATGAGCGATGTGGCTCGTACACTTCGAGCCGAATTTGAGGATGTGCGTTCGCTCGAGTCGGCAGATAGTTGCGAATGTAGCTCGCATACAGAACAGCATCGCCCCAAAATCGCTGTGGCAATGCCGAGGCCCAGAGCATCGCTCGGGCGGAATCCATGACAGTCCGGTGAAAACGCTCTGCTTTTCCGTTTGATGATGACATGCCCGCCTCCGTTTCTTGGTGGAGAATACCCCGGTTGCGGAGGAAGCGGCCGAGTCTGGTGCTGCCAAATTCACCACCACCGTCTGAGCGAATCATCTTCACCTTGGTGTCGTATTGTCGCTCAAACTCGCTAACAAAGTCCTCCAAATGCCCTTCCGCGTCGCTCTTTTTGCGGAGCAAGTAAACGCGATTGTAGTTCGTAGCGTGGTCTACAATGGTCAAAATGTGTTTGTGACCGAGCCGATCCGGGGTCATGTCCGTCTTCAGGTCAACGCACAAGGTAGCGCCCGGTTCGTCCGTTGGGGCAGATGTAGAAGTATCCTGCTTGTTCTTCGCGCGTCGAGCTTGTTTCGCTTCAGCGCAGTTCGTGCAGAAATCCACCTTCCGATTAGAGGCAACCATGCCTTCAACGAGGTTTTTGTCAGTCATGCGTACCAGATCCTGGTAGTTCACGTGCCCCAGGCGTTCATGCCACTGCTGAAGCGTAGAGGTCGTCATTGCTGCGAAGGAGGCCGCGACTTGCTCGATTCCAACAGACCAAAGCCCAGTCGAGGCTGAATTACCCACTTCGGCAACAATCTTGCCCGTCTTGTTCGTAATTGTACACTGCTCCTCACCAAAGGTGCAGGTGTAGCCTCGGGCGGTGAGTTGAGCCACTGAAATCAGGTTGCGGTCAATACCTTTTGCGAAGTACACGTTTTCTAGCAGGACAGTACGAGGCACTCCTTCTGCCATCGTCGTGATGACAGTCTTTCCCTTCTCAGTAGCGGCGACAACATCTCCATTCGCCACTCGCACCGACAGGAATGCTGGCTCTATCGCGAAAAGTTGGTCACGGTCGATGCAGAGGTGGTGAGTTGCTCCCGAATCCACTGTCCAAACATTTCCTCTCGTGGCAGAAGCGCCGCGCTCGGCATCGTCGGCAGCGACCCAGACATAGCCTTCATCATCAGAATCTCTGGATGTGTCGTCATCAGCAGCAGCGCCTACGTTCGCACTTCCTCTGGTGG